GCGTTGTATGGCCGCGCGCGTGCGCTGATACAAGCAAATTTTATCGTGTTTATCGTTTTCGTATTCGTACTCGTCTGTGAGAGATCGTAAATGTGTGTGTGTGTGCTCGATTGCACGAAAATGCCCAAGGATATACGCACGCGTATCTCGTTCCTGTGCATTTTCCTTTCGCTTTATTAAATATCCATGATGTTGTTGTTTTTTTTGCTCTTTCTCGTTATTTTTGTCGATTCTGCTGGTTATGCAGCGCGTTTACACGGATCGATTACAAGCCACACGACGACGACAACGACGCACGCACACGCGAGGCGCTCGAAAAAAAATAATAATAAGAAAATACCTCGGCTCTCTCTCGCATACATTGGGAAATTATACGTATCGGCATTATTTTTGCGGGCGCGCTCGAGTCAGTCACTGCAGAGTATTATTATATACATGTTATATATTGTGCGACGCATGCATTACGCGACCGACTGCAGCAGCATTACGCGGACTACGCGTTCGAGTTGGGTCCTCTTGTCCGCAATTCATACAATACTTCGAACAGGCGGTGGCGCGGCGGTGAGCTCGCTGGCCTGTGTGCAACACTTTTTACGTCGGAATAACGTTCTCGACGCGCGCGATTAGATAATTCCTATACATATCGGCTGCAAGAGCAGCAGCAGCACGACTACAGTCGGTGGCACAGGCAGAGGCAGTCGCTGCACTCGTGACTTTTGCACGATCCATTGAAATGTCGTAACGAGAATATAGAGCTATTGTAGTCTCTGCAGCAGCAGAAAATAAATACGCGCGACACGCATGAGTGCAGCGACGCGAGCCGCTGCGATAATGCGATCATCCGTTCGGAGCCATTACTATAACTATACACTGCTACACGATGGGTCGCCGGAAAGAATTGGCTGGAAAATTTTTTGCGCTTCTGTGGTGGATCGCTGCACGCAATTTAACGTAATGTACGTACGTACGTAGGCGAGCGAGTTATCCCCCCGAGTGCAGTGTATGTGCACGCGATCCGCCGAAAACAAGCCATTTTTGCAAACTGCTGCTGTTGCTGCTGCTGCAAGTTCTCAAGGACAACGAAACCTTTGGAGCCGGCCGTAGCGCGTACGCGCAAATTGAGCGTAATCAAGTTGCGCGCGCGGCGTTTAACTTTCTTGCGAGACGTCGCGCGCAGTACATAATTTCTCACGACCGTTGCTGCTGCTCTGATGCAAGTATTAATTCTTATCGCGTGTTTTTTTTTTCTCTCTCTTGCCCATATAGTCAGAGAGAGAAAAGCGGGTCGTTGCGGGAAAACTTTACAGACAGTCGGAGATAGCTTCTGTTTTTGAAGAAAAAAAAATGTCGCTGGAGCAAAAGATTTTGTCGATAAAAAAAAGAGCACATAAAGGACGAAGAAAGTAAGACAACAAAAAAGGGGGGCCGAAGGGAAAGAAAGAAACGGACAAAACAATGCGCGCGAGGAGCCGCAGACAGTAAGAAGAGCTGCTCGATGTTCAACGAGAGTGCGGCCCCGCATGCAGCGGCAGCGAGTATATATAAGAAGAGCGAAAAGCCGAGAGTCGGTCTGGTGTATTTCGTTCTTTTTCGTCGGCGAATCCATTCACTGCGAGCTTATAAATGGTATCGTACGGATGAGTGTGCTACGGACACGACCGTCGTAAGTGTATTACTACACACACAGACACAGACGTGCGTACGTATTATAGACGTGTGCTCAATGCAAGCGATGCTCCCACCCACTCGTTCGCGTTTCTTTTTCAAACGATGACTCATCCGCCGCGTGTGTATAACCCTGCACCGCCGCCGTCACCGCACACTCGTGTGCCTTTTATTCCTTAGGCCGTTTGTATCGTGCCCACCTTGTGTCTTTGGCACGTAGTATATGTATTGCAGCCTATCGTGTAATGCATAATACGGCCGCTCGCCACTACATGGGCTTGGGTCAATTGTTGCGTTGGGCGCGTAATCGTCGCGACGAACGACTACGACGACACCGGAGAAGTCGAAGCCGCATCCGAAATAATACACTCACTCGTCGCGTCCGAATAGACGACGTCGACAAGCGCCGCATTTGCATGTGCTGCATATATAGTATGTACTATACGTGCTAGCTAGCAATAGCTTTCTTTATTCTACGTGCGCAATATACGTAACCTACGCGCCCGGGCAAAAAAAAGACAGGAAAAAAAGGAGGAAAAAAACAAAACGCGCTCGATGAAGTTCGGCGTGTATATAGAGATGCGGCTCGCGCGTGGGTGACGACAAGTACTCCCTTTCCTATATACCAGCGATCGGAGATCAAAGAGCCAACACGGAACCAGAGAGAGAACAATCGACCCGAACAATCCTTTCGTGTGTATAGTCTGTCGTTGTCGTTTGTCGTCGCGATCGAGGCCTCTATATACATACATATGCACACACACATACAGTCCATCAAAGCTCTCGACTTCAAAAAGATCCCAACCTTTTCGCGCGCACGAGCTAATTAACTTGCCTCATTATTATCATTATTCACGCCTATAGATTACCCGGTAATTTCTGCGAGTCTGCAAACTTTTCCATGGCTTCGTTTTGCGCGCGCGCGTGTGTGTGTACAATATCCAACATCCTAAGCGATGACACTTTTGCGAATTTTTCGGCGTGCGGAGGGGGTGGTGGCCGAGGCTAAAATTAAGGCTAATGGGTGACATAGTCGTTTGTATATATTTAAATGTGTATATAATATCGCGTTACGACAAAAACCCGATCGTCACATTATACTGGCCAAGATGGCCTGCTGCTGCGGTGCGAGGCGACATTTCAAAGGTTGCCTTAGCTCGTGCTATACGCGTTTGTCGCACGACTAGATCTTGTTTATAATATAGCGAAGGTGAAAACGTGAATCATTCTAATAACTAAATGCATGCATAATGCGCACGACACACGGCGACTTTGATACATTTTTATTTTGTTTTTCTTTACGCGAGTCGATTATAAATTACAATCTGTTTTTTCAAAGTATTTTCGTACATCTTATTTTTTTATCGCTTAATTCTGCAAGAACATTTGACAATTGACCCAAAAATTCACTCTACTCGACGTGTACAAAGGAAATAAAAAGAAACGCCAACAGCGCGAGAGCCGATGTGTGTACACACATCATTTTTCCCCATCGCGAAATAAATTCACTCGCGCAGAGGAAAAAAAGAGAGAATATCAACGAGACAGGCCCGTGCGCTACGGAGTGCCTCGGCAAAAGGAGCTGAGCAGCACGTACTACGCCAACAGACAGTACAGCTTATACGAGGTGCATTATCTCGTCGGGCCAAAAATTTCTCTCTCGCGCGCTCACGAGCTTTCTTTTTGACGCTCTCGCAAGAGGCAGCAGTCGCAACAACGCGTCCGACACGCATCATCTTGGGATAGGCTTCGTTGGTGCAGCTACTATGTCGCGCGTTATATTTTCGGTGCACAAATCTCATTCCGCACGCACCGTCGTCTATCTCTCTTTCCGCTCCGATCTGCATTCTTTTTCAAATGCAGATCGTCGAGAGCGCGTGAATACATATAGGATTAAATTTGGAATTCCTCGGGCTCTTTATTCGACGATCGTTTTTAGCCTCTCTCTAAAAACCCGAAATTCCTTGCCCAACGTAGATTTGATTTGCGAGAGCGGCACGAGACTCTCGACTTTTGGCATTGTCGAATTTAAGAGAGCGAAACGAAAATTCCCGACGCCTTTTTATTATTTTTCAAAGCACAAACACACGACATATCATGATATAATTGAGCGCGCGCACAGGTGCGAGGTGCACAGCGCGAAAAGGAAGCCACGCACGGACAACTTGACCGGCAAAGATCGTCAACATTATTCGAGCGCGAGCGCGTCGAGTCATCGTGCATAGCAGCGAGCGGCTCTCTCGATGACAAAAAGAAAAACGACTAACGGAAACAACCCATCACGCAGAGAGCACGCTTACTGCCGCTTGTAGCTTGTATACTTTTTTTTCCTTACTACTGTTTATATACTTTTGCCTGTGTGCCACTATTGCGCAAACCTTATACCTATACCTACCTACACCCGGCAGAAAATCTTAAAAATAAAACGATTCTATTTTCTCTCATTCTCTAAAGGCTATTGACGCGTTAATTCTAGATTTCGAGCTCGTTTTGGACGAACGGATTAATAACGTTCGATAATAACGCGTCGATGATTTGGAAAAAATGTGTATTTTTCGACTCGCGCACATGCGACCGCATAAATTCGCCTGTTACTCAACAACAGAGCGATATTATATTTTGACAAATAGCGTGTGTGCACAAAATATAGCTCGAAGACAATAAAAATGTTTTTACGGCCACGATATAATTTCAAAATAATACCACGGGTCGTGCTTGGATTAATTTCCGCCGTCACGGAAGCATTACGTTCGCCTCCTCCTTCTCCGCCGTCTCCTCGTTATGTTATTGTCACGTTCGCAAACAATATTCCGAGAGAGCATTAAAAATATTATGTAGCTCGCGTCTCGACGTTTTTCCTATACATATGACATATGACAATCTCACTAGTGGCTACTTTATTATTAATCAAAAACATGGGATTCTTGATGATGGGGCGCGATCGAGTAAACTAACGAGAGTTTTGTTATTTTTACACGAGAATTTAAATTGAAAAGGAGAATATTTCATGTTAACAATTGTACTTGAGTTAAAGTAAAATAAGATTATTTGTGTAAACTTGCGAATGACTTTGTAGTTAAATACTTGATGCTAAAGTCCAACAATTGACTTAAGTAACTGTAGCATGTTTACATAATATATATGATACCTAACCTCACTTTTTTTGAACGATGCAACAATGGAATGTTGAGAAATTTCTCTGTAACTCTTATCTCTCGTAATTGATAATTAATTTGAAATGGTTTAAGGCAATTGTCTAAACGGATTACTTTTCAATGCCTCTTTCCATTTATTAATAACAGCAATAAAATAATTTGTAAATAGTAAATCCTTACCTTGATAATTTTATATTTCTTATTTGTTGCCAGATTTAAATCTTCATGCACTTTATCCAGCAGCCAAAGTAGGAATTCCTGTGCATCGTGTTGCAAATTTCCTCTATACTGACTACCGTACTTATCAACTACACTTTTGAAAGCTGTGCTCATCTCTGGATCATACTGACAACTCCAAATAGCTTTGAGCAATAATGCTAATTGTTCTGTTATTTCACCTTTGGTACCGTACTTTTTAGAGTTTTTCTTTCTCCCTAAATCTGCTTTGTAATTATCTAATACAAAGTATTCTGCTAACACATCGGTATGCGATAAACACTGCAGAACTGCATTCATGAAGCACGTATTGCCATGATTCCTTAAACCTATGACACCAGGAATCATATCTGGTGGTATATGAGCGGGCCTCGACAAAGGTACCCTTATGTCATTAGCACTAGATTCTATACCATCACTGCTTCCCTTGTGATTTTGTATGCCTACTTGAGTGAATCGCTGATAGGCAGACTTTAAGATTCTAGGCAATTCTTTGATAGATAATGATCGATTTACTTTTCTTCTAGCAGAATTTGAACGACTCAAATCCAAATCATTGGACTGTTCATTAGATGGTACAATTGTGTCTTTTACAGGCAAATCTCTTTGTCCTTTCATTCTTCTTTTGGCGGTTATATGTGAAAAAGTTCTTTTGAGTATATTTTTGCCTGGTTTTCTACCCACGTTATTCTGAAAGTATTTTAATTATATTAGTATTATTGACATATATCTTTACTATATATAAACAATAGCTTATAATAAATACAATTAATCTCAAAAATAAACTAGTAATAAAAAAATATTATGTAAAGTTAAAATAAAATCAGAAAAAAAATTAATGGTTTAATTAAGATAAGCAATTATAGTTCAAGGTAACTATAAAATAATTTACATTTCTTAAATGATACAGAATAAAGTATTATTCAATTTCATCATGTGTTATCAATTATGTTGCTTTTCATTGAACGTTCTAGAGACCAAAGTGCAACAACACCGGATCTAAACAAAAAATGGCCAAGCTTCACTCGTATCAAACAAAGTCGATTAGAAATTGAATGAATAATGTAATGGCTTATTGATACAAGTCAGTATATATTATGCACCGAACGTATTGTGCAGAGTTCGTTGAAGCGTCATTACTCGCGAGCGCGCAGATGTATATTAAAAAACGATTTGTGTAAGTAGCAGCGTTAAACGTAATTGTCAGCGTTAATTCGCGTGTTAAGTTAAATTTTCCGAAATTCGAACAGTTCGAAATCCGAAAAGCGGACAGTCACCGAGATAAGTGGCGAAGGTGACAAACAAAAAAACTGTCGAGCAGTGGTGGGTATTTAAAATGAAAAAATTGACTGAAGGCAAAGCACACAGACACACATTACCCACACGATTCGTGTCACACATCACAATGTTTACCTCGATGTTGGCGGTAATGTCATCTTTGATAATAGCAGCAACGCCTCCGCCAGCGATGAGCGGGCCAGCATCGACACCAGCACCGGTATCAGCGTCGCTTTGGGCTGGCGCGGGGCTCATTGTTGATGAGGGTTCTTCGCTACTATTTAACTTTTGTTTCAATTCAAAAATTGCTCACGCGCGAAACGATAAGAACAACGACAAAGCTACAACTCCGTAAAAGAGGAGTGACGGAAAAGTTTATTCGCCTGCACGGAGCCGCACGCGCGGTAGTCTATATTCACACGCGAGCTGCTCGATGCACACAAGAGTAGATACGGGGCGAGGTGCACGCGCCCTGCCTGCCAGAAGTAACCCCGCAAGTCAGTCGGTTGGTGTTACCACCCACTATTATCGGGACGTAACATAACCCCGTGTGCTGCTGTTGCTGCTTCTAGCGCAGAATAGCGCGTATACTATCATCGTAGTATGTAGTAGGTAGAGTAGTAGCAGTAGCACAGCTGCAGTGTAGATAGTAGCGATCCACTGTAGTTACTACATAGCTCTCGACGTATACTGCATGCGAGTGCACCGAGTATATAATGCTATCTATATAGAGTCATATGTGTATGTAACAGAGGCTCTCTCACAAAGGGCGAGCGATGATAATAAAGAAAAAAGCCCAAAACAACGGCGCACACGCTGCTCTCTGGCCTCTGTGCTGCAGTCTTTGTAACTCTTGCGAGCTGCTATCGACGATGATCAATTGCACTTGTATACTATGTACAACACACTGCACGCAACTGACAAACACACGCGCTCGACTTACTACTCGCGACTGCTCTCTCGGTCTCGTGTACTATAAAATACGCCTCGCAGTCGCGCGGGCACAACACACACACACACAGACACACAGCTGCGATGTGTATCGCGGAGTCTCGGATTGATAGACGTACGCGGGTGTAGGTGCGTTCTTCGACGCCTATTAGTTCGGAGCGAATGCGTGTAAATATATTTATGTATGCTGTTCTGTGTTACGTATGTAAATACGGAGCACGATCACGACGCACTATACAGGCACACGGGACACGGCTGCTGTACTGCTTGCCTCGCGACGACTGATTTCTCTCGGCGTGCGCGCGGCCTGCTGCAGTCCACACGGCGCGCGCTACATCATATTATTATACACGTACACACACACACACACACACACACACACACACACACACACATCGACTACACTATATAGCACACTATAGTCTCGTAATTCCACGCTGCTGCTGCAGGCGCTTATATGCAATAGTGTATATATGTATATAGTTGGCTCCAGAATATAATGCACTGCTGGAAGCGGGGGGCCGCCATTTGCCGTGCCTCTACTACTACTACACTCGTACGCCTCTCATATATGTGTGTGCGTGTGCAACATGTAGTGACTTTACTGTATTGTCGTGTCGTCGTGTATCGAGGTGGTTGGCGTGAGCGTATGCGAATACGAAACACACAAATATGTGTAATCTAAGCCTAAAGAGCGGGAGGTCGGTAAAGACAAAGCCGAGCCTACTGTGATCTGTCGATGGTTATAAATTCCGGCGATCATGGCTTGGCGCGAGATTTACCCGCCGTACGCCACTGTGGCGCCACTGGTTATACCGGAGTTCCATGTCAATATAATTTATCCGATGCTCCGCGAGAATACCGATCATTGCACCTTTAAAACATTCTGTCGTGCCGGCACTTCACTTGCAACAAGATAACTTCTACATTTTAAAATGACTCCAAATTAGTAATTGACGTTAGTCTGGCGCACCTGATATATCATCTACTGGAAAGTAATGTCGGCGAGACTCGGATAGCAGCCGATCATTGGGCGCCTCGATCGATTCTACAGCTTAGCAACCAAAGCGAGAGTTTGATTTTTTTCTCGAATAATTCGGTAATTTTTGGGTAAATAAATGGAGCTGCCACGCGCCAATGCCCTTTTCCATTCTCTCTCCTCTCTATAATCCACCTGCAGCGGTGCATACTTAAAAAGAATCAAAGAGAGCGCCGAGCGCGCGGAAATTTTTCGAAAAACTTTCAAAACATAACGTGTGTAGGCAGCTGCTACGCGATCAAATACTCGATACCCCGTATATAGCCGATCAATAAACAATGTATTCGTGCATTGTGTTGTTTTACTATCGATTAGCTCCGATTAACACAGTGTAAAGCGAAGTTATTGCTGACTACCAAGCATATGTGATTCAATGCTTTGCGTTTTGGCATTGACCTGTATAGCTTACTATATCTCGAGATATTCGCTTTCACTGACAGGCTACTTTTTTTATCCTGAAACTATTGATACAATGCTCAATAATAAAAATGATATGGAGACATGTTTGATGTTTACTCTGCGATGAGTGACCCACGCGTGAGACATGAGCTTGACAGTTCCCATTAGCCGAAATATATTGGTCAATTGATATTCGTTATTTGCCACGAAAAAAAAATCTTTTTCTCTTCAAAAATTTTACGGACGCGTATGTCGAAATAATAATTTTTCTAGTTTTAGCGATTGCCTAACCATCAGCATTGTATCAAGATAATCTGTCCATCAGTTTATTCAAAAAATTTTTGTCAAAGTCACGTTTTGATTTTTTTTATTCTAAATGGAAAAACTACTTCGTGAAAGCGGAACAAAATCGAGACTGATATTATATATTTCGTCTGTTAACTTTCGAATAATACAATTTTTCGACAGACTCTTAAAATATGCATCGCGATTTGTGCGTCGGCAAATTATTTACGCAATATTTTGATTGTTAATTGCTCGTGACCTTCACCGCGATTGTTGAAACTCGCGAATCTTAGACTAATAACCGGGCGCACATGTACTCAAACTTCGATTCTCAAATATTGCTCTACATAATAATATAATCCGGCAATCATATTGAGGTTGGTTCTTTTTTTTGCTCAACTTTCATCTTTCCGCGCATCGGTCAATAAGAGATAATAAGAAAAACACGAATTTGTTGACGTATTTGAAACACGTGTAGTGATTATCATTTAATACTAAATGAATATATATTAAAAATAAAAATCGCGTGGCGCGTGAACTTTGAATTTCAAAGAAATAAGAAATCAATCGCATAAAAAAAATGAAAATAATCGCAGGTGCGGAAGTGAGTAGGGGAGAAATGGCTGCAATTCTAATTACTTAATATTTTGATTATCAAAGTACACATACAAATTTTCACGCCAGTCGAACAGACACGACTGGGTCGCAGCGAGGCGTCGTTAATCAAACTTCAAACTCACAACCGAACAACTTTTTACAACGTGGATCGTATGACTTTGAGCAATTAATACAAACGCGTCCAAAACAAATGTCAAAACACAATTCGCGAATCGTCGAACCCGCGCGCTATCGGAAGTAAATATTTTATTCCGATTTCTATATTTTCATCGCGCCAATTTTCCAAGCATTGCAATGCAAGATAGGACGAAGTCATCGTCGCCGTCGCCGGATTTGTCTCAGCCCCGCCCCCGAATCAATGCGCCGCTCCGCAAGCTTTGTACAAATTTCACACGCAGCTGTTTTCTTATTGCATATTCAAAATTGATAAGATAAAATGCGGATTGGGTACTTAAAGGTATCAAATTTTGGCAGAAATGCATCAATCGTTTTTGGCTCGTCTAATAACGAGTGTCGACCGTCGCGATTTAACCCACCCTCGGAACCATGAAAGTTTTCGTGTTAGTGTTGTTTGCCGGTGCTTTAGCGGCGATCGGGCAGATCGAAGCAGCCGATGAAGGTAAGTAAAAATAAAAAAAAAAACGTTAGTATTAAAACGTGCGCGTCCACTAGTGCGTCAGTGTGTTGATAATTACAAACAAAACCGTTTCGGGCCCCGCAGACTCGGACATATTCAGGGCTCTCGGCTTCGTGTCGAATCTCATGTTCGGCAAGCTCGACTGCAAGTTTCTCACGAGCCACAAGGTCTTCTCGGTTTGGTTCAACGTCACGTCGGGGGCTCTGCCTCAGGGTCGCCAAACCCGCTCCGACTTCATGCCGATACTGTTCGAGCACTTCGATCCGCGACAGCGCACCGCCGTGCTCATACACGGCTATATGGTGGACGGCAGGATGCCTTCGTTTTTGGAATTGCAAAAGCAGCTTCTACTATGGGTATGCCGATTTTTAAAAATTTTTTTAAGGATAAGCTTCAAAGCGGATATGAGAAACGATTGGTTCATTTAGGATCCTAAAATGAACGTGATTCTGGTCGATTGGATTGGCGGAAGTAAGATCTTCATGTACGAACAAGCGGCTCGTAACACCATTCACGTCGCCAAAGAAATACGGAAGTACGTCCTAAATGATTTTTGCATAATAATATCAAGTATCGAATCGTTACAATTATAACGAATCGTTATCAGATTCTTCAGCGGCATGATCGATCACTGGGAGTCGAAGGGAGTGAAGCGCACCGACTGGGGCCCGGTGCACTTCCTCGGCCACAGTCTCGGGGCTCACGCGGCCGGCCAGGCGGCCCACTATCTCAAGCAGCAGGACGCATTCCGGGTCAATCGGATCACGGGTCTGGATCCGGCCGAGCCGTGCTTCGAGGAGCCGCGCGAAACCGAACCGAAGCGACTGTCGCGCGAAGACGCCGATTTCGTCGACATAGTGCACACCGACGCGGCGGTGACGAGGAACGCCGCCCTCGGACTCATGGATCCCATAGGTGATCTCGACTTTTACATCGATGGCGGCAATCTCCAGCCCGACTGCATGGGCGGCGCCAACGAGGCAAAAAAGAGATCCGAACTCTATAAATATTTCCTCGGCTACGTGAAGATCGCTCGACACAGTGAGTACAGTCGTTCGCAAACAAAAAAACCCTGTGAAAACCCTCTGTATTGTATTCGCGTACTCTCTCGCAGTTGTGTTCGACAACGCGTTCTGCAATCATCTGCGAGCCGTGGACGTGTTCGTCGAGTCGGTGCGCTACAGTCACGAGCAGAAGAACTGTCCGTTCTGGTCGATACCCTGGGACCTCAAGGGACCCTTCGGCGACGTCATGAAGTCCGGCCAGCACATTTGGAAGTGTCAGTCGAACACGTGCGCCGAGATGGGCATGGCGGCGGAGCGGCACCCGGAGCACCTGCGAAGCCTCCACACGGCCAACACGTTCTACGTGCCCACCGTGGACCGGCCCAAGCAGTGCGTCAAGTACTTCTCGGATCATCATAGGGGCATGTACGTGGACACGTATCCCAAGCGCGGCTATCTCGAGAAGATGGCCATGTATCTCGACGACGCGTTCGAGCTCGTCAAGAACCAGATAAGCATTCCCATTCCCGGCTTTCTCGAGAATATCAGACAAAAGATTCGCAATGTTTTGTCCCGTGGTACGTAAAAAATCAATGATCAAACCAAAATAACATATAGAACGCACGATAAAAGGAAAAAAAAACAATCGAAAGCATATGGCAACTCTTTGCAGTTTTAGGATAGAGAAAATTATAGTATTCGACCGCACACGCAAGTATTAGACCAGGTTCGAGGAGTTGTGTATAAAAAAATTGTACAAAATTGTAGATAATATTGTTAACGCATTGGCCACACTTGTACATATACAATAACGCCACGCCTATAATCATAGATCATAAGTCATGTATTCCACTACTACTACGACAGATAAGACCGTTTGTAAATTGTAAACAAAAAAACCGCAAGTATTATATTGTACATAAAAATGCGACAAGAGACTTAATTCGCTAAACTTCTGTATGTATGCAAATCCATACTCGCTATGTATTATTCGCTATTGTTATTATAATCGCATGCATATTACATTGAACAAGTTGATCTTGGTGATTATTTATTTAATTTAATTAAAGATGAGTAATGCCTACTTACATGTCTGTACCCGTGTCGTGCAGTTCCACGCGTGATCAGCACTTGTTTGGGCAATCGCCACTTCTTTTCTGAGTCGAATCATATCTCGCGTGCGTGCCGTTTGCGCAAAACTGCGCGCCAGAAACGCGTCGTCTGCCATCCGAGTAAGGTAAGAAACTGTGCGAACTGCGAAATGATTGCGCTGATTCGCCGATCGCCGCCACTCGTCAAAGGTTATGTTTACATTCAAACTACTTTATGGTTTTTGCAGTTTTTCCGATTCATTCCACTGTGGCTGTGTGGTGATTTAATTTTCGTTATCTCCTCGTGCTGTCATCTCGATTTGTTTACTTGATATCAGATATGTGAGGATTTCTTTTACATCAAAAAAATGATTATCAAAGTGTCAAAAATCATTAGCTGCTCGTCTGAGGATCCAGCTTATCCAGCCAGCAACTTGTTGGATAATCCGCCAAAAGCAGGATGGCATTGTGCGAAGCCAACCGAAGTCATTGCCACTGTCATACTGCAATTAGCAGAGCCCTCCTGCATAACCGGCTTGGAGATTGGCAATTACAGGTCGTGCATTGTTGTGGTTGAAGCATCTACCTCAGAGGAGCCTGACAAATGGGTACCGGTTGTGAATCATCAATTTTTGTCTCACGACGAGGCACTCAATAACAAATTCAGAGCTCAGGTACAGATATTTACTAAGCGAGAACTCAATCCCGATACTGTTAAGATTAAGTTTGACAGAGTTAAAGTTACCTGTATGCAATCTGCTAATCCCAGAGAAGTTTTTGGCTTGGAATTCATTTCATTAAAAACTGAAGTTGTTGTGGAGATAGGTTTGGATGTATTTGGTAGATTTAAATTGAAAGAAAAACAGGATGGTCCAGGATCTCTGAAAGAGAAGTATTTCAGTGCATTTGAAAAGAAGAAAAATTACAAAGAAGAGCTAAAAAATAAAATTGCTGAACAAGGTGCGAGCAATTTCAATAAAAAGCAAGAATCACGTACTGAACCAAAAAAGAGACCCTTGCTTGATAAATTAGAAGCTGATAATCAGGAACAAGATAAGAAAAAATCAGGTACAATAAATTTTTTTATAAAACCGAATATATATTTTAGAAACATAAAGTTGAATTATTTATTGCAGATGATCAAGATAACTTATTTGATGAATCCTTATTACCAGACAAGAATCAAATAAATTCTTCAGTGCCAAGAACTTTATTTGGAGATGTTATTCCAAGTCCTAAGCAAACCAAAAAAACAACTAATCAAACAGATGTAAAAACAAAAGCGAATTTAAATGATAGTTCAAGTAAAACTTCTCATGATTCTCCTAAAGTTTTGAAAAATAAGGAAAAAGAAGAATGTTCTAAATGTAATACTAAACCTGATGAATTGTGTACAAAATGTAATTTACTCAGGAAACCAAAAGCTTTAAATCAATCTCCAAAGCATAAGAAACGAAAAATATCAAAACCAAAAAAACAGTTCAATAAACTTTTTGAAGACATCAATTTTGCTTTGAGTGGTTATAAGAATCCTCAAAGAGATGAAATTCGAAAAAAGGCATTAAAAATGGGGGCCCAATACAATGCCAATCCTAATACATCAAATAACAAATGTACTCATTTGGTCAGTGCCTTTCCAAATACTCCAAAAATTCAGCAACTAAAAGGTTCTTGCAAAATTGTAAGTCATAAGTTTATAGAAGATTGTTATGACAACAAAAAAAGGTACCTTAAATACTTTTCATAATTTTTATATCAAATGTACATATTAATGCATCAATTCTAAATCTAATTGTAAATATAGGATACCATGGAGAAGATATGCTATTGATAGCAGAGAGAAAAACTTACCAGAGAGTGAAGAAGAAATCGAAGGTACTACCTCTCCTATCCGACAAGTCAGTGTTTATGACCAAGAGACAGAAGAGTCCGATGCAGATTATTAGAAAATTGGCTTCATTTAAGATGGTGTGAAAATTGTACAGTTAACAAAATCTTTTATTTTTATAATAAATTTATGCGAGAAAACGATTCAAATACTTTTTGAATAATTTCATAAAATAAAAATTGTTTTTATTCTGACGAAGACGTTTTATTAATATTTAACAAAGTGTTAATATAATTGATTTAAGAGTATGTATCAAATTAAAATATCACATAGTAGAGAATTATCAAAACGATAAAATAATCCATACTACTAAATATACAAAGTCATTATAGAAATGATAATTACAATTCGTTTCTGACGGTTGATTTGAATTTCAATTTTAAATCGCTAATTTTGGTCCCTTATGAAGTAAATTTTTAAAATCAGTTCCAGTTTAATTTTTAATACTGGAAACGAATAATATACATTATAACACAAAATTAGTGAAATCTAGTTTATAAACAATAAAAAACAGTATACATCAATGCTGCCATCAATTCACAAATGTTTATGTGCTGAAACGCGAAACGTATTTAAATACGAGCGTAAACATCAACAACCATTACAATCACATTATGCATAGCATCTCCAATTTTTCACGTATAAATTTAAAATAGATACGCATAAATTGTAATACACATACCAAAAAACTTTTTTATTCTCAAGCATGCAGTATCAAGCAAAATTATGAGAACAAATATTTACAAAATAACCACTCATTTAAATTTTATTAACTACCTTATAGGTGAATTAAAAGTCGCCTTTTAATTAATTTCCATAATTTGAAACTTAAAACACTTAATTGCAAGCAACAAGTTTAAACAATTATTCATAATTAACCGTTCATTTATTGCATCGTTAAACGCCAAAGTTTTTGAAAATAAATGAGATTTCTCTACAAATGTACAATACTTTTTACAAAATGACACAGGAAAACAATAAATTTCTTATCAAGCACAAAAAACCACGATTATATACAAGTTGGTAATTTTGACGAGTGCACTCACTTTCTTGCCAGCAGTGTCAGCTTACTTTTATAAATATAGTCTTTCTTATAGTTACGATTTTTATGAGATTTTTGTTTGCTATATTAGAACAAAGCGCTACGAAGATAGGCAAATACGTTTGTACAAAAATTGATGTTACGATTATCGTTATTATGCACTTAATACCACGAAATTATAAATAATCAAAGACCACTCGCTTAAAAATAAAGCCGAACAGTCTTGTACGACGATCAGTCAGTTGTTGCCAGATTATTAACTGCACTAATGAATCTCATAAGTGAGCGGCAAAGTCGCTCGGTATTCTGTCAACGAAATTTGCTGGGAACTGACCCTTTTCTCCGTTACACTCTCCATACAACCACTCATCTGATATTCTGGATAAAACTTTAATCGTAGCTCCTTCCTGAAAATTGAACATTCATTTATTTTAGCTCGACCGCTCCAACATTTGATGAATAAACAAAACTTGCTGAAACTTACCTTAAACGATAAATCGTCGAAGGTTTCCGCGTTGAAATCGTAGAGCGCATTGACGACGTGACTATCGCAGCCGGGCAGCGGAACTTTGACGTCGATGAAATTGGCCGGGAAGATACCCTCGGTAACGCCCACGCAGCCTTCCATCCAGTCGTCGTTGACGGCCTTGGTCAAGTAAACGACGTCGCCCTCTTTCAACTCCAAATCGCCAGGCTGCGACGCTGGGAAATTGTACAGAGCTACGCCGTACGGACGCTCGAAATTTTCCTGTTGAGATAGAAATCCGAGTTATTAAATGCAGCACATTGAAGCGCGAGTCACGTACTTTCGTAAAAGCGAATTAGCGAGACTTTGCGAGCAAATTACATAAGAACGCGGAGACGTTAGATTCATGACTTTTGAAAATGTCTATAATGATGTAAAGATCGCGAATTATAAAACTTACCACTAAACCATCCTCCAAGCTGGCCATGTACTCAGGCGGTGGCGGTGGAGGCGGCAACTTTGGCATCGGCGGCGACGCATCCTCGGCCCAGCCGGGTTTATTGTCGTCGCTCACTGGAGTCAATCTAGGTGCGCTCGAGTACTTGCTCACCGACAGAGCTGGCGGCTGAGCCGGTTTGGGTGGCGGTTCTTTGTTGCTGCTTGGCTTCTTAGCTCGAATTATCGTGGGCATGACAAAATTCGACTTGGCGGTCGCCTCGGTCGGCGAAGTCGACGAGGAGGAGGACGTCGGCCGCGACGAAGGTGCAGCCGCGGTAACTGGAGCAGAGTCGAACAAGCTCGTCGACGACGACGTCGTGTTGATGTCGTTGAACGCGAAGAAATTCGATTCGCCGATTTCCTTGATCTGTGTTTGTTGCTGCAATATGGAGGACGTAGTAGAGGACGCAGTCGACCACTTGAATGCGAGAAAAAAAATTTAATTTAATTAATTTTATTTTGGAGTTTCTAGTCAATGTTAAATACGCTCGAGAAAAATGCTCGCATACATATCGTAGCCAGACAGACATATATTGCATTATCTAACCGCGTCGAAGGATAAATCGCTTCGACGAAGTTGTTATGTTGATTGTAATTAGCATAGCCGAGAATGAGAATTCTAGCGGCTATTAGTAATGCCTTTTTCTTTTGCTTTTATAATAGTCGAACAAAAAAATGCGTGTACATATAAAATAAAGCAGATAGCGACGGCGGCCACGTCAAGTGACACACATGGACACGGAGCGTCACAAATTCACACGCACGCATAGCTTAATAACAGGGGCGCAACGCCGAGCGCAGTGCATCGTGCACAGAGAGAGACAATAGAAAGCTCCTACTGATTACTGCATCGTGCGCCGGACGAGCATGTGTTAATGCACGTCACATATAATACGTACATATATAGCACAAAGAGACTCGCGCGCACATATATGCAATCACAATTGCGCAACGAGTGCAGGCACGAGTGAGTGAAAAACTAGATAATAAAAAATAGACACAAACCTGCTGCTGCTGCTGTGTCTGCTGTTGCTGCTGCTGCTGGTATTGTGTTGACGATGAGAAGGAAGAGCTGGCGAAGGCGTCGAACGAGCCGAAGGGGTCTTGGGTGCAGCTGACTTTCCACGGGTCGTTGCTTGCAGTCGTCGTCGCCGCAGCCGACAGATGATTATTCGGCTTCTTGCCATTGACCGAGAGATTGCCAAAAAAGTCAAAGTCGTCCTCGAACGCACTGCAAGCGCTACTGCCGCTGGTAAAGGCCGACGGATTGGAGTTGCCGTCGCTGCCAAAGCTGTCCACGCTCACACCGTCGCTGCTCGATCGGGTCGTCGACGAGGGCGTCGGCGAACCGGGCGGGCTCAGATCTATCAGACACATGCTGATCGGACCGTTGCTGTTGCTGTTGCTACTGCTGTGAGTGTCGTTGAACAACGACGGTTGTTGCGACTGATGCTGCTTCGTCGTCGTCGGAAACGCGTTGCGGATGGTCGTGCCATAATTCTGTACGGTAGTGGTCGACGATACCGACGACGACGATGACTTGGAGCCGCGACGACCGAAGAGATTCGTTATCAGTTCCGTTGGCCTTGTCTGTGGAAGAAGAACGGGGAAAAATTCATGTATCAAATCGGACGTTCTATCGCCTTTTTTTTGTTGCTGTGCTTTTCTTTTTTATCTGACGCGAACGGGAAAAAAATTGACTGCTTCATTATGCATATATCGGTCTCGGATCAATTGCGTTTCATAGCATCGGCCGAAGGTGTATAACATCTTTTCGGTTTTCGAGACGCAGTTTATTATTAACGACTATGTTTTGTTGAAACGAGACTTTAAAAGATCTCTGCGCGGCGATCCGAGTTGTTTACGAGTCTCGTACTACACGCTTCTCGCTTCTGAATATCGTTACTTGCTACGGGAAGTGAAAGTATGTAATCTACTACTGCTGTACGCGAGTTTAGTTTTCCGTGCTGGATTTCGGAAGTAACCTTGAGTAGTGTATAATACACGCGGCTCTCGCGTATCGTTATAGTAGCTGCCGCCGCTGTTGGTCCCATTGGAGCAACAAGTTAATTTCAACGTTTCGTTTTCAAGGACGCGATTTTTCTTTCTCTCTTTCTTTCCTCGGATTATTGAAATTATACTACAGAGTTTTGCGCCTTACGCGTTTTCGCGCAACGACCGATTGCAACTTTGATATTTTTCCTTTTTGTAAACCAAGTGCTTCATTCGCAGATTTCGCAAGCGCGACGACGCGGCTCTCTTGCCTTCTTTGGAGGAAGTTATGAAAAATCGCGCTTGATAAAACAACGAGTTATAATAACATAAAAAATGATATCGTCGATACAGCCAACATCTTCCTGCTCGTTTGCTTCGGAAGCACAATTATATTTATTTAACAATTTGTAACGCGATACATTGTAAGTTTTCATTATACTTACGGGCTTATTCTTTGGTTTGTCTTGGGGAGTATTATTGCTGCGTATGGTGAATTTTGGCGGTGGTGGCCTTGGCGGTGGCTTTTTCTTCTGATTCACCGTCATTATTGGACTGAATGGATCGATTCTGCAAAACAAAAGATAAAAAATTAAAATCAAGTCGAGATGCGTCTTAAATCGTATTATAATTTAACAATCATGCGGCTCGCGCACAGAAAACGCGAGAAACTTTTTCCCCGTATTAATTGCGCCGCTGCTGTTCGCAGCTCGCTGCGGCGCCTGGCTTAAACAACGATCTTATCGGGCAAGAAAAAAAAAGAAACGCCTATTGTAGTGTAGTCGAGTGGAGGCGCAAACATTTTTCGAGCAAAGCGTCGAATCCCTACGCGCGCACGCAAATAAACAAACACCACGTGATGTATATAGATTTACAACTATACGCGCGCATCCAAAAACAAACAAAAATCATTCGTGCCAACTGCGACTTGAAACTGTGTTACGTTTTCGTGCACAGAAATATACGCGTGGTGCACTATATAATTCGGTCCTTATTTTAAATATAAGTACATACGCACACCCGAGTATTCGCGCTTGCAGCTTCGAGAGCTAACTACTTGCTAATCGCAAAAACTTTCCATGCAAATTGTCTGCCAGCGGCGCACAAGCGGCGAATCTTTTTTTTTATAGTGGAGAACAAAAACACTAGGAATTACCAGCGATTAATAATTATGAGGAGCATATAGTTGTGCGATTTTATCGTATCGTTAACACGTGCCAATCCCACCCGTCATAAAATAAGTAGGAGTATATAAATTTATCTGTTATAATGCGTAGAAAATATACGAGGCGGCGCGTTTCGAATTATCGGACGCGGATTTTTAGAAGCGGAAAAGCGTACTACTGGAAAAAAAGAGAGCATCAGATGCAGCGCAATAAGAAATAATATACACGAGATATTAACGCTAATGTTAAACGTGCACGCGCGCGAGTGAATCTCGACTAGGAATGTTTTTTTTTTTAATTTTTCGTCTGACGCAATTTGGCGCACGCGATACATTATAGCGTGTGACAGGAGAGTCGAGTTTTTGTTTATTTTTTATTTTTTAGGCATCGAGAATAGAGCTGGGGAAAAACGTTACCGCGGGGAAATTCAGATCTTATCGATTTGTAATAATGAGCCTTGAGAGAGAGACACGATCGGGCCTTTTATATACATCCGAGATAAATATATAATGAAGAGTAAACGAAATGGAAAAGAGAAAAGTGATAGCCTCGCGATGCACACATAGGCATTCGAGGCTTCTCCGTGGCGCGGCGCGCAGATAATTATACTTCTTATCCGCGTTGTCTAAACAGCTGTATAGTAAGTCACAGTGTGCCTCTATAATTAAATGAACATTAATCTGGAGAAGAAAAATAAATAAACCGATTTTACCAGTACGCCGCGGAGTCGTGAAAATAATGATTTTAAAATCGTACGATTATTGGCCTGGGTCGCTTCGCGTTATTTCGAGAGCAATCGCGTGTGCAAGCGCAAGCGAGTATAACGTACACACATATCGAACATTATCGCCAAATGTAAGCGCACTCGCGCGCAGTTCGGGATTGTTTATTCAAACAAACGAAGCGACTTCTTGCTGCGCGACGCACAAAGTCATTGAACATACTGCGGACTCGAGTCGTCGTCGTCACCGTTGTACAGGCGAAGAATCGAAAGCGTATTATATGCTGATGATGGAAAACAAGCGTTCGTAGCGCGGGCATCTCGCTCGAGACTCGCTCGGTCCCTTTCTTTTTTCTTCCGAAATGTCATTTCATTTTTTATTTATGCGACCGCGCGCTGCCGCCGTCGTATATCACAAACGGTAGTTTGAAGACGAGGCCGAAGATACACTTGAATATATTAAAAGAGAAAAAAGTATATTTATAAATGCGCGCGCGCGCGCCCGCCTCTTTCCCATATATATACGGAGCGTGTCTCATTTTTATAAGTAGGACAAATTCTAGACACCGAAAGCGTGCCTGCCCGCGCGCGCCCCGCCACCGAAGAGAAATTATACTGCACACGTGACGTGTGCAGCAGCAGCACCTGGCTTTACCGGAAGTGCACACAGATTTGGTCCAGCGCAGCGTTCGAGTGCGCTGCTGTGCATGCGCGAGCATGATGCAGGATGCCGTTAACGACGCTTGATTCGTATAATTAATAATTACTTGCGGCGCTATTGTCGATGATCTCGAAGATACTTGAGATTTTTAAGATGTGTGAATGCATGAATTAATTAAAAAAAAAAACAACGGGTCTTACGCGTTTCACGAATGAATTCATCGAGAGCGTGAAGATAATTGCGCGAAAAAATGTGTTCTGGACATCGTCAGTGGGTGGAACCCGAATGACCTAGCACAATCGAGCACACAACCTATTCATTTCTTTCTCATCAAGATCAAATTTTCAATACCACGAGCGTATCGGAAAATGAGCCATGAGCGCAGCGATGATTCATAAATTTGATTCGTACGGCCTAGCACCGATTGAGAAATATGAGTCGATAGGTAATTAACGCAACCGAGTAATTACACGAAATTACGAAAAGCGCGCGTCGATGTTTTCGCAAATTTCGGGAATTCTCATCGAGTACGATTTGGCAAATCTTGCGCTGTTTAACGTTATTTACTTTTTTTTTACCATCCAACGCTCGCTCGTCTCTTTCAAGGTTCGTACGAGATTTTCTGTGGATATGTTTATGGTTGTTTCGAGGTCATTAAAAAATTTCCATTCACTGCTGCATGTGATATTACTATATAAGCTAATCTCGCACAATAGCCGTAGAGAGAGAAAAAAAAAGGTATATAATTTTATATGTTCTCCGCTCGTGCACTCTCACTCGCGGCAATTTGCGTGTACACGATATATATATTTGCGCGCAATCGATCTGGTTTTACGTCAATGAAGCACGCGAAAGATAAGCGCTCGTATTTACACCTGCGTAAACAAAAAAATCTTCGCCGAATTATAAGTCAAGTTTAATTTTTTCTTTCATTCTCTCGTTTCTTTCATTTAGACGGGAGTAAAGGGGCATTAATTCGGTGACACGATCGATGGCTTTCACGAGTGAGATTTGAAAGGAAGTTGACCTACAAGCGCAGGGGGCCTATAAGTTTGGTTATTTTTAGGATTCGAGGAGCTAACGCGCACGTGGTGCAGCAACACAAGGATTGAATTTTCACTTGCACGTGGCGCCTGACTTCGTCTCCATCGCTGTCAATTACAATCGTCAATCTGTTATTTCCTTCATTGGCTTTGAGTTAAAATAAAAATTGATCGTTGACGAATGTTCGTCGGGGCAACTAATAGCCTTTTAATCCAATGTCAAAGATCCTCGATTTATTTACGAGCCAATGAAAGCTTTTGTCTTACTTTTTAAACAACCATCTCTCAATTACACATTGACAGCAGCAGCGGCCGCGTCAGGTTCACGCGAGATAGAAGGAAAAAAAAATTGAAAAAAAATGTATAACCTCGCAGGCTTTGAGGACAATTACGTGAACGCAATGAGTCAAACAATATATAGACATATAATATCGGAGAAATGTCGAGAAGATTCTTTTGACAGCTTGTGCGCTCGGCGCGTCTTGAAATCGGGCAACAAAAAAAAATAACGATAATTAGACGCGATGAGTGTGAGAAATTGCACGTAACATTAGCTATTGTAAGAAAGAAGAATAATAAAAAAAAAGAAGAGTAAATTGAGACTCACCCAGACCACATGTCATTGTTCCTCGGGGGCGAAGTGATGGCGGCGGCAGCGGCAGCAGAAGAGGTGGAGGAGGTTAGATCAGGTGGTCTCGGAGCCGAGCGCGTCGGCACCCTCAGCTCTGTCAGCAGATCCATTTCATGCACACTGCACTGCACTTAAACGTCTTCTATTATTATACAATCTATCTCGTCGTCTTCTCTCCTTCTCGCTTTATCTGTCTCTTGGCGAGACGCACAACCAAGGCAGAAGGAAGACACACGACGGTTTATATAGAGACGTCGCTCGAATGATCTCTGCCGCACACACTTGTTGTGTGAGGCACACAGTCTGTCTCTCGCTCTGCTCGAGGCGAATGGATGAACTATGAGACTCTATCTATAGAGAGAGAGAGAGAGAGACGAGAGAAGAGAACTCGGATATGTGTGTGAATGTGAACGTGTGGGTATATATATTAAATATATAACTATATGTATACGCTGCGACGTTTCGGAGCGCAGAGGCATACAAAATAACAGCACACCGAGAGAGCGAGCGAGGAGAGAGAGAGAGAGAGAGAAAGAGAGCGCAGAGACACTCTTTTGCTGTATTATATTATATGCGGACGTATGCGTGCGCGACGATTGAGCCCTTTAAACTTCTTCTTCTTCTTTAAACCAACGTCAGAATGAGCGCAGAGAGTGCGTGTCACGTTCGCTATAATATTATTGCTGAACAGTTCACGGCGGTTCTTGTTTTTTCTTTTTTTAAAAGAAAAGGACGTTGGAACTTGGACGGCGGTTATTATGTATTTTTATATTGGGGCAGCAAGTCTAGCAGGCTAATGCTGCTGCTTACGCTGGCAGGGTAGCTCTCGTGTGTGTGTGTGTGTGTGTGTGTGTGTGTGTGCTGCAGAGAAAATACTACAGCTGCACGCACCGCAGGCAGTTGACCGCTATATCCTCTTGATTGTGTTACTTGGATGTCACACTCGCACGAACACACGATTTGCGCACATATACACGAGTTTTCCACACTCACATGCGCACACACACCTCTCGACGAGTTCGTGTGTGTGTGTGTGTGGACGAAATAGTCGTGATTATAATTTAAAAAAAAACTAACTACAAGGAGCGCCTTTAAAGCCTTTGGTCGAAATTTCGGCACGCACGGCTATGGCTATAATAATCTAGTATAGAAAAACTTCGTCGTCACTCGCGACACAGGTCACACACACTGGCAGAGAGATAGTTGATAGTTGATATTGCGCTGCCAACTCGCTTTACAAGCACTACTACTGGCAGAACACAAAACCGAGACACCTCGGGTTTCTCACACGATTGTCTCTCCTCTACTCTATATAGTAATAATATGATATAAGTGTATAAAACGTCTATTCGATGAGACGCACTGCTCGCTACTGGCGACAATCGCTCAAGTTCGAAGCTAATACACACGTTGGACACGCACACACTGACACTAATAGTCGGGCGCACAATACACACTCTCACGCACTGTAACGACGATGGCGCACACTCGATCTATACATGTGTACCTATGCGTGTGCGCGCGCCTACATATACATATAATAGCGATAGTCGGTCGGTCTCTGTACACCGTATACTACAACAAATCAACGGATATGATTAATCCAAGTTGATCCAACGGCCGCCATGTATCGAATGCGCGCACATCGTGGTGCAGCAGGCGCTGAACGAGTGTAACTGCCGAAGCTAAGCCAACGACTCTGCCTGGCGAAGCGAGGATCGTATAGTAGTAGTAGTAGTAAGCGCAAATGTAACGAGCTCAGGCCTCGAGTCTCGCGGCTGCGCCAGCAGAGGTCAGCACCGCCGCGGCAGCAGAGTCCCGCGAATCGAGCAGTGCCGCCTGTGCAATCTCTTTAACCGTCTCTTTTGTCCGCCTCAGTGACGTCATTCTCGCACACAACAACGGCCGCTTGCATATAGGTGCGAGCACGCGGGGCTCTGTTTTTTTTATTCTTATATACCTATACGAGTCGTGTGCGTTACCTCTTTGTCCCGTACCGACTTTATGGAGTTCCCAACCGATTTGAAATGCGCGCATGCCAACGACGATGCGAGGGGGAGAAAGTCAGCAGCGGGACGAGCGCGAAAACGAGGAGTTTGCCCAAGTTCGGAGCGCAAAGACGATGATGATGATGATGATAGGCATCTAGGCGCCGAACTCGAACTAAAACTCGTTTGGTTCGGTTTTTACGTATAGGTATAAGTATATCATTACGAGCGTGAAATTTATGTATTAGATAGGTGAGCTGCAGGTGCATCCCATCTGCACACATGCCAAGAGCTCTCTAACCGACGAAATTTCCATTTTAAAAAAACCTTCTACGTAAGCGTGAGTTCCCTTCATTGTCAGTGAGTCAAGACAGGCAAGAGGTCGAAATTCACGAAAAGATCGAGAAACGTTCGATCGGCGCGAGCATTGACGTAAAAAGGCCGTTATCGAATCTCGCGTTATCGAGTCGCGTCGACGCCGCACCGCATGTGCATCATCATCATCATCAGCGTTGTCGTCAAACTCGGCTAAATACGTATTATAAGATAGACTATCATATTATGTGCTGCAGTGGGCTACGAGCCTACGACGCGCGGACTGATCCGGATCAACGTTAAATAGTGGCAGAGCTAGTATCGGAGCGGAGCGGGTTTCATTCGACAACGACGACGACGAGCAGCCAATAAGGATCACGATCCGCACGAATCGAGTTGGCATATAAACTTTGCCACAATTGCCCCGAGTCGGCTATTACTCTCTCGTTATGTATATAAACTAGCAAAGCTGCCCCGAGTAGTAGTAGTAAGAGAGAAAGAGAGCGAGAGATGAAAAGTCGAGCTTATATACCACGTTTTTTACGCTCCGTTATTTTTAGAAAGTTGATTTCATTCGGTCGTCATCGCCGCGTTTCGCGCACAGTTCAGGCCTCACACCTATATACTTATGTAGTGTAAGCAGCTAGAGAGATACTTGTATAATACAGCAACAGCAGCAGCAGCAGCAGCGGGAGGAGAGCACTATAGGTTCTCTCTCTGCACACTGCACCACGACGTTACGCGGCGACTGCACTCTGCAATTATGGATCTCCATAGCATCTTTCTCTAGCTTCTTGACAATTATCACGAAATTGTTATGATACGAGCGCATGAGACACGACGAGGCTCAACACCCCCATTTTCAATGTCGACCGCGCGACATCGACTCGCTAATACCCCTAATGGTTTTTCTTACGGCTCAAGGTCGAGCTGCTCTAATAAGACCCAGTAAAAATTAATTATAAAGCGCGTATGGCCGTGTTCGTGAACAATGATCCTCTTTGTCGTCGCGGCGAAAATATTAGTGTCAAGCTGCTGCTACTACTACTCCACTCTACACTAAGCCTTTCGATGTAACGAGCTTACCGATTTTTCCTGGAATACTCGTTGTAGCGCGACGCGATATATTATCAAGAAAAGAAAGAAAAAAAGAAGCGGCGAGCGTTATTTTTGAAAATCGGAGCTGGGTCCGCGCGCTGTTCCTCGAAACGAACGTGCGCCACGCTCCTCCTCCCTTTTCGGCACGCGATATATACAATAATAACACTCGGATTTCGGATCGCGCATGAGTCAAGAAATTTCACGTACACATTATCTCGTGCGATCTTTTTGGACGTTGTTTTGAATTTTTTTCGCTCGTAAATACACACCGTAATGTAGCTGCTCGAATAATACAATAGCCGATATGGTCCGCTTTCGATAACGCACGCACACGCTTGTATGTGTGTATGTGGAGGCAGCTATAAAAACTCCCGGAAATGAGCTTTCGAGTCGACCAATTGTGCGTAATACATATCATGGGGACGCGTCATTGCATCGCACTTCGGGGGCAAGTGGCTCGTCGCTCGACGATCGCGCACAGTTGACGAATTCAAAATCTATGTGTTTTTCTTCTAACGCATCTCGAGATCATTTATCGTTAAAATCGGTAATAGCGCGCAACGACGAATAATCGAGATACAATTGTAATCGTCACGATGGCGAGTCTGCGATATCTTTTGTAGATACCCGTTGTCGGGCGATCGTCGTAGCCTATACACAATATGTTGGATTCGCGAGCGCGTTTAACAATTAAAAGTGGGCACGTTCACTTGTAGATCAGTTGTTGTTGTACATACGCTTATTATCGATTAAAAATTACAGAAAGTGAATATGCTCAATTTTATCGTTAAAATCAGCTTATCTATTTTATCTTCATCCAAGTTCCTGTTGTTTTACGACTTTGGAAAATTTTCTCGCAGTAGGTTTTACGGCTCGCTTTAATTTTATAGATAAAACACATGTAGTATAACGCTCAAATGCTCATTTTCTTTGCCGCGCGAGTGAAAAAGGAGCGATGGAGAGGAGGCGAAGGTCTTTTCGGGCACACCTTTTGCCGTGGATAAACAAAAGCAATATCGATCGCAATCGAAGCGAGAGTGGATTATACACATAGACTACACGCGATCGTATAGCGAGAGATGTATAACACGAATGTATCGCTTTGAGCACGGAAAGTTGGGGTGAACGTTTTCTCAAAAGGACGGATGGGTGCACATTGTCGACTACGTATCGTAATACACGCGTTTACGCGTATACACTTTCCATCAAAATTACATATAGCTCGAAGAAAGTGTCGTATAATGATCGTATGGCATTAAGCTCGATATACGCGTACGAGAGCATTACGGCATTGTTTATTCAACTCGCGTAGTTACAACGCGCATAAGTATAAGTAGCTATTTTCCGCGGTGGCGGGCGTGGGATCGCGAACAGGAACAACCCGTTAAACTCGTGTGCAGTTGCCCGTGTGTTCGATAATTTTGACAAGTACGCGTTAACACTCGTATAAACACCGGGCTACGAATTTTTATCTATTTTTTTTTTTTTTTTTTTTTTTTTTTAACACGTGAGAGTAGACGTAATTCAAATGGTCGCCTGAAGTGTCTCTTTCTCTCACTCTCTCCTGGGCGTATATATTACAACGCAGTCGAAAGAGATAAACAAATTCCGGTTAAATTTCCGAATGAAAATAGGCCGCTCTCGATCTCGCGTTACAACAGGCCAGCTCATCGGATGCTCGGCCACTTTGCAGATCTGTTATGTGTATATCGTACACTCATGGGAGTGGGTGTCGCGCGATCGTTTCTTTATACGCACACACACACACACACACGAGAGGTGCAAATGAAAAGTTCGAAGCTCGCGCGCGCGACGCGACCGATCGTATTATAATTGCTCTCGACTGTGCAGTGGCCGAGCATTATTGCGCGCACGCTAAAATGTGCACGTAACGATCTCAAGCGCGCCGCTTAGAGTAATATAATGTGTGTGTCCGATCGACCGATCGCTGATCGCGCCCATACGCGCGCTCCTTTGCATAATCGTTTTTTAAACTGCACACACATGCATGCTCTGCCCCGCTCGACGTTATGCAACAGCCATCTTTTTGCCGTTTTTATGGTACTTATAATACTTGTACTTTTTTGACAGCCAAGCCCCGCGCGTATACGATTTTCTTTGAGTATACAAAAAAAAAAAAAAAAGGAAAAAGAAAGAAGTCGAGGCGCGCGCGCGTGATCGGTCGAGAGAAACGCATACGCGCATGCCGATTTCCTTAAAAGAGAACTGCGCGACGAAGAGATATACACAAAACGAGTCGAATTATATATGGCGCGTCGCGCTGCAGCTTTCCTCGCATGATCTCGCGCGAGCGAGCGAGTGAGCGATGACGAAATACCGCGCATGCACATACATAAACTCGATACATCTCGCAAGCAAGGACACACACACACATGACATGAAAGCCCCCGTGCATATGAAAGCAGTGCAGATTATTGCTACAGGTTTATGGCTATGGCACGCTGCACCGTACATACTACTGCAAGGCACAAAACAGCTTACAGGCCATCGCGGCTCTGAGTCATTCGGCAGATACCGACTGGCGAACGACCAGTGCGGACCTATAGACAGCAGCGTACAGAGCACAGCTCGTTGCTGATTATCTCTTTACCTCGGATTAGCTCATTCGAGCTTATACTTCTCCTTTTTTTTTTCTTTTGAATAATCGTTGACTTACAGCATTGAATTCGCCGCCGCGCCTCCGCTGTGTGTCATCCGCAGTCGCTCAGAGTTTTTGCGACTCGACCACGCATGCGTTCGTCCGCGATCTCTATTACACGTAAGTCACACTTTGTTTTGATTATACTTTATGCCACAGACTATGTGTTTGCGTTGTGGAAACATCCGATGACGGCCCACCACCGGCACTCTCGATTTCAGCTCTCTGTAGACGTCAAAACATCTGTCAAATTAACCCACAAAATTTTGATTTTGGTGCTGCACCGAGACGAGACAGAAGAATCCGCTCCGCCGACTCGGCTTTGTTTACTTCCGAATTTTTAGCTTCTGCTGCGCTCGCGGCGACCCACGGGCGATAAAAGTAAAAGGACAGCAAGGTATTATAATGTGTATACAAAACAAACGTTCGAATGTGCAAGTCATCCTTTCTAATTTTTTTTCCATATATTTTTTTTAGCAGATCGAGCTTGCACACGTACTCGTGTTGGGTTCACTTTCTATTTTAGATACTCGGCGAGAAATTTTTGCTAACGAGCACCCGTTAATGATGGCTAATAACTTGAAGCATTGCGTTTTGCTTCTCCATGACAATGAGGAACCTGTCAAGCAAGAGGCGGTCAAAGTTCTCCTTAAGATGTGCAATAATATTATCAAAAATCCCAAGGATTCCAAGTACAGGAAAATTTTCCTCAGCAATGCTGTTGTATCGAAAAAACTTCTTCCAGCCAACGGTGCTATTGAGTGCCTTTTTGAAGCTGGTTTCATAGAGGTACTTTTTTTTTTCTATAAAATCAAATGCATAATTAAGACTGCTTTGAATATGAGATTATATTATTTTAGAACGATGATGGATTTTTATTACCTCTAAACAATTCTCTTACTGGAATTAAAGAACTCTTTGAGCTTTTGAATAACTTGTCAAAACCGAAAAGTGTGCCTACTTCTATTACTAAACAGAATTCTACCACAATAGATTTCGAAGAAGAATATCATAAAATAGGATTTTTAACAGAAATGATGTTACACTTCAAAAATGTAATAAGATTCGAAGATAAAAATCTCCAAGAAAAAGTCAAATCAATTGTGCCAATAATCAAGTTTGAAATCAATGCAATGCAAAAACTTAGAAATATTCAAAAGTAATATAAACTTTTAAAATAGTTTTTGTTTTTTACCATGATACTAACATAAAATTTTTTTGTTTTAGAGAAATTAAAATTACCAAAGTAGACGATGACATTGTGATTGAAGATTTGATATTAAGTGAATTGATGAGTTGGTTCAAAAACTCATTTTTTCAATGGGTCAATAGCCCAGAATGTGATAAATGCAGTGGTGAATGTTCTTATGATCGTTCAATAAAATCTAATAATCCTTTAGTATCAAGAATTGAAATTCATAGGTATCATATTTTATAATTAATCATCGTTCTGTTAGAATGTCCAGAAATAAAATATTATCTAATAATTTGTAAACAATTAAGGTGTGGATCTTGTAACTATGAGAACAAATTTGTCCGCTATACGCATCCAGAACCACTATTATATACTAGAAGAGGTAGATGCGGAGAATGGGCTCTAGTTTTCACACTTATTTGTAGAACCATGGGATTTGATGCTCGGCTTGTTCATGATTTTACAGATCATGTTTGGACAGAAGTAAGTTTTAACTTATTATGATACCTAAACTCAATAAAATATCAAAGATTGCACAGAATTTACATTTCATTTATAATTTTTCATCAGGTTTGGTCAGTGGCTCATAATAGATGGATTCATGCTGATGCTTGTGAAAATGTTATGGACAGCCCTTTAATGTATGAAAAAGGTTGGGGAAAAAAATTGAATTATATTATAGCATATTCACGAGATGAAGTACAAGATGTGACCTGGCGTTATACACAAAATTACAAAGATGTATTAAATCGCCGAACGGAGTGCTCGGAAGAAACACTAATCAAATATATAGATAAGCTGAACAAAAAGCGACAAAATGCCTCAGATTATAGTGCCGTCAGAAAAAATTTTGTTATTAAACGCAGAGCACTTGAACTTGCTGATATGCTGACAGCACCTCCAGGCTGCAAAAAACCATGTGAAGAATCCATTAATGAATCTCAATATGGTGGTAGAACTTCTGGATCATTAGCCTGGAGATTAGCAAGAGGAGAGATGGGAGTAAGTTTGTTCACTTAAAAAAACAATTAATTGTAAAAAATGTTAATTTGTTGAATATTTTAGGGTGGGCCAAGTGAAAAAACTGTATGGAATATTCCTACAGGAACAAAGGAGTTTGAGTTAACTTATTTTATTGCTGGTGATAAATACATTGCTAAAGATATTACAAATGATAAAATATTGTTGGAAAAAAAAGGTTGGCAAAATGGTGTTGATCACACAGAAGGTGGAATTTTTCGAAAAGAGGAATTAGATTGGAAAATGGTTTACTTAGCAAGATCAGAGAAATCTTCCAATGGGCTAATCGTTTGGTCTTTTAATGTTGAAGACAGTAAAAACATGTGCATAGAGAAGATACATTTCCAAGCTACTGTAAAAACTTTTAATAATGGTAAAGTTGTTTGGAAAGCCAAGGGTATTAATGAAATGAATAATGAAAAAGAGTATACTGTCAGCATTCCAAATTGTGAAAACGTAGAGGTAAAAGATTTAAAAAGTGCAATAAAGCTCAGTATCAATGCTTCACTTTATGGTGGAGAAGGTGACTCTGCGTGGCAACATGCACAACTATTTAGAACCAGTTTAAAAGAAAATATTAATGCTCCATCAATGGTTATAAGAATAAGTTTATCGAAAAAGCTAAAAACATAATTAATAACGAAGTTATTTATTGGTTTGTAGTACAAACTTTGTACAAAATGTAATAAAGATAATTCATAAATATATATGCAAGTAAATGAAACTTAAAATTATTTTTTATTCTAATTCCATTCACTGAGATAATTAATATCGATGATTACATTTCACTAAAAACTTCTTTCATGAACCGATCACATAAAGTACGTTTGATTTTATAGACGTATAAAATCAAAAACTTGAATACGATGCATTTTATACATATTTACATTTTATATTAACTAATGAAAATTATAGATAAAAATATTATACCTATCAGTCTGAAATCTCATAAAAAATGTCAAGCCATCAAACTTCATTAACGCCGTTGATTTTTATCGTTATTATTAGTGAGATTGATCTGATCTTCTTCATCGCCGTTTACACTATCGTCCGCGTCATCCACTGCATCAGGATTTATAATTTTTTTAAGTATTTTAGTTAAAGTTTTAAAACAAGGGCGTTCGTGACTAGAAAAATTCCAACACGGAACCATGATCTTGACGTAAATTTCTTGTGGGCAGGTTCTCGGACAGGGTAATCGTGAACCCTTTTGCAGTGCTTTATATAATTCCATATTATGTGTCGAAAAAACACATTGACTTTTGTCAATTGAATTTTTATTATCTTTACTGACAAATTCTGGTAATAGTGGATCTTCGCCGAAGCTAAATATTTCAAACAGGGTTACGCCGTACGACCATACATCCGTGCGAGGTGAAAATCGGCCCTCTATCAAACTTTCTGGGGCATACCTGTAAGTAGAACGTAAAATATCGTAAAATATTTATTAACACTAATAATCATATATTCTTCAAAACCTTACCATTTAATGGGTAAATCTCGATTAGTTTGTAAAATGTAGTAATCGCTTTTGCCACTAGTAACTTGAGCCAAGCCGAAATCGCTAATTTTCAAGCGATTATCTTCGGCAACCAGGACATTTCTAGTAGCTAAATCTCGGTGCACTATATTTTTAGAACCAAGATATTTCATACCAGTAGCAATATCGAGAGCAAAATTAAGTAAAATCTTTTCGGTTAGACTCTCACGATGTATGGCCAAGTAGCTCTGAAGAGATCCATGTTTTACATATTCCATTACAAGGCAGACTTGAGGCTCCGAAATTACACCGATGATACCAACAATATTCTGATGTCTGAGAGTCTAAAAAAACAGATAGATTATGCGATTTTATAGAATTTTACACGTCTCACAAGAATCAAATTTGGAGAAAAAAATTAAAGCGATAAATACCTTCATGATCGAAATTTCTCGCTCGAAGTCCTTTATGTCATTTTCGAGAGTATTCATTTTCAGCTTTTTTAAAGCTACCTGAGTGGGATCAGCATGCATGTCTTTTTCGATTATGCCCAGAAATACCTCGCCATAGAAACCCTGACCTATTTTACCCTGAAGAATGACGGTGCAATCTTGGTCGAGCTCAAAAATGCTCTGCATCTGTCCGAGTAAGGTCGTGTCGGTTTCTTCGACCTCGTGCTGTCTCGTCCACCAGTCAAGATCTTCCGCAGTCAAATCGTCCGCGTCAAAAGTCGAACTACCCCATGGTGCTGCTATAATGGCTGCAAATATTTTGTAAGATTGAAATGAATAAAATGTAACGACCTAGTGTTACTGTTTAAAAATAATTGGAATGTTAGCTTACTGCTTGCGGTACTGTCAGAAGTATCTTCCCAGGGCAACAAAGTCCTAGTGGTGTAGACGCTACTGTTTCTCGAGTCTCCATCGGTCGACGCGCTATCCACACGTTCCTGATTTATCTCAGCCTCGTGCGCTAGTATCGTCGATGCGTTACTCAATCGTTTCGGGTAAGCTACCGCGTAATCGTGATTACGATTGACGTTGTAAACTTGATGCTTTATTTGATTGATATCACGCATTATAGCGTGGGGCTGTTTCCTTGTGCCCTCTGAAATTTCGCACCAGCACTCTTTCATGAGTCGGTAAACTTCGGGCGGACAATCTCCAGGTGGGGGCAGTCTTTTACCAGATGCGTAAAACTAAAAATCAATGAAGTTAAGTTAAGTTCACGTTTTCAACGATTTTTGAATGAAAGAATTACCTTTTTAACTGATTCTATGTCTCTGGTAGGTGGCAGTACCGAACCCCTAGAAAATATTTCCCACATTGTGGTACCTATTGCCCAAACATCAGCGAAGGTGCTACGTCTAGCTGTATCTGGATTCGAATAACACTCTGGGGGCAACCAATGAACACTGCAAAACAAATCTCTTTTATGCTCAATTGTCCACATTTTCATCTCAACATTTAAATGAAAAAAACAATACGTACTCTGATGGTTTGTAAACAAAAATTCCTGGATCTACTAATTTGACAATAAAACTATTATTAGTATGTGCATGCACCATGAGTTTGCGGCAACGTATGTTGCCGTGGATTACTCCATTTTCTTCCAAGTGCCAAACAGCAGTGGTAAGAGACGCAGCAGCCTCGACAAGGTCAGAAATACTTATTGATTGAGGAGGATTGGTGCGCAAGTAAACGTCTAGCGGACCTAATTTGACCAACTCAAGTAACATACCAACTGATGGAGACAGAGTCACACCATACAATCTGTAAAAAAATTTTAAACGAGATATTAATGCAACATAAAAATATTTTGTTTTCACAGCCAATTTTATCTAATTAGTAACGTACCTTACTAAGGCACTCGATCGCAGTTGTCCCCATTTTTGAGCTAATTTCAAAAATTCTGGAGTGAACTGGCTTTCTTCATCCTTTAGCAACTTCATTACAGTTTCTATTCTTTTTCCTTTAGTTATTCTCCACATAGTTTTATAAAGAATTGTAAAAGGACCAATACCGGGTGAATGTTTGTAGCGTTCTAAACTTTCTTTACTTTTTGCAAATGGTTGAGATTTGTAAACTTGTAGTTCTTGTGGAGATATGACGGCCGGTCTTTTATCCAAAAGTTCTGCAATAGCTCCTTCATCAGCAAGCAAATCTCCACAATTTTGCATAGAAGCACATATCAGTAGCAAAGGTGACTTATCTACAAAGAACAAAATACATTTTTTTTATTTATATAAAAATTATGAATTAAAACATTAGTCAAGTATTTATAAATGTGATAAATAACATTAAACATACCATATTCAGAGGGAGGTAAACATTCCTTAAGATAAGGAGCTTTGTTTGGATCTTTATGTAATTTTATAAATTCAGCAATTGATTTATAACGCTGATATGTATCTGATAAAGCATAATCATCAGGACCAATTTTTTCAATTTTTCTAGTTCTTGTTTTTCCATCTTGACCACACCAATCCACGTAATAAGTGTCATATTTTGTTTCGCTTTCTCTTAAAATAAATGTTCCTGCTCTATTTGATCTTTTTTCATCAATTTTTGCATATGAAAATTCGCCACTGTTGAAAATTATAACAAAATATGAAGTTTTAAATTAAGATATATTAGATACAGCAATTTTGCTTTCAAAATTCTTACCCAATTGGTCCATGACATCGTAATTTATTAAGTCGTTCTAAACTAGGAGTAATAGCATCAACACAAAGATTAAAAGTCCATTTAATTGTCAAACGGTAATACCCATCAAGAGCAGATACAAAAGATCTGAGGGCAGAATCTGATTGGAACCTTAAATTAGCAGGTACTCCATTTTTTCTTGACACTTCGATAGTATGATTCAAACTACAATTGAAAAATTGGATGTAAATGAATGAGAGTGATTTTTCAGTAAAAAAAATAGAAAGGTAATTAACAAATACCGCATCGAAATGAAACATAGTTCTTCTATAGCACACAATGTGGTCCAGTCAGGTGTAGGAGCATCCATTGAAGAGTAAGTAATTTCAGACGCATTAACCCTTATTGCAACTCTTATTATAGATTGGCCCTGTCTAACCATTATAGCTCTGAACTCTTCACGTAAATAATTTGGAGCCATATTTTGAAACTGGTTCAAATACTGTTCTTTGACATACGAAGCATTCAATTGTGGTATTCTATTCAGTGCAGCAGTAACAGGCTTTTTCACGAAAAATGCATGTTTCTTCATGTACTCTTTAGGTATATACTTTTTATAATCCGCTATGATTGCTTCACGAGACATATCTTTTTCCATCATAACTCTGAAGTGATAATTAACAAAAATACAAAAATTAATATTCACTTAATACATTTTTAAAATTATCATCAAAATTTACCTGCACATGTCTGTTACTCCTAAACCTATGATTTCTTTTTTATGCTTTTCGTACACAATATCTGGAACTTTACTCAATAGCACATCACTTTTAGCTTGTTGAAAATAATAATCATACGCTCTGTGATCAATTTCTTTCAATGATTGAAGATTGGCAGGTTTGAATCTTAATCGAAAATCAAATTTGTTCTTTGATTGTGCATCTAGTTTACATGATGCATGCATCCATGCTGTTTCATTGTTATTTAAGTGTTTTCTAAGGGCAAAAAGATGACGTGCAACAGGTCCTATTCCAAACTGTTGGCATATCTGTAAGAAAAATGGAAATATGAAGAATGATGTCTAGCCCTTCATGTCTTTCTGTACCAAATGATGTAATTTCTTACCTTGATGCATAAATCTTCAGCAGTCCAACCGTTAGAGAAGGCAACGTTGATAACCTTCAAATCCAATGCAACGTAAACAATAGCGATCTTTTCGTTATCCATTTTAAATGTATGATTTATATTCAAGAATCTTGTATTGTAAACGTTTGCATCACTAAAATTGATCAATTTCAATTGGAGTTTACTACTGGCTCATGAGGTTTTGTTTGGCTTTTTGTGGAGTCCACACTGTCGACACTGAAGAATGAGGACTACCGAGAATTTATACTGCGTTTGACGTTTGTGTAGTGTGTACTGTTCTATGTCAATGCGCTCACAACAGAGAGCTGCACGTATCGTCCAGCAACTGTCTTTGCGGCGGCGGCTTACAAAGCTAGCCTATGAATGCGCATAGCGCATCAGCGCATTTAGGGACCCTTTTCAACTTTTCAAGTAAATTTTAAAATCTCACGCCATCAAAAAAATCGAAAATTTGTGGTTCGTATTGTGAATTTTGTCGAAGTAGGCTATTTTCCTTCAAAATGATTAATCCCATCTAAGCTTCTGTCTAAAGTCTTCAAACTGCATCGATTTTTTAATGTTTTCGTGTGGAAGTCACTAACCAATCGGTACTGTCAAATTTAAAGCTCCAATTGTGTACGCGCGTTTACGACGATTCATGACTTGATCGCGAAACTCATATGACAGACACGTAGTAATATCAGCAACAGTAGGTAGTGGGGCATTTTTTGCAGAAAAAGTTTCATGCCAGCGTGGCTTCGGTGCAGGTTTCATGTTTTCAAAACACATGACCACTTACCACGTCAAAATTGCTTAGTTTGTTCTCAAGGCCCGCTTGCCTCAAGATCTCGACGAAATTCAACTCCACGTAATCGACTCAAATGTAAGAATTTAAGTTTCATTTAATTTTTATAAAATTGACGAAGGTTTACATAGTTAACGTGCATGTTTACATAGCAGTCATTAAAAGCATCATTCAATAAGTTTGCCGCGTTTGTTAAGTGATTTAAAAGATTTAAATGTGTTATATTAAAATGTTTTTGACATAATAATTAGATAGAAAATTGAATAACGAAATTCATTACTAACGCAATTGTAAACTTTTTTCAGATCAACCTTCAATTTTTATTATATTTTGGTCACTTTTGTGATTACTGCAACATACCATGGCTGAACAGGTGACTATTCTTATCATGTATACATTGCTCATTACACTTGAATGAATTTTCATGCTATCATTTTTGCAGACATATGAGTACGATGTTGCTATGTCTTGTGAAGGATGCTCAAATGCAGTCAACAGAGTACTTGGCAAATTGTCAGGTAAATAGAGAAAATTTGTGTTATGTTTTTGAAAAAAATCTATGCCTTACACATAATATTATTCCAGGTATTTCTAAAGTTGACATAGATTTAGCAGCCAAGAAAGTTTTTGTAACTACAACCCTAGATCATGATGTGGTCCTAGAAACATTGAAAAAGACTGGTAAAACAACTACATATGTAGGAGTTAAAAATTGATTCAGTTATATTTTCACGACTTTTTTAAGTACATTTTTTACTTACGAATTTTATTTATACATGTTGATAAAAATTATCAAGTGATTTATAAAAATATATTTACATTCATATTTTTTTAACTAATAATTCTACGACTGATAAATTATTGTACAATATGTTACGAAAAATAAATGTAATAAATATTATGCACAATTAAGTAAGTTGAGATACATATGTATGCTCTAGATCAGCAACTTTTTTGTCTATTTCATTAATTTGCTGATTGAAAAATTCAATTTTTTGTTGTATAGTAGTTTTAGTTTCATAGTCCTTCCATGAATTTTCAAGTGCAGATATAACAGTGCCGTCAGTCACATTAAAAGTATTAAAGCAGTCATGGTATATACTTTTTTCGCAAGTGGATTCTAATGTATCCATGTCGGAAGATTCAACAGTTATTTCCTGTAATTTTAATTTATTTTCATGTATCATACATTTTTTTAAATCCAATTTGGGCTTTTCACCTTTGTGAAAGTTGGATTTCCACACAAACAATTGACGGTCAACGCTGCCAGAAGCAAAATAATCTCCATCTTGTGAAAATGTTACTGTTGTAACATTACTATTGTGACCCTTTAGAGTATATATTGGTCTACCTTCTAGCAAATCTAAGATCTAGAAAAGTTTGAATTCTTAATCAGTAAAGTGCAATTACAATTATTTTTAAAGTTATTTAGAAACCTCTGCATGGATTTAGTTTGTTTGTCTAAAGTAAAAGATTCTTAAAAACGTATGTGAGAATAAAAAAATATTGGTAGTTAATTGGTTTATAGTATTTTAAGTACTGAAGAATTGGTTTGTTTCATGTGTTGTTAAAAAAAAACTTACTTTCATCGAACCATCTTTAGAAGCTGTTAATATAAATTTGCCATTGGGATGAAATTTGATTTTATTTACTGCATCCTCGTGGGCATCATAACATTGTTGTAAAAAGCCTGTTTTCATGTCAAAAATTTTTACTGAACCATCTGTTGTTGCTGCTCCAATAGACACCCCAAGAGGATGGAATCCCACATCAAGATATGATGCTGTATAATACATATTTAAAGATTAAAAGTATTGTCTTAATTCAAATGACTAGTGTTAGTTGTACCTTTCAATTCATTAAATGTTGAGATGCATTTATTGCTAGCAAGGTCCCATATTCTTAGAGTTTTATCATCACTGCATGAAACAAGAAGCTTTCCATCAGGAGAAAATCTAACTTGTCTCACCCAATTAGTATGACCTGGAAATGATTGTAAAAATCGCCTTTGACACACCATCCATAATTTAATATTTTTGTCATCGGAACATGTTATCAACTGCAAACAATATTAAATATATTTAAATAAGATATTTTCAAAGTTATTTTATAAATTTTGATAATTTTACCTTGTGTCCATCCGGGCTAAATTGCACAGCTCTTACAGCTCCTTGGTGGGCTATAAAGTCAAGAGATTCACCTCTAATCTTAGGCACCCATATTCTCACAGTTCTATCTTTAGATGCACTTGCAAATACTTCTCCAGAAGGAGCATAATCAACATCCAAAACTTCATCTTTATGAGCATGGAATTTATATGCCCTTGTTGAGTCTGCTATTTGCCATACCATTAAAGTTTTATCAACACTGCTGGACACAATTTTTTTACTTTCTGGATGGAACGATAAACCCGTGATTGTTCCACTATGGCCTTTGTAATGTTTTTCTACTACAGGATCCAAATCCATTTCTACCAGAGCAGAGTCTTATTTCAAAAGATAGAACAATGGTTTTAATAACACAACATTCAAGTCGTAACTTCTAATATGAACAAATCTCTAACCTTCTAGATATTTTAACGAACTCAACTGCTTGAATAATAAAAGAAAAGCAAAAGGGTATATTAAAAAACTGTTACTCAAAGAATTTCATTAATAATTCCCGATCAATTATTTACCGGTAAGATCCAAAATTTAAAATACCATACGAAAGTGTTAGCCGCTTGTAAACACACAGCGCAAGTTTGATCCGTTACTTAGATATTTTGAAAATAACAAAGCGCAGTGCGGATGCGCAGTAAGAATTCTGGACTGGAGTCGGAGAACGGATAGGATCTGTCATTGATATGGCGACGTCAGAGCATGACACAAGTTAAATGTATGTTTTCATTATGAGTGTAGCTTTCCCCTGAAATAGCCACACTCTTTCATGATAGGTAATTTCTTCTGAAATTCAGTCAAAAAAATGGGATACAATCAAATAGTTATAGAGATGAAATAAATCGGGTTTTTGTTTGAAAATCATTTTTTATTGTATTAATTGTGATAAAATGGAAAATAGAATTTTTAATCGCTATCATTTAAAATGTTGTAGAATAACGTATTTTTGTTCATTTTATTAGCTATACATCTGAGTACAGAATGATTTTCATATCATACTTTATTTATGGTGACTCTCAAATATCAAAACTTTAAATTATTACTTTCATAAAGTAGCAAAAAAATTGAAGCTAAACCTACACAAGTGCGCACAATTATAAAAGTTAACAAACTTTTACTTTGATAATAAATATATACACTTTTTTTAATAGTTAATTCACATATTTATGGAGACAATCATACATGCATGTCTAAACAACAGCGATGAACGTTTCAACAATCTATAAGTCAGTGCGGTCCAGCAACTCTTGTGTTCAGAACGCCTCGTGTTGTATTAGTAACATTGAAATTTGATTAACTGAAATTTTTTTAATGTAAGTTTATTCAATATCGATTTTTTAAGCATTCAAATTTAAAAAAATCCTTACTTTACGGCAGGTCGCCGCGTTGGCTCAGAAGCAGTTGGAGGCGGAGGTGGTCCTCTTCGCGCCAACTCTTCTAAATACGCCATTAGCAATCGCGACCTTTCCGATGCTGCAGGTTCCAGCACTAAGAATCTTTTATCATTTTTCAAGATATCTTCTATTTCTTGCAAGTGGGCATTATTGTCTTGGACTTTTTTTAGCGTTTTATCCGTTATTAATTTTGTTTCTTGCAGTAACTCTCTGAAATCTGCCTTAGCTGCGACCAATTTATCCTTAATGTATTCTTTGAATTCTTTCTCACATTTCTATAAATACAAAACAACCTTTTAGTCATTTAACAATATCAAAATAATTTACAGTATAGGAAAGATTTTACTTACCCTATCACTAGATGAGAATTTTATGTATCGAGGATCCTCTTTTAGCAATTTTTTAACGTCTTTCCAAGCAGCATTTAAATCTGTGGATGCTCCAACCTCATCTAAAAGTTCGCGGAATTTATCTCGCTTTTTGCGTCCCAACTGTTCAACGTGCTCGTTGAACAATTTTTCTCTTTCCTCTCGGTCAAGCGAATCAACCAGTTCCCATCTGTGATCCTTTCGCAATTGTCTCTTAGCCTCCCGCCATGATAAATCGCCATTTCTGACGAGATCGGCCAATAGAGCATTGAAATGCTGCACTGCTTCAGTATGTCGATGATGTTGACGTTCCTTATCACGATCTCGAAGATGTGTGGCCAAAGTTCTTTGGACTTCACGTTCGCGTTCGCGAAGACTTGCTTCGGCACGTCGTTCACGTTCACGTTTGCGGTCTTCTTCTTCGGCGGCGGCTGCGGCCACTGAATCGGAATCGTCGTCATTTTCTTTTTCATCTTCCTCGTGTTGATCAGTGTCCTGTAAAGAAATCATTGAGATCCGTTAAAAATAAGATAAATTCAACTAATCATCAACCAATTAAGGGGATTTAGGCTGTTTCAATTTTTCAAAATAATAAAAAACTTACGTCATTATCTTCTTTGGCAGAATCTTTGTGATTATCGTCTGTGTCTTCGATCTCTCCACTTTCTTTTTCTTCTCCCACATCGTTCTCTTTGATTTCTCCGTCTTCTTCGTCCTTATTTTTATTTTCATTCTTCTCATCATCTTTTTCTTTATCCTTCTCTTTTTCTTTTTCCTTATCCTTATCCTTTTCTTTTTCTTTATTCTTGTTTCGATCTTTACTTCGATCTCTACTTTTTTCTTTGTTCTTATCCTTGTTTTTATCTTTGTCCTTACTTTTTTTATCTTTTTCATGACCGTCTGCGTCTAATTTTTTTTTCTTTTTAGATGGTGCACCGTCTTCATCTCGATCTTTTTCTTTAACCTTATCTTTATCTTTGTGTTTTTTCTCTTTGTCTTTCTTTTCTTCCTTATCCTTGTCTTTATCTTTTTTATCCTTTTTATTCTTCTCCTTTTTTTCTTTTTTTTCCTTATCCTTGTCCTTATCTTTGTCCTTATCTTTGTCTTTCTTTTCTTTTTCTTTCTTTTCCCTGTGACGCTCTTCACGCTCCTTCTCTTTTTCTTTTTCGCGACGACGCTCTTCCTTCAAATCTCGTACATAATCTCGAAAATAGTCTTCTCTAGCGTTCATAGAATCGACGGAACGGTAACGATAGTCCGATTCGAGTCGTTTGCGCCAATCTGCCCAATGAGAATGATGATCAATGTCTTTGTGTTCACGCAGCATCGCGATGAAGTCCTTTTTGACCTGAAAGCAATTTGTAAGTTTTGAAATTCATTCCATTTCTTTTAAATTTAACTAAATTAAAATATTATGTTTAGTTATTATAACCATCACAAATATTTATCTCTTAGAAACTCATCAATTAAAAGCTTTTATTACTGGTTCGAATGTTGTTATTAAGAAATAAAACCATGTGATTTATTGAATGATAGTGAAAACGTTAAGAATGAAGTAAACTACAATATATTTTAATATATATGTTGATGTGGTAGCACCGCAAGTACGTAGAAGCTGAAAGAAATTGTTTTTATTTCCACTGAAAGAAAAAAATTATTTATAGCAGCAGATCCTTGGCCTTTTTTCCATTTGTAAAGTGAAAAATAATGACTGAAAATAATGCATTTGATTAACTTGTTTTGAATTCATTAAATAATAAAATAAATTTAGTTCAAGTATGAACTTGATCCATTTTTTCAATTCGTAAAACTTAAAAAGTATAAGTAAACTATCACGAAGTTAAAAAAAATCTAAAATGTAAAAAAATTGTTTTAAAAATTTCTCATTTTTATAGTTCAAAAGTTCCACGTAGAAAATGTAGTTTAATAAAGTTTCAAAATATTGGAGATAAGTTATTCTGATCTTGAGTTTCTTTCTTAAAACCATGATTACGTGTAATATACAAATACCGAATTGTTTTTATCTCACGGTTTCTTTTCCTCTGACATTGAATGATGTTGGAGGAGTTGGACAAGTTTTCACTTCTCCGAGCTTTCTGAAGAGCAATCCTTACAAGCTGGATTTTGATGCCACCATGATTGATTGACTGGTGAAGAGTTCAGAATACATGAGTATACGCGATATAAGTAAGTATAAAAGGGAATATTCACTTCTGTATTAATTTATTTTCAAATCTTTTTTTTTCAGCGAATGTAGTTAGTTTTTTGAAAAGTTTTAGTCAAGACCTCGTTATAAAATTCTTTCAATTTGACTATTAAGTGTTAAAATTAGCGATATGCAAAATTTTTCTTGACTCAAGATTTTCTTTTCCATATATTCTTCATTTTAATAATGAATTTAAAACTAGCCAAGATGTACTGTAGAAAAATATATTAACATACCTACTAATTCTGAAAAAAATACATATTATAATCCTGAAATAAATTAAATTAGTAACTTAAATTTAGGAAAATTTGTTGATGCCTTTTGAACTTACATTTGGAACTAAACGTTTGAACTTTTTAATGTTCTCGAAATGGCGTTTGCGACGCTGAATAAGTCGATAGTAAATTTATAAAAATAAAATTTTATTGAAAAAGTGACTTACCTGTTCGCGTTTAGTTGCTTTTTCTTCTTTTTCACGTTTTCGAACCTCCAACAGATACTCATTGAAAAGACTCTCTCGTTCACGCATTTTTTCAACATTTTTGAATCTTTCATCGCGTCCATGTTTCTGAGCGAAGTCACTGAAGGATGATCTGAAATTTAAATTATAATGTAATTCGAGTTATATGTTTAAAAGTTATGAAATACGTAATAATTCATAGAAATAGTTTGACTTACTTTCCATGAAGATTGGCTTCCTCTAATAATTTTTGAAATTGTTCTTTACGCTCCTTCATTTTATTCCTTTTTTCTCGCCTTTCTTCTTCGGCTCGCTCTTTCACATATTTTTCAAATACTTGCTTTCGCTCTTTAGAAGTCAACAAAAGATATCTACTATCGAAAACAATTTTATGTAATTCTTTTTCCCATGTACTGAACGCTGAAACCTGATAAATAAAAATATTATATTAAATTCAATGATCATTCTTTTTCATATTCACTTTATTATTAGAGTCTGATTTTACCTCTTTTTCTGTCAACATCGCTTTAAAAGATTTTATCCTAGTTTCTAAAGGAACAATGGCTCGTTCTCGAGCGGCTCTAACTTCAGCTTCAATTGCGGCATCTTTGCCTTTATCTATTGAAGTTTTTACTTCTTTTGCACTTGTTTCCGTCTTAACTGGAACAACTATAAGATAAAAAAATTGTTTTTAAATGGTAAATTGACACATACAATAATTTAGAAGTTACAGTCATACAAACCTTTAGAGTCGTCCAATTTTGCTTTTTTAGCGTCAGTTGGTTTGCAGTCTTCATCGTCGCTGCTAACACCGCTACTATCATCAATGCGTCTTATTTCATTTTTTGTTGCAGCATTGCCAGGAGTTTCTGGTGGGCCAGCAACCATTTTATCTACGTCAATTCTATTAAAAAGTTCATCTGGTCTCTCCCAAACTGAAGTTCTAGATGATGGGTTATAGTAAAAAACACGATTATCTCCCGTCCATACTACACACCTGTAAAATTTTTAACCATGAATAAGTATCACACTATGAATATAATGTAAATTTTAATAAACCTAGTTTAAAACTTACCATGGAGTTCCTGGTACTGGGGTACTGGAAACAGGTTTCGATTTATCTTGAGGTTTGGATTGTTCTTTTAAAAGCTCTTCTTTTTTGGCTTTGGATTCAGCTTCTGTCATGTCGGAGTCATTAACTTCGATAGAATTATTAATTTTAGAATCCGAATTCATTTTGGAACCTGGGTTATCATTAATAGAAGTTAAACTTAGATCTGCAGAGGAATTCATCATAACTAAAGAATTAGCATTTGCCGAAGATTCTTCTCTTTGCCGAATAAATGCTGCTTTGGCATCTAAAAATTACAATTATGAATTACACGATTAAATTTGTGAAAAAAAGAATGCATTCAATGCGCATATATGAGATACATACTTTCGAAATCTCTCAAAACTTGAGGTTTTTCCCATACAGATTCGCCAGCTTTACTGTTGTAATAGTAACAACGGCCGTCTGGTGCTCGGTGTTCAGTCCATAACATCGCAGCAGCCACTAGTTCAGGATCTAGCTGCGATATGACGTTTGGATCTTCACCAGGAATAGATTGGGATGGTGCCATTTGTTGTTGCATTGGGTGCATTTGTGGCATGCCTAAATGATAAGTAATTATTCATGATAAGATCAAAATTTAAAAGATTTTAAATGACAAAAAAAACTTTATTTGTAAAATTGTATTACCCCAAGGATTTTGAGGAGGTCCATATCCAGATCCAAACGGTTGGAAAGGTGGAGGCATACCAAATGGGGTACCAGGGGGACCTCCAAAAGGAGGCATACCTCCAAATTGTGTTGGCATTCTATGTGGCATTTGCATCATTGGTGGAGCTTGCATCATTGGATTTGCATTCATAGCAGGAGTAGCGACGATCGGTGTAGCTGATGCCACTGAAGCCACGGGAACGCTAGTACCTAGTTTAATATTCATTACATTATAGTTTTAGGAGATAAAATTATATATTTTGTATTTTAATAACGACTGTAAGACATATTACCGTTGATAGGTTGAGCCTGAGCTGTCTGCTGGTTAGCTGCATCAGACGAAGAATTTGTTGTATCCATAGGCTCTGTTGACCCTGGTGCAGGGTCAGTAGGGGTACCAGTACCTTGAGTTGCTGTACTTACTTGACTTGACTCTGTTTCAGTGGCATTAGGTGTTGATGAGTTCTCTTCCTCTTCCTGCTGGGTCCTTACCTCTGCACTTTCTTCAGCATTAGACTCTTCCTTAGTTTCAGTAGTTTGTGGTTGTTCCTCTTGCTGAGATTGTTGTACTTCTGGTTGAACTTCAGATGTTTGCTGAGTTTGCTGAGTAGCCAATGCATTGGACCCGGTAGTTGGTTGTTTTGATTGTCCATGCACTAATTGCTCAAGCTTAAAAATATGAATATTTATATAAATAATGATATCAATTTATTTTAGGGTTTACGAAAAAGATATATAAATATTTTTTTACCTGATCTTGTACCATGACCTTAACGTTTGGTCCTTCTGGTTTTGTCCATGTTGTGTCACGAGTTCTAATATTATAAAAATAGGATTTTCCATCCTGTGTTTTTGTTTCTACCCATACCTCACCGTTGAGATCAAGACCTGGAATGTTATTTTGCTGCTGCTGTTGTTGTTGTTGCTGCTGTTGTTGCTGCTGCTGCTGCTGTGACTGTTGCTGTTGCGCTTGACCTGGAATCTTTGGTTATGATACGATTATTATTTATGTAAAACAAAACTGACATTATAATTATTAAAATCTAAAAATTTACATTATTCATGTTAGGAGGCCCCATTCCTTGTCCAGGAGGTCCATAAGGTCCAGGACCACTGCCAGGTCCATTCATCATATGTGGTGGCTGAAATAATAATTTTGAATGAAAAAATATGTTTTTATGCATAAAAAAAATTTATGTTATCATTAATTTACCATTCCTCCAGGTGGGTGTCCCATCATGTTTGGTGGTCCCATCATATTTGGAGGAGGGCCCATTGGTCCCCAACTTGGGTCAAATGGTGGTGGTCCTCTATACCTAGGTCCTTGTGCTCCAGGTGGGCAGTTTGGCGGACGTGGTGGGGGTGGTCCATCGTAGTATCCATTATTACCACTCCTATACATTGGGCCGCCTCTTGGTCCAAAACCTCTGCCTCGAAACCTAGGTGGTCCACCTCTTTGTGGAAAATCAAAACCTCCTCGACCTCTGCCCCTGAAATCGTTATCGCTTCATTGTACAAAAGCGATATAAGTATGTTGATTATTTAAAAACTTATAATTTTTTGCAATAATGACAAACTTTTTCAAAATGTAAAGCTAGCACAAAAGTGATTTAAAGTAGATATGTAAACTGGGTAGACTAGTGAAAATCTCCAATATTTTATGAAGCTAGAAACAACATTGAATGTAGACTTGAACTCATAAAAGGAGAATTGAATGAAAGAAAAACAAATGAAAGTGGGGAATGTTGATAGTCAATTGGATTCTTTCATTTAAACACGTCATTGGTATGGAGAGATGAACTGTTACGTATGGCTAGTCCAGTAATAACAATACATCAAAAGATGAGTACAGATTGAGTTCAATCATGTTTGAAGACTTGAGAAGGTAAACACAGTGGAAATTACAAAGCAACTGCACATACCTGAAGCCTCCTCTACCACGGTGAGCATAGTGTCTGTAATCCTCCTCGTCGTAGTAGTAATCATCGGCCTCGTCCATGGGCATGCCGTCCTCAGGGCCGGGCATGGCTCCATCCATCGCTTGCATCTCCATGGGATCCTGGGATGTCGCGGAGGCATTGGGGGTACCGGGTGCACAGGGCGAGGGTTGCTGTTGCTGTTGCTGCTGCACCTCGGCCGCCGTGGCAGCGGCTCCTTCCATCTCCATCATTGCACGGGGGATTAATCGAGGAGCTACTTTGGCAGCTACTCGGGGTCAGGTCGCAGGTGACGACGCGGCGGCTTCACCAGGGATCGCTGTATGGCATGTGTGTGGGTAACGCAAAGAGAAAGATGTAACGCACGAATCTTAACCTGCAAGCGTCGTAATGAACATAACGCGATAGACTCTGTGCGGACTATAATCGATATGTGATGCACGAATACACTTGTAATTAAGATTATAGAAAAAACTTCGGTAGCTAAGCCCCAGGGACGAAGTCGTGTCGTCGCAGTTGTTGATATAGTAACAGACTGGTTGTTTCGTCGTTAATATTATACAGGCGGGTTTGATAACTCTACGCCCGTAGAAACTGTATCATCGTCGGACGAAGCACCGTGTAGTCTTCCGTACATACGTATTGAGTTCATGTATATGAGTGCATGTGTGTGTGTGTGTGTCGATAGCACGAGCACACCAATATGTATGGACGTTCGCGCGAGCGTGTATGCGTGTAATACGTGCGCAAAGTTATATAGATAGTCAGTTTCAGGTTTCGTACTCGTCATCAGCACATTACCATTCGTCGTACTGTAATTTAGAAATTATGCCGACAATGGTTTGAGCGTGTGGGAGGTATTCGCGAGGCAGAAGGTAAACTGCCTGCGTGTTACTTCCGACTATGTATTTTCTCTCGCTCGTAAATGTATTTTGTTTTATCAATACACAGTACTTATAGTAGTCGTACGAATGCAACTTAGCTCATCGATTTTGTTGTGTCTGTTTAGCTGGAAATGAATCGAAGACGCGACCGAAGGCCGACAGGTGGCGCTTCCAACGTTTGGCCGCACGCGGCACGAATAACGAATTTATTACGAGTTCGTGCAAGAGATGAGTTGCAGGTTGCAACTTGCAGAGTTCTTCGTTTGTTTTAGTTAATAATGAATAATTCGATTGAGTTTTTGACAGCATCGGGGTAGATAGTTTGTCGTTTCATATTTGTCATTCTATACTCGATTATTCAGACAGAAAATATTCGATTTACATGGAATACGTTAGAAACGAATACTCCTTACAGGTAGGCTTGATTTTTTCAACTTGAAAATCATTCGTTTTTCAAGCAAGTAAAATGTAAAGACAAATATCGAAATCGTTCAAGGCCAATTTCAGCTAGATCACGATGACCATTCCTCGAAGCCATGCCTGCGGGGGGTGCAGCTACACATACATAGTCCTATATCCGACAAGTCCGCGGGCGGCAAATCGGAGTCGTTCGAGTTAAACAGGACACATAGCCAACGGACTGCAGTTACGCGAGTAAGTCAAATTTTCCGCAGCCACCCATATAATACGAGCTCGATCGCGAGCTCGGCGTTTAATACGACCGCGGCTAATTAAATGAAAATCATTGATTTCCGAATGCGAATAAATTACAATTGCGCGCCAACGATCGCGGATTAAGGTGAAAAGCATATTAAACGGCCGTTTGCCGTTGCTGCTGCTGCTGCGTTTTTCGCGACGCTTATGATATTTACATTACGTGAACGCGTTAAGCGAGCGCGCGTAAAAACGAGTATTTCTGGATCGTTATTCGGTTTTCTGTGCGCGGTGTAAATGTCTGTGTAAGCCCCGGCGATTTAGTGCCTTCGACAAAGTCGAAACGAATGGCCGGCTGGAAAATCGACCTGGCGGAATACCTATATATTAATAGTATATATACATAACCTAATGGTCGTCGAGCCGGGCAGGATGATCTATAAATATAAGACCCGCTGCTCTCGAGGCCCATAAGGATACACGTAAAATCGGCGTGTATACAACAATCGCTGTTGGTGCGACTGCAGTTTGTATCGTAGCTGTATACGCACTCGTTAATGAAAATGACTTTCACGACGAGTGCCCAACTCTGTACACACACAGACACGACACACATGTAGCTAATACAGACTAATACCTGCCGCCGCGGTTACACTCATACGTACATCTGTATTTGTGTGTTAAAAAAACGTATACACTACGCGCGTTCCTCGATCGGTGCCAAGCCTGCAGCAATAGCCGCACGCAGGAATGGCCATAGCATACTTTGGATTCTGTCTATGTGCAGTTGCAGCCATTCGAAACTAGGCTACCAATAGAGTAAAAGAGAGAGAAATAGTCCAAAGGACGAATTCCTCGCGATCTGACAGTTCTCTATACACGTTACGGATCGATCGAAAAACGGCCTGCGGAAACCGCATACACCTCGTGCGGTAGATGTAGCTCTTTTTTATTTACGCGACCTTCGCCACTGTAGCAATACTTATCTGTGATTCTGTTTTTTTCACGCTATCTTTCGAAAAAGGAAATTAACTTTTGGCATCGGAAACAGCCGTGTCTCTGGTCAATTGAATTGAAAAGGGATTGTATTTTTTCAAAAATTCTCAATGTTTTTTCCATCAAATATTCATTCATCGTAAAACTGTATAATAATCGGACACATACATTGATCATAAAATTAATTTCTATGAACTACATTACGTAAGTTTAAGTACAACAATGGTAGTAAAAAAAATGTCAAACAATTTATTCGTCAATAACAAACAATGACATAAGTACAAAAAATGTGGCGAGCTAACAGCGCTTGGTCTGCGGACAGGGCGCGCGCGCGTAAGTGCGAAAGCTCTTGTACGCTTTCGCCATGTGATTTTCGAGTCCGACGTTGACCATTTTCAGGCCGTCGAGCATGCCTTCGGCCGACTGCTCGTCCAGAGCTCTTTGCAATTGATCGATCACAGCCCAATCGATCTCCTCCACCGAGTCCAGAGTATCGAGCTGGTCGAGGATGTCGTTCACGTGGCAGCTGAGTCTCTCCGCGGAGCGAACGGCTTCGACTGACGGATTTTCCGTTGGATTCCTGAAACGTGTGTGAAATTTAGAGATTATCGAAGGGATCAGGTTGTAAATAAATGAGACTCGTGGGGAGTTGAGAAAAGAATGATAATAATATTAATAAATGCTTCCAAAAAGAGTTTCGGTTATGAGCCATTCCATATGCTGACGTAAAGATCGGTTTCTTACTTTATGTACAATATTATTTTTAGTCTCCACCGCTAGATGGCAAATACCAATTTCTGCAAATGTACAAGTGGTAAAGTCAAAGCAAGTGTATAAGTTAAAGCATGGTTCACGTGTTTAAGTAGTGTTACTGATAATTTTATTGAAATCAAATAAAAATTCAATTCAACTTATACGTTTCAGTTATAACGAATGAAAAATAACTATTGAAATTAAGTTATAATGGTAATCTGCATGTATTTTATGAAATAAAAAGTTTATAAGGATTACGTAAGGATACGTCAAGTTCCAACGGCCTAGAAGTCTACAAAAAACTTTTTCGTTGGCCAAAAACTAGCCATAAGTATTGATCATTTGTACCTGAATAAACGTCGAGACAATAACGATCGGTGCCGTGATCGGCCTGCATGATAATTCGTTTTCGTAAGGATCATTCAACTTTATATACCGTTCGACTTTTCCGAGCTATGCGCGACAGGGTATAGGGTATAGTCATCATCATTCGGTAAGTGACACGAAACTGCATGCAGACGTGAGAATCGCGAAAGACGCGTGTAATTATTAGGTGTATGCGTATACATATGAGAAAAAGCCGCTATATTATACGTGACGAGGCAATAATAAGCAGTCGCAAAAGTCTGAGAGAAATTATGTACATGGGAACTGGAGAGGCAAGCGAAACTCGCAGTCGGGGGCATATTTGAAAACGATCGCGCACGCTGTATATTGAACAAAAAGCGGCCCGATTCCTTCCCAAAAACAACAACAACAATAAACCATGTGTGAAACACACTCACCGTTGACTTATTTCCAAATTGATCAAGTCGGAGATGCGCTCGTAAAGGTCGAGGCAGTGTCGATCGGTCCTGCGATCGGCCTGCACGACGTATCGGCGAAAGATCTTTCGACCGTGCTTGTCGTCGAGGCACTTGCTGATCGAGTCGGTGATGCGGTCGATGTCCTTGATGGTCAGTCCACTGGTGCACTTGCCGATGCAGCCGATGAACTTGTCCCCGGGTTTTCTTCCTCCTCCACCGCCGCTCGCACCCCCGGTTGCTGCAGCGCTCAGCCGGCTAGAGCCAGCTTCCATGACGACTCCAGCGCCGCGTGCGCTCAGCTGTTCGAGCTGCTACGTATACAATGTATAAGCTTGCAATGTGGGGTGTGTAAGTTGCAGCGCCGCGCCGAAAATAAGCTGCTACCGCTGTCGTTGTCGTTTTTGCTTTACTATACAATTCGAAATTCAATGAATACAATTCTCCTAATAGTCTTCCAATGTCACCACACACTATTCACTAGCTTGAAAACACACACTTCTTTGACAATTCGCTCAGCTTCGCATACGGCCAAGTTCGATGAGCATGTGACAATCGTCGAGAGTCGAGTCGTCGTAGTCGCTCGTCTGCATTGACAGAAGCTCGCAACGCAAAATACGCACGCGAATTTCGAGGTTAAGCGGGGGGCGTCTAAGTATACATACTACTACGAACGATGCGTGAGTAAGTCAACTCCGACTTGTAATGAAACATCCGTTGTTGTGTGTATGTTCGTGCAAAAACCGCCGAGAGCGTCGAACCGAGACGACGGCAGCAGCAGCGGCGTCGGCGGCGTTGGTGGCACTTTACTATACACGTCCAAGCAGCTAGTCCGAATTATCGATCGTGCGCTCGCTTATCCACAATACTGAGTCAACGATTAGGGCCAGCGCGCGGCCGATGTCGTAACGCCACGCGCACGCGAAACAATTAGCAAGTAACAGATGAGAATATATTCGCAGCGTTTATACACTTTGATATGCTCAGCGAGCGGTTCGCGTCTCTGCGTTGTTTTGCGCTATGCTTGCAAAGCGACGTGCGTGCTACATAGCCGCTGAACTTTACCCCCTCTTCATATATATGTAATATATAAACGCTCGCCTTCTTCGATCTCGATATTTGTTATTCACGCACACTTTTCACACGATACGAGTCCAATGGGTTGAGTTATAAATAGTCCATGCGTAAGTAATATATAACTGCGAGCGACGATCGCGTGGGCTTGCGAGACGAAAGCTTCCGTTTTTATTTCGTACAATCGTCGCCGAGCGAGCTTTTTTTGTGCCGACTCGCCGACGCCTCTGCGGTTTCGATCGGCCGCTACCGCGAAGCTCGACTGCATGGCTCCGATCGCGATATAATAGCCTCTCGCTGTATAAAAGTCGAGCTGCGCTTCATGAATATATCAGATGCAAGAGACGCGCCAACGTGACGAGGCGCGCGTGTTGCAATGATCACGAACGCGTCGAACTCGCGACTGATGCTGCATGCTAGGATATATGCAACAACAGCAGCAGAGTGCGATAATAATCCTTTAATTTTCAAACAATTACGGGCTGAGTAGCGTAGAGATATAGGCGTATGGCAATTGTATATCTAGGCGCGCGTTGAAAAAACACTACGAATGTTTCAGTAGACGTATTCATAAATACCACAATAAGTGCTAAACATATACGCCAATGAAGACGGCTGTGTGCTGGCGAGAAAGGTAATAATTAACGTTGAGAGCTGCCGCTGCTGCACCGCAGCAGAGAAACGATAAACAATCCTCCGCTGCTCGCGTATATCTAGCCGGAGGATGTTTGTATGCTCGCATACAGCAAACGTAAACGTATTATATATGAGTTCTTGCTATAACAATATTTACATGGAATATACACAACGCGTCTCTCTCCAGTCAAAGACGATAGTAATTATTATCATCGCGCAAGTTCGATTCGTCGCTGGTAGTAGTAGTGCTGCAGCTTTATTAGTCGCATGCTACGATCTATCTGCACATGCACTCGGTGTACACGTCACGCAATTCCTCGCTAGGAACGAGTGTCTATAGAAAAGACGATACATGGGGGAGGGCACCACCGCCGAGGCGCGATGAGCACATGCATTACACAGCTCGCGAACAAATTATGAGAAATTGCTCGGTCTCGCGTAATTTCTCATCGATAGATCAATCGCAGACGCCGTGTGTGCATATAATACGTTTACACGAAGCTCCGATGACGAAGCGATTCTCTTTTGCTACACACGATATGTATATATAGCGTGCCGAGGAATAGTGCAGCAGTCGGCATGTGTTTCGTCACGACGTACGCGCTATCGTTATAATAGACTATTGACGATCTCTCTGGCACACGTTTTTTTTTTCAACTGACTATTATCGTCTGTGCTACCAGTGCGCCCGTATACCGAGACGTCAGGAGGCAGCTATGTAAGGGACGATTCATTACAGATGCGCCACGATTGCCCTTGATTGAGCTCCGAGCTCGCGCGGCGCTGGTGATACTGGATACGCTAGTGCAGCGCGACAGCAGTTGGCTATATGGGAAAAAGTAAAAGCGGCAGCAGCAGCATCTCTATTGTAATAGAGAAAGTCGCGCTGCTGCAGCGGTAAAAGCAACGCAGCGAGAGACGCTTATTAATATTGCATAATGCGCTGCGCGCAACGATCGCAACACATACACACAACCGATGCGATGAGAACAACGTGCACGCGCCAAACTGTATCCTATATATAGGCTCCTAGTATAGAGACAAATCCCAGTAGTTGCAACGAGCCAAAGTCTCCATGTGTATTTCTGGTGTTAAGATGTGTGTGTGTGTGTGTGTGTGTGTGTGTGTGTGTGTGTGTGTGTGTGTGTGTGTGCAGCTGAGGACGACGGCGACGACGACGTCACTCTGCTATATTATATGCACACTGCGCTGCGTGTGTACTGCACGTGCGCTCGGAGCGGGAGTGAGACAATGAGGCCCATTGTACGTACAGTACGGCGTGGCCAAAAGGTATGGGTACATAGGTATACGTACGTACGGGGGCTCCTTTCCGCAGCTCGCGAGGTCCGCGCACCGTAAGACCGAACGCAAGTGCAAGTGAGAACGTAAGATATGTTTGTGTGTGTGTGTGTGTGCATGTGCATGGGAGCCCCGATAGGCTGTGCATGCGAGAGAGACCACCGCCGCTTGCGAGCGCCGCGCAACCGATCGCGCTCGGTACGGCACGGTCCTCCTCCCTCTCCGCGAGTTCCCTAGCCGCGCGAGACCGAAAGATCGTCTATAAAACCAACTTGTAACCCTTTCCCCAAAGACAGTCGGTTACAGTGTTTTAAGCTGCTAGCACACAAGTCCGACTCTTCAAGTCCTTTTTTTTCTATCTTTATCTCTCTTTTTTTTCTCTTTCTCGTTTCTCTCTATCTCTGTATCTCTACCTCTTTTATTCTCTTCGTCTATCTATTGGTTTTTCACGCATATATACAGCTCCTGGTGCGCGATTTGGTTTTTGATAAAGTGCCGATTCCCCGTACAGAGTAGTGTTGTAGTTCGAGCCGGGGTCCTGTGTGCTGCGATCGAGGACCCGCTCAGCTACACGGCTCTTAGCTGAACAGAGAGACGAAAGGACGACAGGAGTTTGACAAAGGGCACGAGAGCAACCGATCGCAGAAATAACACAACCGATCCATCATGTGGCGCGTATTCGTCTTCGCAGGTACATTACTTCTTTACGCTCTTTTTCCTATATTTCTGTCTCGAATCTATACAGCCCGTATCACACATACACACGCACATACTCGGAGCACACGTTATGTGTGTAATAGTATATTATAGAGAGCGAGAGTGCCGCATGAGAGCGAGTGCACTGCACACGGGCGACTCTCAATTGCAGCTTACCGCTATGTTAGCTAGCTAGCTAAAGCTGCTACATTATAGCTCGTCCGAAAGTGCAATTTACGCGCGAAAGGTATTACGCGCTTCGTCGTAACGATTTCTTCGAATAATCATAAAATGACGCACAAAGTTACGCCGGGCTCTCTTCTGGCTCCGAGACTCTACATATAGGATACGTATACGATACGTGCATGTGCCCGAGTAAACTCATCGCCGTATATTATACGTATATCTATATACACGTATACTCTCCTCTCGTTTTCGCCGGGGCCCCGATTTCGCTCTCGACTATGTGCGCCGCATGCACATACATACATGCTTCCGCGTCTAATTTTACAAACACTTTCGTGCAAATAATTAACCGCGTACTCGCGTTCGATGCTCGTCTTCAGCTTTTTTTCTATTTCATTTCACTTTCGTCTCTAATCTTTACGTTGTTTTTTTTTTTGTTGACCCTCGCGTTAATCCAAGAATGATTGAATTATTTAGCGTGTATGTTCTGGCGATTCGTCACGCTTCGCTTCGAGTCTCGCTAAGTACCTTACAATGTTTTGTTGCGAGTCGAGACTTTTTTTTCTGCGCGGCTATGCTGCACGCTCGTTAGTGCCATTTCACGGAGCAGATTATGGGCATTATTCACGCCTGTCGCGCTCGCGAGACTCTCTTTGCTTGCACGGGATTACTTTTTGATCGGTCCGTGGACTGTCGCGTGGATGATCCATCAGAACTAGACACCTGTTGAGTCCTTACATTGCGTGTACAAGAATTCGCGTACTACGCCACTATTTGATTGGTGCATTCGTGCACGACGACGTCCGATGCGCGTTATACCGATCGCCTAGCCGAGGTGCCATGCGGCGTATATAAAAATCGGTTATATAGCTCGCGCCTATAAATCATCGACAATATCGGAAACATAATTGTACCTGTAGTAGCCGCCAATAATACATGCATATGGAAGTCGCCTCGAGAGTCCGGTGAAATCCCGGAAACGTGCAGTTCTCTGCTGCCGCTGCTGCACTTCTCTCTCTTTCTCTCTCGTGCGGCGCAAATCAGCGCAGCAGCAGTAGTTGCAGTTGCAGCAGCACTCGGCGCATATGCTTTTAATTTCCCCCCGGCGATTTATGCATTATACTGCTATATGCATGCGCTATATCGGGCCGTATATATATATACATACGCGGTTGCGTCGGTATGCATTACACGTGTGTGCACGCGCGAAGTTCGGACTCGCGCGAGTTGTGGGCAGGCGCGTTACATATACACATAATGTAAGCTGCGCATGCACACGCGTGCATACGGGCGTTAATGAACTTGAATAGAGCAAAATTTTGCAGCCCGCGCGCGGAAGAAAGTACATAGCGTATACACACACACATAGCTTGCGGCTTATCACGCGCGCGAGCTCCTGCCCACTTGATTTCGGCCCGTCGAATCGGCCGTGGTTTCGCGGTTACACGATCGGTTTATGTATATATGTGTGTGTGCGATTATGTATGGGCAAAACGATCGAACGACATCCTGCGCTACCGCAGCACTGAACACCGTGAAAAATATACGTCTATCATATCAGCGCATGTACTACGGCTACTACCGGCCAGTGGCTACAAGCTCCGTTTTTGCATATTATCTCGTGATGTAAAAAAATTATACTTTATTAATTGGTCGGCCGGGCAATTTGGTCAGTCGTCGACTTATCGTGATTAGCAGCCTGCCGATCGCGCGACGAATTAGAAATCTTTGTTGTTTTAATGCCAGAGAGCATATTGGGATAGGATACATAAACACGTCTTATAAAAGTTCGAGTCGTAATAATCAATCAATTTGCAGCAGCAGCAGCTGCTATAACTATATGACTTAATGAAATAATTATGCCTGCCTTTAGCGGCGATCCAGTTCGACAAATGATTTATCTCTAATCCTTGGGCAATTGCGTGCGCGTACGAGGGAAGGATATAAATCGATTAATGTCTCTCGTGTGCTCGAGCGAATCCACGCCGATTAATATGTGGTTCACTTACTATATACACAGATAAATGCTGCGCTTTTAGCCTTTTCCGAATAATATTTTCTACTGCACGGGGGGTTGAAGACAGAAAAAAAGTGCATCGATCGCAGAGGTAGCCTTGGCGATCGATGCGTGACTATCGCGCGAGGCACCGCCTCACCTCGTATAATAATAAATCGATATCGGCAATCGACTCGCGTATTAAAAGTAATTAAAGCGACGGGACAACGTCGCTAATAAATCAGCTCGTCATTATCGGAGACGCTTGTGGGGTTTCGCTACTGTGCGCGTAAACTATATAGGTTCGCTTGCACACACACACGTACACGCATACACACCTGCGATTTTTTTCCTCCTCTCTCGCACTCCAACTACGAAACGCCAACTTTTTAACGATTTCGTGGCCGTATTAGCGCAACAACGAACTACAACTGGCTACTACTATACGCACATACAGACATCCGAGAGAGCAGCAGCGGCTCGACGAGCCGAGCAGAGCGACGTTCTAAAATTTTCTGCGCAAAAAATCTGCTAGAGATACATATACGTGCGTGCGCGTGGTGTACCCCGCCTATGTTACACCAGATTTACGAGTTTCAGGCATCACCATTTTCGAGCGTACAGGCTAGCTAGGTAGGCTATGGATCGTATATGCGTAGTATAAAATCGTGTGTGCAACATCGTTGCTAGCTTCGATCGTCGTAGCGATCATAGATCGCGATTTCTTCGCGTGTACAACGTATTACCGATCGCGATTCGCTCGGTGGCAATTTTATAAGTATCGTCGTCTTTCGCAGCTGGACCACGGAGTACTATGAATTAGTCTCGAGCGTCGACGCGTCAATGTACAATACATCTGTTGTATAGAAGCGCATACACAATTGCGTTTTACCGTACACGCGCGACATATATAGTTATAAACAATTCGACATTAGAAAGTCTTGTAAAGGCTGTGCGCGCAAGGATCGGGTCTCTCCCGAGCGCACAGAGCCGAGTATGACTCTCGCGCACGCGACTACGAACCGCACAACTACTATAGCCAATATGCATCATGTGCAGCGTGCTCTCGTATTATAAGACATCCGCACTGCCAGCTCGGTGGCCAAAGCGTTGACCGCGCCGATGAGAGTTCTTACATATGGTTATAGCTCGCGGCCTATCGGACTTATCGATCACATTATACGGCGTAATATCGTATTATATGCTAAGGATTGGGCCGAACAAGACAATATCGATTATCGCCCCGTAGATAGTTACAAACTCGAGTCGTATACCTATAACACTAGGCTGTGAATTGCGACTATATATCGCGCGCGGATTCGGCTCCAGCTCCATGTTGCCAAGACGACGACGACTATTGCGGAGTCTGATCCGCGAGCGATGCGATATATAGAGTCGTAAAAGCGAGAGGAGGACGATCAAGTTGCTCGAACGTGAGAATGTATACGTAACGACGAGTATCTCTTGGTATCGGCTCTCTTGTACCTCTCGTGTGTATGTATGTGTACGCGAGTGTAGCACACAAGTTACGTACATCTGTGTCTCGCAGCCAGACTCTCTCGCGCTATCTATATACTCGCAAATGCACTTTGAAGAGAAAGAGAACGACGTAACGATTCCCCGTGTGCGGCACACACGTGAGCTATTCGCAGCAGCAGCAGCAGCAGCGATCCTCGAGCGCGAGGCTCTCGATCCTTATACCTTATAATACATGTATAACTTAACACGCCACAGCTGTACAGCGATCCTACAGCGTATACATATCTTACAAGCACAGTACTTTCGCCTAGATAAATGGCTAGCTCGCGATGTCTGTCTGTGTAATAATATATAAATAAATCGTTAAGGATGCGTCTCCTTTGTGTGTTGGCAGGTCTGCTGAGTGCGGCAGTCCTGGGAGAACCCGTCAACGAAGATGCCGTCGCCGCTGCTGACAAGCTTAGCCTCGCGTTAAGCGACGTCAGTGGCAGCAGCGACAAGCTCGAGAAAGCTGCCGCCGCCGTTGAAGACACCCCGAGCAAGGACGACAAGGCCAAGAGGTCGCCGATAGCCGCGACGGCTGTGTACGGCGCTTCGCCCCAACATCATGGGCAGTACGTCATTCGCCACGGTGACGACGCGCCCGAGGTAAGCCACAATAAGTATACTATTATACAGTATGTAAGCGACAGTTATGCTTGAAAATCGCGGTATTGGCCGGACACGCGTATATATATGCAACACTTGCTGCGATGCATGTAGCCGCTAGGCAGGATGTGTATAGTAGTGAGTATTTGTGCACAGAGGAAACGGCAAGCTCGAAAGCATGTATATCCGAGTGTCTTACCGCACTGCACTATGCAGCGGACGGAGGGTATACTATAAGAGAAAGAACATAATCATGTAATTCGAAATGATTTCTGTGGCGTTACGATTATATTATTTGAGCGCGCGCTCGTGGCATGGCGCGTTATGCGATCTCCTGCTTTGCAGTTGTATATGCACGAGACGACGACTGCGACGACTTTCTATTATTATAATAATTATCTCGTGGCGGTGCTTTTCTAGTTAAAAGCGGATCGTTCTGTGCCAGGAAAAAGGGGTTTATACATATGCACAGGAAAAAAGTCACGAAGGATCGGTAAATACATGGCATTATTATTAGGCAATCGCAGCGCAGCACAACATATAGCATCGAAAGCTCGCGCCCGCGCGGGCGTACACCATAAAGTTACGCTCGAATGGTCGTGGTGCGCTAAACCTTGAAACGCGTGCACCAGCATAGTATATGCGAATCGATGCGAAAATTGGCCAAGCGCGTAACGCATGCCACACGGCACACACACCGTGTACTTACATAGCATATCACAAGTTATTGGGTGCTGTATATAAAAGGCTCTCTTTTAGCTCTCTTATGTGTGTGTGCATATAGGTATCGGCCGCCGCGCGTCTCGGGTAGCCGAGCGATTTCGAACACGCCATGTATCCGCGTGTAGATATGTAGTACACGTTTAGGTGTATCGGTAGCAGCAGCGGTAGGCCCCGTGGAGTACTTGATCAAGGTTAACCAGTATTACATCGGCACAAATAGGCCTGTGTATGGCTCGAACGCATACTATATAGACAAAGTGCAGCAGCAGCAGCAGCAGCAGCAGCAGTGCAGTGGCAGCAGGCGCTTTATAGCACCCTATTCATTGCGGCCGCCACGATCAAGCGCGAGACTAGACTGCTGCATGCGAGGCCGCGAACGGCCTTTGAAGTACACCAAGGCACACTTACACACAGACACGTACGGCTCGCTCGAGCTAATGTAATGCCGGCTACCACCAACGCTCTTGTACGTACACACGGCAATATAAGTCCCTATCGAGCTCAAGAATCTCGCCAAAGAAGTGAAATTACTCAACAATAGACTTTGTAGCGTATAACGGCCGGTGTGTGCCGGCTGCGCGCGGAATAGATATTTAGTCACCTTCGTACCTAAATATACTATGCATGCTATGTACGCGCAAGTGCATTATCTCTTGCACACATACACACACATGCAGCGCATAGAATTGCGTCAGCTTTTCAATATAAACACACACAACGGCTCCGAGACGTGTCGACAAAAAAACTCGGCACCCGCCGCGGTATATTGTGCGCGCGTTCAGGCCCCGTATAGCGATTCGAGCCGCGCGACCTTTTCGCGCTTATCTCCTTTTTCTAATTTTCACTTTGTCGATATATAGGCAGGCGCACATGCACACCCTGCAGAGCTATCCGCGTCCGGGTATACCCACACACGTACACACCCGGACCAAACACGCACATGCGTGCGCAGTGCCTTGGTGGATACAGGTATAGGTGCAACTTTCGAAAGTTTCGGAGATTTCTCGCGCGGAACAAAGCAAAAATTTGCCAATCCACGCGGGACTCGCTCGTGGAAAAATTCGCCAGCTCGCGCGAGCCTGTCTGCGTGTGGCATACATATGTAGCTGCGCGTTTTTCCAAAAGCTCGTGGCAGCTCCCACACGTACATGCTATATACATTGTACGTATCATTCTGTAAGCGCGCGCGACGCTCGAGTCAATGCGTTTTTTTTTTCATTCATTTTACACGTAGTCAGCTGGGACCGCGTGAGCATGAGCGATACGCGATATATAGCTATACTCTAATTGATTATTATTTCATATACTATGGGCCGTGGCACGTATCGTATCGCGAGCTTTTCTCACGCATTGTCCTGCTGCTGTAGCTAGCGATAAAATTACGGTCATGCTCAATATGACTGAGTAGAGCCTGGACCGGTCAGGAGCATAAGCAATTGTAGTAGTGGGCCATGGATATTGTATATGTTCTAGGCCGGCATTTATTACACGCGTTATACATTATATATTATATTATTATATTTATTATTATTATATTTTATATACATGGTATATAGTTATTGTATTCATGGCCTCAGCAGCAGTAACAGCAGCAGCAGTGGTCGAGGCTCGAAGAGTCCGGGAGCAGGATGTTGAGGCCGCGGCCGCAGCTTTTATCAGCTGCCGTATCCCATTATAATCGCGGCGGCGGCCTTGATGAATTATTGAGTCTCATATCTCGCGTATATCACAACTATACATGTGCTGCTGGGCTCTCGCACGCCGCCTACGTGTGTGTTATTATATTTCAGCCACTGTATAATACTACTGTCCGATTTTGCAATTCGAGAGAGAGAGAGAGAGAGCCCGCGCGCGAGTTTAGAATTAATTCGCGCGATTTACATTCCCATGCGTGTACGTATAGTAGGTACGTATACACGCAGCGCTAAGCATATAGCAGCAGCAGCACACATATCTTTAACGCTGCAGCTGCTGCTGCTGCAGTAGTTGGCCTGATTTTTTTTCGGCCTTTGCCATAATATAGTGTGTCGAATCCGCGACTCTGCAACGGTAGCAGCGCACAGTAATATAGGATGACTCGTCCTTAGCTAAGAATTGGCTAAGCTCTATTATGCGAGGTCGTATAATTCGCCTATGCTGCACTGCGCTCCAAACGAGCCGCGAGTGATAGAGAAAGAAAAGAGAGACGTGCGTGGCATGCGAAGTACATAATGCGCTGCGGCAGTGCTACTACCATACAACACGCGTTAACAAGTGGGAATCGCTCGCGCGGATAGGATAGCATATAAGATAGTAGTATATATAAGCTGCACGTGTATTCCGGGGTAACGAGAGTTAACGCATAATACTTATACGCGACGAGAGACGTTGTTCGCTGCGCGCAGCGTCTGCAGGTAATTATTAATGTACGGATCGCGTGTAAAAAGAATTATCGTCTCGCTGCTGTCTAGAATTCTCGTACCTACATAGCATAATAATATTATATAGCTCGAGAGATTTCTGCATGAGCAGATCTCGAGCCGAGCTAGTCCGATTTTCTTTTTTCCCGCTCGACTTATCGACGTCGCCGTCTCCGCGGCTTGCACCGAGCGCAGCCTAGCTCTCTGCGCGCACGACGAATAAAAATAACGTTAGACACAAATATTTTATACGCGGGTATAAACATCGCTGCGCGACTCGACTTTCTAAACGATATTTTTGCCAGTTAAGCGTACGAAATTATCCTACATGCATAATGTACATATATAGCCTATATATATGTGGTAGAGTACTTTGTGTGTGTGTGTGGCTTCGATACACATATAGATGTATATATTTAAATATCGTTTTGCCTTTACGGTAATGCGTAACTTTTCCTCGCGCACACGCTATATAGTCCGCGGCACATGCATCCGCGAAAGAATCTCATTAGTTATGCAGACTCATTTTCCGCCAGTTTCATAATATATATATAAGGCTTCTCGCTAGCTGAGCGCGCGCGTGAATTTCCGCTATACTACTGCATAGCTTATAGCTGCTATACGTGTGTGTGAGTGTGTATGTACGTTCGGTATGTACGCGCTTCGGCAAAATCGCCGCCGCGTATTTCGAAAAGAAGAAGAAAAAAACTAAGGCGAAAAATCGCGGCACGCGCGCGTTTTTACGTTCACACACAAGTGCATACGTATACGCGTTATAGTCTGTAGAGCTTGCCTGCGGTGTGCATGTGTGCGTACTGCAGCTAGTGTACTATTTTCCAAGTATCAGCAAGACAATACTATCTGAACAACGGCCCATTGTCACGTCATACTTTTCTTTTGACGTACGCGGCTCCGAATCATCATTTTCCTTCTGCTGCTTTTTTTACCCACTTATCCAAACCTCTCCCGCCACTGCTGTGTAGAGCGACAAGTCAGTGCGCGCGCGTAATACGCGGACACACACACATACATATGCACGCATATAATATATAGAAAGTGAAAATGAGATTTGTGCGGCTGATAGAGAAAGGCGATGTGTAAAAATGAAAAAAAAGGAGAGAAAAAAAAAGAAATAATACCCAGGTAGACGCACAAGCACACGCGCGTACTGTATAGCTGTATACAGACATTTCGTAGGATGGTTAATTAAAAAAAACTGCCTACCCGTAAGTGTGTGTATGTGTATAAGTGCGGTGGGCCGCGCGAGCGAGCCATCGTCGCGCATTCGAAATCTGGTATTAAGCTCGACGCGCTTGCTCATTTCTTGCCGCGCATCGCATCGCACAACTTCCTCCATTAAAATACCTTCATCAGTTGCATAATGTCCATTTCCTATTATAATGCCTGCCGAGCATGCATGGCCGCGTATATAGAAAGCCTGCGCGCCTCCTGTACTCCTACTCCTCCTCCTCCTCCTCCTTCGCGTAATGCTTCTCGCGTAAAATCTTGGGTTTTTTCAACTTTTTTCCCTGTGCGTTTACTCACCTGCAATTGTAAATTTTCGATGAGCGAGTGAGACTCGGATCGCTGTGCAATTTTGCTATTAACGCAAGTAAAAAATGCCTTAACCAGTAAGCTCTCTAGAGCAATTAGGGAGACACCTATATATTATACGTACACACAGGCTCGTTAAAAAACAAAATCATCGCGTGAAAAAGTGCATTAAATTTTGCGCCGCGTTATCTCGTTACCATTTGAAAATATAATATGTACGAATTTCACGCTCGCTGGAGACGATCTTCTCTGTACTGGCGGCGCAACGAGAGTTGATGCGCGCGTGCACGCGGCTATAATAGCGCATTAGCTGCCAGCAGCGTGCTGCCGCCGCGCATTACACAATCTGGCAACGATCGTATGGCGCGAGCAGCCGAGCTTATTTATTAAAAGTAGCGTGTAAACATTGTTTAGAAAATCGCTCGCAGTTGTGCAAGTCGAGCTGCGACGACGACGACGACGACGACGAGAGACCATGCGCGTCGTTGTTCCTCGTGAAATCTTCCAAAACGCGCCGCGCTTGCATCTGTAGTCAACACCGAGCGCGAACATACATAATCGCAATTCACGCGTGCAACCACCTATTATTCCGCAAAAATGAAAGAAAAAATGTTACGGTCAACGTTGAATCGAAATGCCAACAAGCCTGTATACGCACACGAGCGTGTGATCCAAAAAGTCGCCCGAATGAGCTGGGCGAGCCAAAGATGCAAAGCAATTGCCGAGTATATGGCTCTATAAGTACGTTTAATTAGTTGAAAAGTGAGTTTTATTCCAAAGCGAAAGAAGTTGGAAAATTTATTCGCAGCTTTTTCGTTAATTACGCGCGCGGCCGCGTATGCATTGCACAAGAATTATAATGAGGTTTTGGTGCCCCGCGCGCGCAAAATTGGTGGCTACTAGCTGGCGCAAATTTTCGAATGAAAAAGTCCCGCGCTGCAGCAATCGGCCCAATAAAAATCGCACGATCGAACTATCGCTACGAGAAAGTGTTGTGTATACATAAGCGCGCAGCGATCTCGCGCGCGTGAATTATGAGCGCATCTCGCGATACATACGTATATCGCGAGTCGATACGCGCGTAAACAAGAGTTCGGAGTTCCTGAGAGAGTATCATCGAAAGTACACGAACGCACAAAACACGTGCATATTATAGTTGCCTGCCATCTCCTTGCTGTGTTATTTACGCGTTTGTTTGTGCGCTGTTGCCTGCAACGCTATGTGCGTGCAGGGACTATTGCCGCTGATGCTGCGCTGCTGATCGCGAGAGGAATGCACTTTAATCTTTCTCTCTCTCTCTCTCTCTCTCTCTCTCTCTCCCAGGCCTGACACTTGTTCTAAGCGTGTGCTGCAGCGCGCGGCGCAAAACTCTCACTCTCACTCTAGCAGCCAGCAGCACGGAGCACGCGGCAGAATTACGCCCGCGGGAGGAACTCGAGCTGCCGCTGCCACTGCTGCTCGATCGGCTCGTCGTCTCTGCACGCTCGACGAGCTCCGTGCTGCTGCCCATGCATGCACACTGCCGCATCGGGCCCCGCGCTCGCTCTCGGCCGCTTGCGTAATCCCGCGACTTGGACGCGCTGCCGCTGCTGCTGCAGTGATCTCTCTTATACTCGCATTCTGACCGGTAAAACGAGCGACTTTCGCGCCGCACATACACGCGCTGATCTATATACATACGACTGTATGTGTGTGTATGTATACATGGCTATTATAGGCTGCTCGAATTGCGCTAGGCAACGGTGCAGCGACGTAAATACGAAATAGAAAAAAAAGGAAAACTCGACTCGATGCTACCTCGCGATGAAAAGTCACTCGTAGCTACGCTGATATTGTTATGTGCACCTATATAACTATAAATACCTATCAGCTACATTGTTTGTTTCCTTTATATTTATTGTAATGGCAGGTCTCTCTCTTTCTCGAGATCGTTGTTCCTTCGTTTGTTTCTTCTCGCGTATCGAGACGCGATGGGAATGTTTTTAACGGTGTATCGCGCGAGCAGCATGTGTGCAACAGAGAAACATGCATCGATGCTGTGTGTGTATATAGCTAGCTGCTGCTGATCGACGGCCGAGCAGTAGTTCGTTAATGGCTTTGGCGTAAATCGGTATTAATCATAGCGCCGATTATCATAATTTATTTCGTATTGTGGAGCTGCGCTGCGATGTGATCGAGTTGGCCTCTACCGTATACTCGTATATATGTATACTCGCGGCGCTGTGTTGTATGTATATAAACGATCGATCGGGGCAAAAAATCATTTTTCCGACTCGGGCGCAAATCTCACGATCGACAGAATTTGATAAAACAGCATTTTTATCAGCTACACGTATTACCGGCCGCCCGATGATCTCTTGCCTCTCTACCTCTATGCGCGCAGAGCTTTTATTAAATCGTTTCACATTTAAACGGCAGCTCTCGAGCGCTCAGGCAGGTATAGGCTGGCTCGAACGATGATTAATATTACGGTCGCGTTCGCGTGTGTGTATTTATATGGCGTGTACACGCGGCGTTTGCTAAATTGAAAAAAAAAGAGAGAAAAAACAGCGCAGCCACGGCCTGGATAACCGCTACCTGTGTGTGAGGAAAATGCAAAAGCAAAAGAGCGACGTCCTAAGCCCCGATCAATCATAGCCGATGACGAAATTAGCCTGAAATTACATATTATATATTATAGAGTCGAGCTTTTTCCGTTGCGTATGCTGCACGCGCAGGTGCTGCTGCTGCGCGTGCGAATCTTTCTCTCGCTTGTAATATGCCACTAGCCGATCGATTGATCATTTCCTGCATCGAGTATTAATTTTATTCTTTCGTTTTTTTTTTTATTCACAGGTTGGACCGGAGTATTTGGCCCTGCTGCAGCAGTACTTGGTGGAGCAACCGGAGCCGCAGCACCAGATCGCCGGTAGGCAGCAGCATCAACGTACCCACCTGCACCAGCAGCCTGAACGTCACTACCAGAACCAGCCGATACAGCGCGTCAGGATAGGCGCACTCCTCGAGCAGGAGTTGGTCAAGCTCATCGAAAAGCAGCCGGTCCAGCACAAACAGGTAATTCAATCTGTAACCATTATGTATAACGTAATATGTTTCCACGTTTTAAAAAAAAACTCCATTACGACGCCCAGTGCGATGGAATAAAAATAAAAAAATAAATAAAAAAATGAGCCCGTATGACACTCGGTGCAGTGTACGCAATAACTAGCACAACTTCTCCGACGTACGATAGTCTACCTGCTTTGGTCTCTCTCTCTCTCCTGCTTTTTTTGTCCGTCTTAATAAGAGCGAGCGCGTTAAATCGGCCATTCGTCGCTTGATTACTCGCGTTGCCTCGACTATATCTCGGCTCATTTGCCTTTTGCTCATTTTTTCAAACTGTCGCGCGCGCTAGAGCTTAAGTTGTTGCTTATAGGTGTAGTTTTTCGAAATTATTACAATTTCACTTCTCGTACGTGAGTAGTTGCTCCGCGCGAACCGCGCGCTAAGTAACACGTAAAACGTCTGGCACAGCCGTTTCCGCGCTATGCTGCATGCGTAAGCATAAGAATTTATTACGAAAGTTGCAATCTATTCGGCGCAAATGCATTTAAGCGACTGGATAATTTCATCTGTCTTACGCGAATGTCCTTCCCCCCAGATCAATACACTCTGAAATACATCCAATTTGATGAAGTATTTTGCTACAAAATTTTTATAATTTCATTTATAAAAACTAAATATTACCTGAGAGCACAATTTAGTATATTACTGAATTCCATTTTTCTCTTTTTGGAATTTCACTAACAATTATAACCTCTCCTTGATAAAATTATCGAAGAACACAGTGCAGGCTACAGAGAGTTGTGTTCATTTTGTTGTTTACGTCGTGCGTGGCATGCATTACCTCTCCGTTATATTGTTTGTCACGTGGTGTTTTGTCCTGCATTTTATCGAAGAGCGCGTCTCGCGCCTCGTCAGGCAAGTATATGGCCGAAGTATAAGTTATACAGCGCAGATATAAACGTCAGTTTTCTTTTCGCCCTTATTTGAATTTGAATTACTGTACGCAAGGCTGTGAAAGAAGCAAAATTAAGTCATGATCATTATATCATTGTAGAAATGTCATTAAGTATATTATGTTTAATGAAACGATTACGAAGAAATGAGATTTAAAAAAATGATTCTAACGGTATGCGAAGCACGATGAGAAAAATTTAATCGTTAATATAACACAACGTAATAATTTGCTGCAGGCGATACCACTCGACGTTGAGCAGTACCATGTGGAGACAACGGCACCACGACGTGTGCCTGCCCAGGCGTTGGTCCAACAGCACCAGTACCAGCCCCAACCCCAGCAGCACCAGCAGCAACTCTATTACCCAGTCGAGGAAGTGCAGATCCCAGCCAGAGCCCAGCCTCAACATCACCACCATCAGATTCAGCATCACCAGGCAGCCGCAGCAGCAGCAGCCGCAGCCGCCGCACAGCAGCATCAACATCAGCAGCAACAGGTGGTCGTGAGCCACCACCGACAGCAGCAACCGCAGGCACAGGTCCACCAGCATGTCCAGGTGACGCCCGAGCCCATTACGATCCAGCATCCTGACGAGGTTCAGCAAGTGGTTCGACCCCAGCCGCAGAGTCTGCGCTACCACCAGTCGATCCCCATTCAGTACGGCTACGAGGACGAGCAGCAGGTGCAGCATCAACAGCAGAGCCCCGAGTCGATCGTCCGAGCCCAGCAGAGCGCCGAGCAGCAGGCCCTGGCCTTCCACAAGATCGCCCAGGCGGCGCACTACAAGCACCAGGATGACGCCCTCGAGCAGATACGGGTGGCGAACGAGAAGCACCGACAGCAGAGCGCTTTGGAGCAGATCAAGCAGGGCGAGCAAGTGAGCGAGGCCGGACGCCAGGAGCGCGTGAGTTATACCCCCCAAATTTACTGTACGACGATGACGACAGATACGATGCAGAATTGACAATAAGAGACCGAGGACTGCACTCGAGGATCGGCGCGTGGGCGGCAGGCATAAATCCGTGACTCCGGTCGCTGCTGTCCAGCTTACAACCGATGTATGCCAGCGGCGTTGTGCAATGCCGCTCTCGCTTTCGACTTTCGTCATTGTCATTTTGACAAAAGAGCACCACGAGCTGCTGCTGGCCTGTGTTTTCCAAATTGCTTCGAATCCCGCTAAAATTTAGTCCGACTCTCCGCGTCTTATACGTTACTTACGTAAGCACGACAAATCATCCCAAGCCGCGCGCTATAATGCAGCATGGTACAGTATATGGAATATACGATATATATAGGAAGGGTAGATGTTTGCGAGTGTCGGACAGACAATCGCTCTCGACTCGCGTGCAGAGTGCGAGAGCACAGCGCGATCGTAAACTAGTTTGACGAAAATGTTCCCGGCACGAGTGCTGCAGCGAACGCGAGGGAAAGTGGCCGCTGCTGTTGGCGTGATGCGATGCGTCATAACACTGCATTGAGTACTGCATGCAGCCGAAACGCGACCTATTCCAGGAGATACCTCTCGACTCAGAACAACAACGCTTTCCTCGCGAGGATAAACTTGGGATAATAATTTGCGGAGCTGAGCACTCGACAGCTTTTATCAGCTGCTGCTGCTGCTGCGCCTTCAACATACTCTCTCGTCCTCCCTCTCTTACTGTACGCGCGCTATTTTCACCGGTCGCGCAATAAAATTTATAGCTCAACTATTTGTTCTTCGCGGGGCTCTGTATAATATAACAAGAGTAATGTCCTCGGCGGCGTCTTAACCCACATTCGTTGTCGTCTCTCATTGATTGTGCTGTGTGTGTGTGTGTACGTGTGTACAGCGTGCCATGCATGCAGCAGCACACCAGGGCTAGCTCGTGCGCGCGATAAAAAATAACAACTATACTACGCGCGCGTTCGGGCTGTGTCTTAGGCTTAATAGCTTATCGTTCGCCGTGTGCAGTTGTACAAATTATAGAGTCGCAAAAAATTCACGAGCCGCACACGCATACACGTACGTATAATATAAATGCGTTTATGTACAGACTCTCTCGCGCTCGATAGTAGTAGTAGTAGCAGATAGTATATTACAAGTGTTGTGGCTCTCGCGCGATCGGCGACGATCGTTAAATCGTGCGTTAAAAAAGCCATAGCGTACGATAATTAATAACGTCGCTACCGCTTGGGTTTCGCGCGCGGATACTCTTGTAGTGTGCATACTCGATAAATTTAAACATAATAGCGGAAAATCGTGTGGCTATAATACGTGCACACGCGCGCCAACAGCACAAGTACGTAAAAGCGCGAGCCATAGTCGCATTTTATTCTCCGTCTCTCTCTTTCTCTCTCTGTCTCTATCACGAAAAAGCGAATGGGCTTTTATTGATTAAGTTTCTTCTGTTCCGACGTATGCACGTGTAAAATTTGTGTATATCTATATGCGCGCACGTATATATGTCTATCGGAGCGGTCGGAGCAAGTCGTCAATTTGTTTAACGAAATTTCTGACACCGAGTTATTTACGATAGAATTCAACTTTGTGTGTCTGTGTGTACGTATACGCGCGCGGGGCTCGAAATATTCCGTTGCGTTGCAGCATATTATGCACCCGTGCCGCCGCCTTGTTGTGCTCGACTGTATAAATATATATAGATATTCGAGCGCGCTCACGTAGAACACAACTCAGCAAATAGACTCGTTTTCTCATATTAATTATTAACTGCTTTTTACGAACCGACTCCGTGCGTATGCACGTTTTGATGCTTGGGCAATATGTTTGTTTTTCGCTGTACCGCACTGGTACATGTAACCAAACACACGCGCCGCCGCTGCTGCAGACACACGAATACACAATAATACTCGTATATATAATAATTTCTATACTCGCATATTTTTCTCCGCGAGAAAATATATTTTATGAAAAGCGATTACGTTATGGTGTAGACTTTTTGTGCGCGCAACGGTCCCGCAGCAGCAGCTCTGTGATTCATTTGTTATACTAATCGGTAACGCTATTATGAATCGAAAATTGTTACAATTATCTCTCTCGCTTCTATCTATGTACCAGCAGCAGCAATCGAGACACTTGGCGCTCGCAATTACAGATGTATAAATACGTATTCGTTGCTCGTTGACTCGCTGTTCGATAATACGCGGGCTTTGTCTATAAGGCGCAGCAGCAGTAAGTAAGTAAAATTAATCGTGTATATATAGGTTTTTTTTTCTTCAGCTCTCGCTACTACTGTCCGACGTCGTCGCGTGGAAGAATTAGGTGGCGCAATTTTTGCGCTCCGACTTTTCCACAATTTTTCGATATTCCCTCGTTGCGGGGCAATGCATTGGGCAAAAAATCTCATCGCGTGGCACACAGCACGATACTCTATAGCTGCCACCACCACCACCACTACTACTGCACGCATGCAAGCATACGTATACATTGTCTTTGTCGCGATCGACACAAAGCACCCACGATCCTTGCCTGCCAACTCGTTACGTTTTTTTTTCTTCGCTCTCCTTCTATTTTTTTTTCCTTCAAAGCGTATCCTATACTCACCTCGGGACATGTAATTATGTCGAAAAAAGGAGAGCAGTTATAAATAGCTGGCTATAGTAGTAGCAGCTCGCGCCACGGCTGCATGTTGCACAACTCTATGTGCTACGTATATATAATATACGCCGATCTCTCGTGCTAAGCCCGGCGAAAATATCCGGTAGCAGCAGTAGCAGCGAGTAGTGTGCATGCGACTTACTATATATGCGGCGTTGCGGGTGAATCGATTCTCGGAATGATAATGGAGATCGATATCGAAAAGAATGTCGTGGAAAAAAGGAATAATAAGCCGCCGGCGTTGCTGCATGAGGCGGCGGCGGTGGTCGTGGTGGTGGTGGCGGCTCGGCGGTGCATTACAACGTACAAAGTCATCGATTGGCTTTCTCTTATATTCACACGCGCGACTGCGGCGCGCATATCTATTTATTTACGCAACTGAGAGACTCGACTATTATGTATATAGCGCGAGCGCGAGAGCGCACATAGCGGATAGCGCGCAGTCGATCTATATAGTACAGCGGAGCTCTGTGCGCACCACATGCATGCATGTAAAAGTGCTGCTGCCGTTGTGTGGCGCGTGTAGTCCGCTGTATATGAATTTCTAGGCATATACATATAAAGTATCGGAGCCGCTGCTCTGTACGTGGGGTTCGTCGACCCTGCACCAACTAGCCTAGAGTTATGGTATTATGGCTTTTCGATCGCGTATACGGCTCGAGCGCGCGGACTACGGTTCGTTCCTTTTTTCTTTTTTTTTTTTTTTTAATTTTTTTTCATCAGCTCCGCACAAGTAGTATAATATAGTACTGGCCGATAGTTTAGATCCGAACACCTATATACGAAATCACCATATAATAAAAAAAGACGCTTGTTGCTGCTGCTCCGGACCCTGAGAGCCGCTGCAGCAAAGATCGTTACAGATATTTATGTGATCCGCTGGCGAGACTCGAGCAAAAGAGGCGGTCCCCGCGCCTGCAACACGTTATGAAATACCTAATATAACGTGAGCGAGAGAGCAGCCCCGCGTATATATTGCGACTCGGAGCAATCCAACTTTCATCCCGCGTTCGTCACTATGCACGAGCCGGACACTGCGCCGATCGGTCGACCGATCGATCGGCATGATTTATTGAGACACATTGAAAATAGCTACTTTTTCTTTAGAGCTAATGTCTAATCCAGCACCGATTCGATCTCTCGTTTGTTTGTATGCAGGTACAGCCCAAGGACCCGGAAGGCGCCTACAAAGCCCATCTTAAGGCCCAAGCCACGGCCCTGGTAGCCGAACACAGGAGGGCCCACGAGGCCGCCGAGTACAAAGCCCACGCCGATGCCATTCTTAAGCTACAGGCTCAGCAGCAGGCTCATCTGCGAGCTCAGGAGGAGGCCCACCGCTACGCACTGAACTTCGAGAAGAATCAGGCTCGTGCCCAGGCCCAGGCTCAGGCGATCGCCAACGCACAGGCCCTGGCCCTGTACAACGCTCACAAGGCGGCCCGTGCCAAAGCCCAACAGGAGGCCAAACAGGCCGCAAAAGCCCAGCACGACGCGAAAAAGCTCGACCCCGATAACGCGCCAGTGGTGCAGTACTTGCTGCCGAACAAGGTGCCACTGCCAGCGCCTGAGGTATGTTTATCGCGCCCGACAGCCGTGTATGACGTATACGATCGTGTACTGCGCGTACTATTACCCGTTTGGATTGAGCATCTGATTTATTAACACTTGCCTTGCAGAGTAGCACGACAAGCTGCCGCGCATGACTGTACGAGAGAGGAATTATTCAAACAGCCTCTTAATCGCGACTAATTTGGCGCACCATTAAAAAGACAGTTTGAGCTACTGCGGCACAGCTAGGTAGAGCGCGATTCTTAATAAGATTTCCAGATGAGATAAATCGAAACGCCAAAACGAGTAATTGCGCGCGTTCGACAACGACGTTACGCTTTCACCGCTTGACAATTATTCAGTTGTTGCTCGAGCCAATTTTTTAATATTCCATCCTTCGTCCTTTGTTCTCAGGAGTACCTGCCAAAGGCAGCCGAGGCACTTCGCGAATCCGCTCTCCAAGAGAAGCGACTGAAGCAGCAACAAAAGGCTGCGGCAGTAGCCCAACAGCAGCATCATCATCATCAGCATCAGCACCAAGCTCAGCCCATCAAGCACCAGCAGCAACAAATTTTCGAGATCGACCCGAATCTCCTCCGTGGTTTCCCAGCCAAGCTCGATGAGCAGACGCAGGAGCTGACGTTCCTCGTCGACGCCGACTACTTCCGCAAGATCCAGGCGCAGCAGCGCGGAGAGGCGAGCGAGCAACAGCCCGCGCGTGCAGTACTGCGGCCCGCGAGCCGCTACCAATCGATCGAGGAGGAGCCAGCCCAGCGCCAGCAGCACCAGCACCAGACGGCTCACCGCTACCAGAGCTACCACCACAGCGGCCAGATCGATCCCGACAAGATAGCTCTGCTCGTTCCGGTCGAGCCGCAACAGCCTTGAACGATTCTAATCCTCCCCTCCGCTCAGCGAGCCCCGCTTACATATCGTTCTTTTCAATTATTGCTCGATTTTGATTTTTTTTCAATTATTATTGTATTTGTTTCGTATTCGACTATCATTTTGCAGTATTTTGAAGCGCACAGTCGCTGCAGACCGTGCCGATCGTGCAGTGCATCCGATTTCTGCACACGGTTTATAAACGTATACCACGATATGATAATCGACGCACACGTAAAAGCTGCAGCTATATACGCACTGGCTATATTACGATATAATTAAAGGTTAGATACTTTTTTTTTAAATGTATTATCGTATTATATTGAATTTTGTTGGTGCGAGTGCGCGCGTAGTTGCCTCCCACCTCTCCTCCCACGTGTTTTCTCGAGTCTCTTTTTTTTAATAATAACGATTATTAATTTTGTAAGCCCGCGATACGTACCTCTAAATATGAGTTTCGCGTGCCTCGAGCGCGTTAACGAGCCTTTACCAATTATATTATAATACTTAATGCGTGCATCTGGTGAATCGAATCAGTCGAGTAGTAGTAGTAGAGCAGCAGCGCCCTCGACGTTATTAATTATGTTCGCTCTTTATTGCCGAGATTAGAATGCGAGAGTCCAGCGAATAGTGTTACGAATTAATTTGGCTCACTTCTCCTTTCAAGAAGAGTGTGTAATTTCGTTTCGACGGTGCGCGCTGATGGATATACAATTAGAAACGCACCGCTATACGCTTACTTAGTCACGTTCATCACAAAGTTGTATCTCCCGCTGTTTGTGTTTACTTATTTTATTCATATACATCCATGTATTTTTTATACCAACAACTTTTTAATAGCTTGTAAACCAATTGTCTCAAATCCTATCTCTTACACATGTTACATTTGTATTTTGAAATTTTATATATCGTACCGAGCTTGATGTCTATTATCATACCTCTGTAAATAATGATAATATACATAATCTTACATATTTTATATATAAATATCGTACGAAGCTAATGAAATAACTAACTCATGTGGACGCGTCGACGAATCGGGCCGGCGTAGGTGAATTGCACAGCTGCTAGGATGTACAGGTAGAAATAAATACGTATAAAGGCTGCGACGAATTTTCGAGTATTATAAAATGTGTTTTGCGGCGGGGCGCGAGCCGGATCACTGTGATGCGTCGTCGCGCCTGCAGCCCAATAGATATTGCAGCCGTCGTCGGTACGTGCCTGTGTGTGTGCCGGAGCTAGCTCTGCGTTCGACGACCTGCATGTGTGTATATAAACTATAGACAAAAGTTTCAAATAAATGTTTATTTTGCATTTTTCAAAAAAAATAAAATAAAATAAAATACAAGTTTTTTTCGTTACATTCCTCCCGCAGTAATCACATAATGATGAATCCAGCATATTTAAATTTTTTTCGTTGATTATAAGTTGGAATTTCGCAAAGATAAGATATAGAGAAGAAAGAAGAGAAAGACGGATGCAGCCGCGCGAGTATATCTGCTGGATACAGATTAAAGCTCATGCTCGCGAGCTATAAACCGCGAGCCGCGCGCGTTTTCGATTACTTATGAGCACGGAGCGTCGTGCATGTGGCCACTCTGCTGCACATGCTGCAACTATACACATATATTGGCTCGCAAATTACTCTATCTCTCTCTTACACTGCGATAGCATTAAAATGATTCCGGGTCTCGTATGGTTGGCGCGAGCAATGCGGCTTGTTCATTACGCAAGTCTTTCTCTCTCTCGCTCTTTCTCGTACAGGAGACTCGGCTGCTCTCGCGCGGCGGACTGCAACAGAAAGTTGATCGTCACCGTCCACGCGCGCCTCGGCTGCATTGGACTGCACCGCACGGCTCTTGTATACTTACACATATTGTACACATAGATGCAATCCGATCGGCCGTACGGCGCATTTATCCTTGTAGCCCAGGCACGAGCTGCTACTGCGCGCGTAATTTAGAAGGTTTTTAGAAACACACAACCACTCCCTTGGCGTTCGATGAACGTCCTTGAGTCGTGCAATAGGCCGCCGAGTTTTTTTTCTCGCTCCTTATGTTTTTTTTGTATCTATTGCAGCTCCGTAGCTAATATAATTTTCCTCGTTTTGCGCCCGCACGATACGATACAGGCATATGTATAATATAGGATACACGCGCGGCGGACGTAGCCGCGGAGATCGTTACGTAGCCACGGGGCCTTAGTACGGGACTTTTTAAAAATTCATAAGATATATATATCGCATATAATCAGCGAGGTCGTCGCGTCGACGATCGGTTGCAATCGGCAGCGTACTTACACATACAGAGCTGATACTGGCTACGCGCGACGCGTAATAATAAGAGAGCGCAACGTGCGGGTCGCAATTTTCTGCCCGGCGAAAATTATATTCTCGCGGAAATACGCTGCGGAGCGCGTTAACGACTCGGTGGAATTGACAAACATCGCGGCCAAGTGGCTCACGGACTCGATGCGTTCAAAATATGTGTGTGCGTTGTTACGTACACTTTTGTATTGTCTAGATTTTGTTCATGTCTTTTTGCTACGACGATGGCAGGATGATGGCAGGATGTGTGTGCGAATTCACAAGGCTTCGTGTCCTTCGATTTATTTATTCGTTTTTTTCTTTGACATATGGCGTGTTTGATGATTATTATAAAATAACATATTGATGCGATCATAAAACTACTGAATCATGAGGTAATATTACCGAAAAAATTATAACGCTATAGTATTTACAATGTTGTTTGTTCTTTGCGTAGACTAAAATTAATCAAATATGACGCAATATTCGATATACGAGCTATGGCGAGAGCAAATGTTTCACATGATAATTGTTACAAGTAAGTACACGATACGATATGCTCGTACAAAGGGGGTGTATAACGGGGGGAGACGAGATGCTCGCGCGTCTTCAATGTTGATTTAATCAAATTTTCAGGTACAAACCGATGAAAATCATATGCGCTCAAGCATGATATACCATATGATATACCATCGAAAATTACACAGGGGGATGCGCGTGGGTGGTTGGTTGACTAGAGACGATGGGCACAAAAAATTGATATAGCACGCAACGAACGCAACAACAACGCGTCGCGTGTGAGTTAAATTCCCAACGTCGTCGAATGAAGGCAATCTCTCGAACGCGATTTTTCACTTATTTTCTCTCTCTCTCTAACTCGCTTCACTTTAATAGCGAAGTACAGTCCCGGAAACGTAATGGCACGTGATTTTTTTTCCTCTCTTTTCCTTCTTTCGCGTTAAAATTTTAATACTTGGCTACTCGTAAGACTTGGCATTACTTATTTTATAAGTACATATAAAAGTTAGAAAATATAATATATAGTATAATATAGATCATTTTCGTCGAACTCGGTGCAAAATTTTTATATGAAATCCACTCTATTTCGCTGTACTATCTATTATACGGCATGATTTCGCATTTTTGGCCATAAAGTGTTTTCATTATACATCGAAAAGGGGCACATAGCTTCCGGAAATATCAAAGCTATCTCGTACAATTTTTCATTGATAAGTATCGCACGATAAAAGAAAAACTCATTTCTACGGGCGTAACGGATCGACATTCATTTCGTTTCAACAATACACATTTTCTTCCTGTACACACTCGCATCACAAGCTCACGCAAATTCTTGACTTTCCTTCGATGAACGGCAATGCATATATTCTTTATTTTGTTACTCAAGGACGCGACGTTTCTTTCTCTTACTTCTTCGTTCAAATTGCGACGGCATAATTCGAAATATTTTGGCACTTTTTTGGCTAAACTTGGTTACTTTTTCTTTCTCCCCACTCGACTACGCGACGCCAGGGTTTATTAACAAACGTTAAATACGAAGACGACGGAAGGAAAAGCTGCTGCGCCAACATCATCGAACGCTCTCACTCACTCGCTCTCTCACTCTTACTCTTACTCTCTCGCAAATAAAACACAGTACGCGCGAGGGTGGTGGCGGTGGTGGGCGTCCCGCTTGAAACCATAAAACGCGGACTCGCGCGCATTGCGCCTACGAGGAATCATTAAATGGAATGGAAGTACTTCGGGTTTATATACGCTGTGTGTATGTATAAAGGCGCAACTCTCGTCGTCGAGGCAAGGGTCGCTTTCTCTCGTTTCGTAAAATAGTAATTCGGTTTCGAGTTCACGTACATACGTACGCATATAATATAATATGTGTGTGTGTGTGGGTGTATAGATATAAAAAGGGGCTGTGTGCTCCGAGTCAAGATGCGCGGAGGGTTGCACACACGATAACGCAACAACGGTATAAGGTTTTTTTCTCTCTCTCCGAGTCAAGAATATAAACTATAATATTTATACGTGTATAAATTATACGAATGTTTTACCATATCTTATTATATACGATAATTGGGCCCTTTCGCTAAAAAATATCGTTAATCTACGTTATGTTTTCTTATGTATATAATAATAGCGATAATAATACAATAAATTGTAGCTCCAACCATGCCTATTTATAACACTGCAATAAATATATTGCAAAACGAGCGTTATTATAAAAAAAATTGCAATCCATTCATTGGAGCATTGGAAGCTACAGAACAGCCTACGTCTCTCTCTCTCTTTCTCTCTTCAATCTTGGCGGAGATACATATTACATATAAAAAGTCCTTATATTTGGCACATACACACGCTCATACACACAGTTGTACAGTCTCCTCATCGTTCGTCGTCGTCGCCGTCTCACTCGCTCGAATTTCGCACCCCTCGAGCTATAAAACGTGCGAGCGAGCGCGTCTATATATATCGTTGCGCGCATACATATACACACACGGATGGGGGGTGCGAGCGCGCACAGTACACAAAGCATGTAATATATATCCCCAGGTTCTGCGCCATTGGGATCGTGCACATCGAGCCACGGGGCCATTGTCTGCCGAAGCACATTGTCGTAAAAAAAAAAAAGAAAAAAGAATTTATGAACATATTCGTTGGCTCTTTGGGCGCTCGCGATCAATAATACGACTACTGCACGACCGAAGATCGAAGCGCTTAGCAGAACTTATACATCAACTTTGGCCAGCGTCTACAAAAATACCAGTCTTTAGACTTGAGCGCAATCGGCCACTATGTCGCGCAGCCTGTCGCAGATCTCGTCGAAGGTCGGCCTCTCGCGCGGATCGTACGACCAGCACTGCCTCTGGAGCTCCTGCAGCTGGGGCGGCGCCGCCTTGTGCGCCTGCCAGGTCAGCGTCTGGGCCTTCAGCTGATTGATGACCGAGTCGTCGTTGTATTTTTTGAAGGGCAGCTCGCCCTGCTGGAACATCTCCCAGAGCAGACACGAGTACGAGTAGACGTCGCTCTTGGTCGAGTACTCGTCCTCGAACACGGCCTCCTTGGGCATCCAGCGCAGCGGTATTATCTGATTGCGATACTTGGTGTACTCGCGCTGGTGCGGCTCCTTGGACATGCACGAGAGTGACAGTTTGAGGCAGTAGCTGCTGGATATGAGGCAGTTGCGGGCGGCCACGTCCTTGTGCACCAGTCGATGGTCGGCCACGTGTTTCAGTCCTCGCGCGGCCTACGTGATAAAATTCGACATTTGAATTCTCGTACGAGATCGAATGTGATCGGTATCGACGATCGGTATGTATATTGTACGTACCTGATTGGCAAGCGACAGTATCTGCGGCACCGTGAGCTGAGGCGCTCTGGGTTTGGTCGAGTCGCCGCCAGGTGCCGCCTCCTTGCTTCCCGTCTTCGACGCCAGCAGGAACTGCTTCAGATCGCCCCAGTCCGTGTACTCGAGTATCATGAAGTCGGGCTCCTCTTCGCGACACAGCCCAATGAACTTGGCCACGTTCTCGTGATTGAGCTTGTGCAGCAGGTCGAGGTGACGCTTGAAGTCGTGCAGCACCGTCTCGTCCTTGGTGTTGGTCAGTTTCTTCACCATGACGCAGATCTCCTTGGGCCCGCCGGATGACGAGGCTGCAGAACCGTCCAATGGCGTCTCGCTCGCCTTGTATCTACTCGAAAAAATCTCGCCGAACTCGCCTCGGCCAAGTGGCTTCAGATCGCCGAGATTCGATCGGCTGATGATCATCTTATCGTAGTTGGATCTCGATCGACGCGAGTAGCCGCTGTTCTGACTGTGGGCCGTGTCGTTGCCGTCGCTCTTGTGCGCGTCACGGCCGTGCTCCCTTTTGTGACTCTTGGTAATCGTCTCGCCGAGTTCGCACTGCTCCTCCTGCACCTCGTTTTCACCTCCTTTCTCTGCAATTAAATATTCGATGATCGAGTTCCGATTAAATAAAATAAGTAAATGAATTTAATCGTGCTACCTTGTCCATCGACTTGTTCTTGCAGATATCTTTGCTTCCTCCTGCGCCTTCGATGCCGACAATAGACCATCAGACCTATGACCAATAACATGTAGGCAGCTGCGGCGCCCAACGTGATTATCACCGTTTTCGTCATCATCCCGCTCTCCTCGGCCAAGTCGAGCTCCATGTCTGAACGGTAGCCGTCCACAGCTGATCGAACATGTAAAACGCAAATTAAATTTTGAGATTTTTTTTTTTGAATCAACACAATATCAAATTGAATGTAATATTCCTTTTTTTTAAATTAAATTAGTTTTAATTATTCTACTTCGGGAAAGTAGATTCATAAAGGCGAAGGAAAAGAGTCCTCTTTTGGATTACTAATGTGTAGCTATTTTTAACTCTCGTCATTTAAAATTAGCAAAGATACTACTGGTAAAAAATTTCAAAATGTAAATGATTGAATTGAAAGTAATTTGATTATATTGCTTAATTTTGATTTTTCCTCTTGCAGATTTACTGGATAAAGGTACTCGCCATCTAGTGGTTCATACTGGTATTAATTATGAACGAATTTCATGAGCAATTTCAATCAAAATGTTGGTATTTGAATATCTAGAAGTAAATTTTTAATTAAGGAGGTTCCCTCGGGTAACACGCTAGTCAATTGAGAGTTCGCGCAGTAACATGGGTTAAGCTAGCTGGCTTGTCGTCTGCTAGCCCTAAAACGAGCCGAAAAAGTCGTGTTTTCGCATCTTTTATTAAAAAAATATTGAAAAAACGGCAGGCTACCTCTACTTTGAGACACGGTTTTTGAAAGATAAGAACTTTCTCTACAATTTGTATATAATCATTCCCCTGCGAACTTTGATTTCTTTTCATAAATTGTAAATGTAGCTCAAATTTTCATGAATTCCTATGTTGCCCATGTTAATTTTCGAAACTTTGATCGCGTTTTTCTCGAGATTTTGCCTGGCTTGGGCATATGTGAGCTATACCATTGGATTCGGGAGGTCAAAATCTATCAATATTGATGTATGTACTTCTTGCGAACTTTGCAAGGGAACCTCCTTAATGACTCATTCATTTTCAACGAAGATTTTATCTACAACAAACACTACCTTCAATAACATTCAGTTTCGGTGACTTTAATTTCAATGTCTGATTTTTTGACTAATTGAGAGGATCGAGCAGCCAATATATTATATCGTACCTCGAACGCTGAGATGAACCTCTTCGCGCTTGAGGCCACCACTGTTTCCTGCGGTGCAGCCGTACTTGCCCTCGTCGCTCAGGTAGACCTCCTTGACGTACAGACTGCCGTTGGGCATGAGCACGAAACGATCCGCGTCGAGGCTGTTCATGCGCGAGTCCTTGTCCCACTGGATGGCCGGCTTGGGATCGCCCTCGGCGGCGCAGTGCAGCCACGCGGCCTGGCCCTCCGTCGCGGTTACGTTCTCCGGTCTGATCGTGAATTTCGGCCCGACTATACGGAATAAAGAAAAGATCATTCATCTCACGTGGAATGCATCATCTGTTGATTCATCTTGCTTTCGAAACGAGTGCACATGACGTGCCAAAATCATCTCTTTCTTATCGAGTAACTGTACTACTCACTGACTACGTCGATCTTGATCGTGTGGCTGATTTCGCCCTGGCTGTTGCTCGCCACGCAGGTATAATTGCCCTTGTCGCTCTCCAAGACGCCACTGAAGTGCAGCGTACCGTTGAGGTCTTGCACGTGCTTGGGCAGCTCGCTGCTGCCGACTTTCGACCATCTCAACGTGGGAGCCGTCGAGCCTTGCGCCTTGCACGAGATCTATAATGTGAGAAGCAGGTTAAATGCAAATAAATCAATGACTCGGTACTTTTCGAATCGCAGTTTGAATTATGAAATATCATCATTTAAAAGCTTATTTTCGAGTCTCGTGCGCTAAGGAAAATTTTCAATTTCAAACTTCTCTTGATGCATTGAGATTTTGATCAGTACAGGTAGAAAATTTCTGTCAGTACGGGTGAAATAGAATGCGATAATTATATAATAAATTTAAAGTGACTTGAGGCAATCCACCTGTCGTGGCGTTCGGGACCCAAGGGAATAAAGATTCTAGCGCCGATACAACATACAAAACCAAAAGTCATCATTGACATCGATCATATTTCTGTGTATGACAGAAAGAGAAAAGTGTATAGACTGAGTATACTTTCAGCGGCCCTAATTGCTCATTGTATCCCTTACCGATAGGGGTCATGAATGTTCTTGAAAATGTTCTAGTTTTACTATGTCATGATGACGTTGAGTCATGTGCTTCCATTTGTGGGCACTTTATGAAATTTTAAAATTTTGGTTTCATCAGTTTCGAAATTAATCGAGTTTAAATGGCGTTGGGCTAACAAAGCGAAACTATATATTTAATAAGCCACACATACATCATTACTTGTTTTGTCGTGAAACAACAAGTCGTAAAAGTGTCGGATTGATTAATTACCTTGGCTGTCGAATTAAACTCCAAGCGCCGGTTAACCGGCTCAGGTGAAAATTTCAGCTTCTCCTTGACGATCAACGCGGCCGGCTGAGATCGGACTGGACGCTGCTGACCCAGGGTCAAAATCTCGCAGGCGTAGCGGCCCTTGTCGCCGGCGTGAACCGACTTGAAGACTAGACTGGCGCTTCCACCCTCGGGCTCGTGTAGCTGCTTGTATCTCGGCATGCCTCGGAGCGGCTCGTCGTCCTTGAGCCATCTGACTCGCGTTATCGGTGCGGGCATGGCTTTGAACGTGCAGGTAAATTTGGCGCCCTCGTCCTCGGCTACTTCGACCGGTTGCGGCGACGACAGCAGCTCGGCTGGCCCTGCGTACATGCATGCGAAAAGAGAAGAAGTAGAGACGATGAATTGACCATTGCGTGCATACGCGGCTTGTGTACGCTCGCGGCTACCTGCCACGCCAGGTTCTGTGTATGCTCGAGAGGGAAATGTTTGCGAGCTGTCCCGGCTAATGGAATTTTTGAGTGGATGCCGCATGTGTTGAAAATGCCATTCAATGTGTTTGTTTGTCCGATGTTGCGACGCGCTGTGCTACGTGTGTTTTCGCTGCTGCTTGTGGCATCAACTACTCCGTTTTTTTTACTCAATTATTAAACGCGCGCTTGGAACCGAATTCGGAAGCAAAGGCATATGCATATCGCGTTGATTCAACGATGAACGTTGAATTACTCGCGAGGTAATGGTCATGCTTGCGTATAATGTATTTACTAGAAATTTTTAGCGTAAAAAAAGTTTTGCGAGTGCCTAAGAATACTCGTTTTTCCTCTAAAAACTCACAGTGGTAAATCTTCACCTGCTAGCTAATGCTTACTCGTATTCATTTATCGAGCTATGAATTACGTATCGATTGCGTGTTTACTTTATAAAATCGTCAAAGCCATCTCGTGTCCAAAACAATGGACTCTAGTTTATCCCCACTGAGATCATTTAGTTTCAAAACAAACTTGAATTCCTCATGATCATAGTTTTTTTTTTGTTAATAAATATTGTTTATATCTTCTATCGTATGTTTCTGTGTCGATGTCCCATTTCAACTCGGTTCAAAAGCAACTCGAATAATTAGAAATCGTTGTAAGCAGCTTCACTTATCATAGCCCAATATTTTTTTTATAATTTATAAGTAATAAGTAAAACAAAAAATAATAATAAGAACTCACACGAAACGGCTATGTGCACGGTCATTTCGGTGGCTCCAGCCAGATTCTCGGCGACGCACGTGTAATTGCCCTCGTCCACGCCGGGTTTGGCTTTGGCCACGATGAGGGTGTCGTCCTGCACCCGCACCGGACCCGAGTCGCTGATTATGCGGCCCTGCTGATCGCGCCAGAAGACCCTCGGCTGCGGCAGTCCACCTGGTGGCAGACAACTCACCTGCAGTTCTTGGCCTTCACCGACCACGGCCAGCTGCTCGTTCAGGGCTGGCTCGAACGACGCCTCGGTCAGATTTTTCAAGTCTATCGTGGATAATCAAATTGAGCCCCGCATAAGAAAAATATCACACATAAAAAGGCTAATAAGTATTTGTACAACCTATTATGGCTAATTTTTGACTAAACGAAAAAAATGCTACAACTGTATTGTTTGACTTATACAAGTATACTTATATAATCATATTATCTACTTAGCCACTTGCAGATATACAAATGAATGTACTCGCCATCTAGCGGTAGAAGCTCAAGTCGGTATCAAATGGTACTTAAAGTGGAATTTTAAAGTGGTCTAAATTATTTGAAACAATTAAAATATCATTTTTCAGGTTATTTCAAATGCGCTAAATATTTGTATCAAAATTGTATTAGAAAAGTTGCCAAAAATAAGCCAATTAAAAGTTATACCAGAATTGATTGCCGTAACGATTAGTTACTCACAGGCGATCTGCAGCTCGGCTCCGTAGATCTGCGCCGTGTCGGCCCTGATCCCGTGACAGGTGTAGTAGCCCTTGTGGCCGTCGTGCACGCGCATGATCAGCAGGGTCCCGTTGTCCATCACGATGCGCTCGTCGTCCGTCTCCAGGGGTCCCTTGTCCTCCAGGAACCACTGTATATTGTCGACGTTCTCGAAGACGCAGCTGAAGCTCGCCGGCTCGCCCCGACGCACCACCGATCGCTCCGGGGCCCGCTTCAACACGGCAGTCTCGTTGCTGGGAACTATGAGGGGCAGCGTGTGGGCGTGGGCCGAGGCGCCGGCCTCGTTGCGCCCGAGGCAGTGATAGACCCCGTTGTCCTCGGGCTTGGCCGCGTTGATCACCAGGAGGTTGCGGCGCTTCTCGACGCGGCCGTCGCCGGGCCCGATCTGGACGCTGTGGCTGTTCTTGAACCACTCGTACTTGAGCTCGCCGCTGCCGTCGACGTGACAGCGCAGCTCGACCCGGCCGTTGGCTCGGATCATCGGGGCGGGCTTGGGCTGCTGCAGTTGCACGCTCGACTCGCTGATCCCTGCAATCCATCAATAGAGTTTATCCAATTGATGTAAATATTTGGAGCAACGAGTGTGCGGGGGGGATAAGAATCGTGGCAGACGAGCAAAAAAAAAGACTAATCGTCACTCTCGAAGATGTTGACGTTGAATGATCGTTGTGTCAGGCTGTGTGTTACGCGTCTTTTCACGCCCGCTAAAAGCTCGTCGGTATGTATATCGCTCGTGTGCATTACGGTATACACGAGTCGCTGTTGCGAGCGCTCGAGATCAAAGGATTGCTCGAGCTTTACGACACGCTACTTAAAGTGTACTCTTGCACTTGTCATCGTTCGCTCGCTCGCTTAAGCTCGGCTCGGCATTGTTCTTAATATTCATGCGCGCGGCTTTCGTCGTCGTCGTCGTCGTCAACGTGCATACATTGACCATTTAGTCGCTGACTCGAGGAGATATAACGCGCACAAGGTGTGTGCGTGCCTGTGTATATAAGCGCAACAGTCTGCAACGCATCACTTGTGTGTGCGTTGGTGGTAGCAGCAGCAGCAGCAACAGCAGAAGCGGCAGCAGCAGCGGTGGTTGGCGGCTGCGGCCTCTTTGATGTTTTTTTCTCTCTCTCTTTTTCATTATTCGTTCTACTCTCGGCAGAGCATAGGTGTGTTATATGTGTGTTATATGCACATGGTGGTTCACAGAGAGAGAGAGAGAGGCAAACTTCATCCCCCTCTTTGACAAATTTTCCTTTTTTGCGAGCTAGCGCGGCGCGTTATGCACGCGCGATGTGCTCGAGGAAAGATTTTAATGCGTATCACTACTATAGTACACTCGGTGCGTATCAAAGATTAACGCGAGTGCCTCGAGTAAAGAGTTTATAGCTCTTTCGTGTTCGCACCTCGGCATTATAATTATATATGTGCTAAGAGATGGCAGCAAAGTGCATAGCCCAATCGTCCGATGAGACTACGGCTATTTTTTTTTTTAATTAATGGACAAATTCGATCGTGATTCGAGTGTATCAATCGCCGTGGTATTTGCTATTGTATTATGAACAAACGATCCCCGGCTCAGCTATGGCGGACTAGAGTATATACAGCCCAATCTGTTTTGTTTGGATTGTCAGAGAGAGGCATTACATTATAAACGAGCTTACCGATCAAACAAGAGGTAGTCAGCTACTCGTCGAATCGGACTTCCTGCCTCCTATGTACCATTCGCTATTTGCTCGCTCGCGCACGTAGCATTGCACAAGTTTATTTGTATAATACGTTAATTAGCCGTATTGACCCGGGAGCCGCCCAACTAAACCACATAATACGATGATACCGCCTCTAATGCGGATCAGCTCTCGAAAGGATCCGAGTCGAATAATAATATAAAGTTGTAATGATGCCGAATAATCCAATATGAGACTTTGATAAGGCGATAACAATGCGGGCTCAGCCTCGAGTGCCTCGATTTTTCTCTCATTATTATAGTCGTCTGTGTGTGGACGTGTGACGAAAAGCAAAGCAGCGCCGGCTAATATATAAATAAGCGCGTGTAAACTACGTAAGGACGTTTGTACATGTGTAGTATCGAGAGCACGAGGGCGGCGATGCTGAATCGCTTTGGGTATTATGCGATTAGGCAAAAGTTCACGAGGGTATCTGTATATAAAAAGCTACACACATATGATACGTATACACGAGAGTCGGAAAGGAAAAGCTGCAACAGAGTCGTCAGTCGGTCGAGGCCCATACCACTGCACTGTCGTCGTACGCCGATATTATGTAAGCTTGCGGGCAAAAAGACACGCGAAGCTCCCGAATCGGGGGTCTATTACGCGCGCCCTTGCTCTGCTTCGTTCGTTCCTTCGCTCGCTCGTCGTCCCCGGCAATAAATCAATCAATTTCATTGTCGTCAAGCCGATAAATTCATATACATTGTCCCGTTGGCTCTGACTATATAGCCAAGCCCAAAGCCGCACCACTGAGTAGCACAGATTTCTCGTAGAGTTTAATACATCCCCCCGGTGAATCGAGGCGCTTCGGCATCATCCCCCCGCCGAGCGAGATAAAATGCCTTACATGCATACGCACAAATTTTATACGTATATACCTACAGGGCGCGTTGTTATTATACGTATAGCTGCCACGGGAGCTGCCGCTCGAAGAAACTTATCTCGTGACGTTTTTATCAGTCCAAGAGAGAGTATATGCATTTATATATAGGTACAGAGAAAGAGAGCCACAGCTCCGCGGCTATATACATAACTCTGTGGCTTCTTTGTACAAGTTGGGCGCGCGCATAAAGCCCGACTTTTATGTGTGTGTGTTTGCTATGTGTATATAAGTACATACACACACATACACAGACAGGGCAGTGGCAGAGGCTTGGAAATGTGCAAACTGCGCGCTGCTGCACGCAATCTACGTAAGAGAGTCGGCATTGAGCCACGGTATATATATATGGAGCTCCATGATGGGCGAGGAGGGCGCCGCGTTGCTATGGGAATATATACTTATAGCTGCTGCTGCTGCTGTTGCTGCTATGGCTCTGCAACGAGCGAAAAGGGATGCTGCTGCTCCGTTACCACTATATGTATAACAGTAGTAGTGGTAGTAGCGAGTTTGAGCGCTTCATTGCGGATATGAGCGCAAACGCAGACATTGATGAGTCAGTAGTATAGCATAGGCGGCGGGGCAGCTGCTGCGCACCAAAACGGAGCACTTACCAACACATACATACACGCACACATAGATATGTATATGTTTTATACTTATAAACTTTTACGAGCTCTGCGGACCTCCCCGCGCGCGTATTTCGCCCGGCTCTCTTCCGAATTATCTCTCGCCGGCTTTCGAATTTTAGCCGAGTTGCAGTAGCGGAAAAGCAGCGTAATGCCAGACCAAAGAGATAATTTTTCGCCCCCTCGCTGGGGCTCTGGCTCGCAATAATATAATAAGGAAGCAAAAACATTTTTTGCGCCCGCGCGCAAAAGTTTATTTTCGACGAAACTCCTCTGGCCTGAAAAAAGTGCGAAAGAGAAGCTGAGAACTGCAGAGAGTTTTGGCTGCTGCTGCTGCTTTTTTTATACTCTTTGTTTTGGCCTATCGCGCGCGAGATCGCTCCAACCCAGCTGCTGCAAGCTTATACATATACTACAACACGAGTACGCGTAACATGCCTAATAATCGAGCCACGCATACATACAAGTATGCACGCGCGCGGACGCAATGTCAAGGGTTGCGTGCACGCAGCAGCAGCAGCAGCTCTCTATTGAATGCGAAGAAAAAAAAGAGAGAAGAAAAAATGTTTCCTCCTCGCTTGCTCGCGCGCGTCCTACACACGCGTTTCCAGACTTGCGGCCACGTTGTGTTGTCAATGTAGTCGACGTCGACTTGTATACGCCGCTGTTGTTATGATGCGCGCGTTACCCTTTACTTGCACGCGCTACGCCTGCTATATAATAGCACCACGTATACATATAGTACAGATACGGTGGCATTCACGAATTTTTCGCTTCGCTCCCGGAGAGTGAGTGAGAGAGAGAGAGAGAGAGAGAGAGAAACGAGTTGGCAACGGGCGAGTATACGAGCGAGAGAATGAGTGACGTAGCCCAGAGAGCTGCCGAGCTCGAGGCTGCTGCACAGGCTTGAATATTATACAAGAGGCTTGTACACACACACGTATAGTAGTCACCCGCGCACAGCCATATGTACGCGTACGAGATTTTTTTTACCAGCTACTATATGCACCGGTGCTGTGCTGCAGAGCATGGGGCACTTATGGAGTAGCTTTTTCAACTCTCTCTCTCTCGTGCCCGTGCGTACGCGCGCGCGAGCGATGCTCGACTTTTTTACACTCACTCGAACGTTCATAATAGAGCTCGTGTAGGAGAGGGTAGGACGGTACGTAGCATATACCTACTGTGCAGCCGTGTGTATACCTATCCTATACGCAACAGCAGCAGCAGCAGCAGCAGCAGCTTCACGACCTAGCTCTCTTTTCTCTCTCTCTCTCTCTCGTGCACGTAGTACATTTTTCAACGGCTCTCTCATACCTTTTTTTTACTCGACGTGGAATTTTTTACCCTGCCTACCCACCCACCTACCTATGCCTTCCTTCGAGCTTTTTTTCGAAAAATAAAAAAATAGCGAGTCGAGAGATAGTCAATTACGTCGTCGTCGTAGCTACTACGCTCGTGAGAGAGAAAAGAGCCAATTTTCAATCCGTCTTCATTTGCGGTCCACTATAATACGCTCTACCCTCCTTCTCGATTGCTTTTATTTTAGGAAAATGAATCGGTATTATACGATATTGGATTTTTCGTGCAAGCTCACTCCCCGCCAACTGTGAAGGTAATTTTTTGACACAAAAGTCGATACGAGAATTGCTTTTGACGTAACGTCGTCGACACGTGCAACGTGAGATATTCATCAGCAAAAGTCGATAGTCCTTGTTGGCGGAGACATTGGCTTTGCGTAAACCGTTAATCCTCGTTCGTTTAAATCTTCCCCCAGCGCATAACGCGTGCACGCAGAGCTGAAACGACTATTTCGTCGAGATATGCCAAATACACATATACAATGGCCTTATTGGCCGTAAAGGCCAAGAAATCCAAATTCACGTCTATAGACGCGAGCAATCCTGTAGTGGCGTATTATACCGGTGTTCCAACCGCGAATGCTCGTAAAAGCTCGACTTTGCCTTTATCTATAATTGTGCACTCGGCTATACTCACCGCCGTGAGGCTTTGTTGTATATAATATTCACCTCATGAACATGGCAGCGCACGATAACGAATTTATTGCTGCAGTTGTCGGTAATTTTTCCGACGCAAGAATTCTAATAAAATATTTTTCAACTTATTATTTTATTCTAAGGTTTCAATTTTCCAATCTAGATTCCGCAGAAACAAGTCGTTCACGTGCTTTTGTGTTTAATTCGTCGGAAGGGCAAAAACCACGAACGTCTGTTGTTATTGTCTGTTACTGTATACAGTTTTCGTCGTTTACACCGCTTAAAGTACACAAATCGATCGAGCCGCAGCACCGATCTCCAAGCCGATTACTTCTATGTTATTGTTGAATGTTATCGCTGTCATTGACCAACGAGACAGCTCGTAGTGTACAATGTGTAGTGAAATTTTCAATTTGGCAATATAAAAGTGTTTAACAAAATGGATTCGAGTCTACAATTTCAACAAAGATTTCACGAAAGACATCATGAAGGGATTCAACAACAAGAACAAGCCGTTAAATGGTATAACAGGAATCGAAGGCACCACAGTCTAAATGGTCTAGCTCATCTTAAGAACTTTAGATATGATGGAAGTGACGGTGAACCCAGTCCGCGTAGTCCCTTCGAATCATTAACTGGTTTGTGGGACGGATTATCGATAGGCGACACCATCAAGGTACGTTTGCATTTTTGCCCATTATTTGGTCATGTGGTGCGTATGTTTTACTCTAATATAATTAAGGGAAAATTCGCGCTAGTATAGCTGCTGTGCTTGGAATAAACTTAGTCTCGGGCGCGGAAGCTTTTTTTTAACGCGTTCTCTCATTCTCTCTCGCTCGTGCAATATGAAAATCGAGCCTGAGCCGTATAATTTCCAGGCCACACTCGACGTAGCGAGTCGTCGTCGTCGTCGTTGCGCGCAAATTTGAATAGGATATTATACGCATCATGGTACGCCGAGGAGGAATGAGGCTTCGTCGAGCTTTTATCAATCTGCACGCGTATCGCGCGACTCCAAAGTCCTCTCAGTTCGCTCTACTCGCTCGCTATCTCTCTTTCTCTCGGCCGTAATGGTCCTAGTATCTCTTAATCCATCTCGAGGCACGCATTTGCGGTATACATACATACATACGAAACTGGAGGGTTGCGCGAACGTCGAGCTCGAGCGAAGCGAAGAGAGACAGGGAAAGAGAGAGAGAAAGAAAAAATCTGCCTCGACTACTCGACTCTTTCATCGCGCACGGTACAGCACAGCTCTCGTACGTATACGTCGTGTATATAAATTTCCGCGCTATTGTATGAATTTCTCGGTGCGTTGCTGCAGCTGTGTGTGTGTAAGGAACGAGTTGTTACACGTGTATCGCGAGCGCGCAAAATGTGTTATAACACGCGTCAAAGTATGGTGAAAAAAAAAACACGCTCATGCCTCGAGGTGTGAAGAATCATTATAATATTGCCGCCAGAGTTGGGAGGCTTGTTTTTTTTTTTTAGGAAAAAAAATATTATTACGAGTCGGTAGGCGATACAGATCATTATTACCGAGTTATATACGTATACATGGGATTGCGCATTGAAGCGCGCGAGCTCGCGTATAATATTTGCGCGACGCGGTGCGGCCCGTAATTGCAGTGCACTCGTTGTCCTAAACACACGCGCGTGGCGCAGCTTTCCCTTAATAACGATCTCTCGTCTCTCTCTCTCTCTCTCTCCTTTTTTTATTGCGAGTTGCGCGAGAGAGAGAGAGAGAGCCTGGTAAGGGCGACTCGAGCCCTGCGCGCACACTAATATGCATCAGCTCCGGCACTAATGAACTCGCTGCTGCTGCTGTGTATACAATAAACGTGGATCGCTTCAGCGTGTATATTTCCACGAATAAAACTGCGATATATGCTAACGAGCCAGTACTATTAGAAATTCAACACATTTTCGTCTCGTGAAAAATGAGAGGCATTGAAAATCAATAGGTTTCGTTTCTATACTCACATTGAACGTTGAGCTTGGCCGGCGAGCTTTCGATGCTCGCGCCGGTCCTTCGATTCGTGGCCACGCAGACGAAGCTTCCACTATCGAGTAGCCGATCGAGTCGGCTGATGACGAGGTGGCCATCGACCTGGTGGCGTCGTGGACTCGGCGCCAGGGCCTGTCCGTCCATTTTCCACGAGTAGGTGACGTCAGCTCGGGGCTCGGCCTCGCATCGGAGCCTCACCGGCTGGCCCTCCACGGCCTTCTGGTCCTCGGGATTGTCGACGAAGTACAACGATGGTTCGCCTCCACCGTCGTTGCTCACTCGACGCTCCTGCGACAGAGCCATGCCTGCGAAAGACAGAAAAAGTGATTAAAATTCTATGCGGGAACAAATTGTATCTAGCTCGAGGCTACGACGCATACAGATATACGAATGCGATGACGTAAATCGACAGTGCACGCGTATTTGATGCGAATGCACGATTTGATGTGCACACGTGTACTCGCGCTGAATTTCCTCTGGGTAAAGGCGGAAGACAAAAAGTAACGTATAGCGAGTCATACGACAAAAAGCCGGGGATGCATCTAGGTACATATATAGAACGAATTCGTGTATATCGCGCGTACACGAAAGTGATTACAATGCGTATAAGCTGCAGCGCCGTGCACTCGAGAGCCTAGTGGGATTTTCCTGTCTCTCTTTCTTTCTTTCTTTCAGCCACGCTGTGTACTGCACCTACTATGACATAATTTTTTGCTCCGCGCACGCATCGCGTCTCTTTCTCTGATTCTGCCGCTCGAGACTTTTTTTTGTCAACTTCTGTGCAGGAGCGGTATACGCATTATGCGATTGCGATCTTTTTACTTATACGACGATGATCGCACACTACGCGCGTAAATTTTTATACCCGAGATACCATACCATGTCGATTGCACTGCGAGCCGCTGCACCGAATCGAGAGCTGGGAAAATTGCACGTCTATACATTACTGTATGGCGAGCCGAGAGATAGGTATATTTCGTCGTAATTAGCCGTAGAGAGAGAGAATACGTACAAGTGGAGTCTCGACTCGTAGCTACACATATATCGAGGCGCGCGCGCAGGCAAGTGCACGAGGCATATAAGAAGGCAGCTAGGTATTATATGGGTACGAGTACGGGAACATGGGCACACGAGTCGAGAACTACGTAAATAGGCTCTCGCGCACTGCAACGCGACGTCGTATAGCACGAGTAGAGTTAGGCTACGCGTCTTCTTCTTGTACTTATGCGCGTCTATATGTGTGTGTGCAGGTCGGCGGAAGCGGCTCGAGGCGGCCTGAGTAAAAGAAGCGGAGCCAAGAGAGAGAGAGGAGAAAAAGAACGAAACGAGTTTAAAAGCGAAGGCGAGAAGGAAGAAGACTCGCGCGCGTTGCCTCGACCGTTCTGTTTTTTGCTCTTTCTTCTTCTTCTTCTTCTTCTGCTTCTTCTTCGTCTTCTTGCACACTGTGTATGTATATATGTGCGCCTCGAGTCACATATAGATATACAATACAGCTACAACGTGTGCGCGGCAGCGGTTTATAACGAGTGCAAAGTACTGCGCCTCTTCGTTCTCTTACATAGCCGAGAGAGCGAGCGGCGCATTTTACCTTGACCGTCAATTTAGTCGCGTTTTGCTCTCTTTCGATTAAATGAGCTATGCGCGCGGGTGCTGCTGCGGTGTTCCTATACCTATGCGTGGCGTGTTTTATACAAGTTACAACTCACAGAGTCTTCTATAACGTCGAGGAAGAACACAACAAATGAGCCGGATAAATAAATATTAGATACTATAGCCAAGGGGTAATTTTTTACACTATATTCGAAATGACCCTATCGTGAGCTTTGATTCTTATTGCCTGCATAGTCGAGCCAAGACAAGCTCGATGTAAACTCGTATTATTATGAGCTTCGTGCTATTGAGAGCTGCCTCATGCACTGCAGACCCTCAAGTCGCCGGCCTAATACACGCGCGCGCGCGCGCCAACCCAAGTTTATACCCGTGCAGCAATATGTGGCGGTGCTGCTGCTGCACGCAAAACTGAAACTCGATGCAGTCTTCGCTCGTCTTTCGGACGAAGGGAAAGGGTTTTTTTTTACTACATAGCTGTTGCTGCTACTACACGAAAATGCAGACGTCCACCCGCATAAAATATCATCGAGACGCTCGCTCGCTCGCTCGCACGTTGCATACACGCATACATGGACATCGTACATGCTGTAAATGCGAGTGTATCTATATGTTCAAAGAAGACGCGGCTATACAATTTGCTTTTTATCGCACGCGCGCGTTTATTTATAAAATATCTGTCGGTGCCGAATCATCAAAAGATATTCGAGATGCGCCTCCATCTACTCTTCCTCCTCCTCCTCTTCGAAGATCTCAGCTGTTTTCGCTGCTAGCCCTACATACGACAGACATAAAATGCGCGCGGCCTATGTTCACAGTTAGTTTTAGAAGCAGTAACGACAGCATAAAAAAAGGAGTTGAAACTTGTTCAAAGTTATCATAGTCACTTACCCAGGAGGCAGACGCCGAGGAGCAGCGATGTCAGCTCGACTCTCGAACGTGACATGACAATCATATTATTATTTTCGGAGCTTCAATCCTCGAAAGCGCACTTTTGCTCCGAATACTGTGCAAAAATCAATGTCAAGGCCCTCGTCTCTCTGGGAATAGCAACTCCGAGCGTAGTGTCCTTTTGTCCGGCTCGCGAGCTGTCTTTCTCTCTATCTCTCTCTGACACTGTACAGAAACTACCGAGGACTACGGACGAGGACCGACGACCGCAGCAAGTGCATTTTTTGCTCCTTTCTGAGCAGTTTGGCACACTGTTTCACATCGATTGGAAGACTTTGACGAGAAAGAAATAGTTTGTGTAGAGAGTAGAGTAAAAGAGAGATGCTTCGAGGGACGACGTGCTCTGCGGCGTCCCTCGGCCTAGCTATAAAAGCTAGCTGATGCTGCTTTCAAGGGGGGTACGCGAACGAGACTAACGTCTCGCTGTGCTGCAAAACGATGCTGCACGCACAGGCTGCCGGCACGAGCGGCGTTGCTGACAGCGCGGCTTCTGCTCGCCGCTTCTCTCCCCTATACGTATTCCCCGTCGTGTATAGTTATATGGTATACCATATTGTGTATCCTCCGCGAAGCATATTATTCGCAGCGCGCATATTGCGTGCAACTTTCGTATTATCGGCCGAGAGTAAAGCAGATTTCACGCGCGACCTTTAGCCGTCGCCACCGGGGCGACGATCGGTTCTCCCTCGACGTATCCGACCGAAGGATTACTTATCTCTCGGAATCGGTGCAGCAGCGATCGCCGGCAATGCTGAACCATCTCGTCTGCGGCGTCAATTTGCGTCAAGGGCACCAGATAGCAGCTCGCTGCGCAGATGTGCGCTCGGTTTTGCTGCTGCACTCGCGATACACACTCGGAGAGACGTTCCGATCTCTGTACTCTGATGCGTATGCAATACCTGCACCCCATGGCAACAATTTCCCTGTTCAGTCTGCACTTCGTGCGTAATATGAATTTTTTGGTCGAGGCTCGCTCAGCGTGATATCTCTCGAGGCTGCAGCTGTTCGCGAGACCTGCACTCAGACGTTATACTTTTAGTCTTGGCTCGACTGCAGAAAATCTTAATCACGTCGCGGTGCAGAGCATAGAAACGGTAGCTCGAGAGCGATATTATTAAAAGCAGCAGCAGCTCCTTTCAGTCACGCCGTGGAGAGAGATCATCGTCCATCGTTCTTTTTTTCTTCATCTCTCTTTCTCTCTCCCTTCAAAAGAGCTTCTGTTCCCTCTTGTCCTCGCTACATTATACAGCATGCGTATATATCTATACGCCATAATACACACTGGCACGATAATACACAAAAGTCGAGCTATATTACTACTATATGCATGAGATTCGAGCCTGCAGGCCGCCGGCGCACATAATTCAGGATCAGCAGCGAGCTCTGTTGCAGCCCCGAAGAGAGAGAGAGCAGCACTAAATGATATGCCAATGAAAGCCTCATTATGTACCGAACATATGGACCGGTGCTTGCTCGCGACATTTTACTGTACATATAAAAAAAAATTCAAGGCCATATTCGGAGAGCTTCTGCATCTTTCGTCGATCGACCGTGGCTGGTGCAGTCAAGTGCAGTTATACCACGTCGTTCCTTTTTATCGAATTCTCGCAGCGGCGATTCTTCTTTTGGCCTCCTCGTCTATATTATCAATGCACGAGAATACTACAATGCATGTATAGGGCCGAGAGTGAGCTGGGCTCTTCTCTGCCCATACTTGGCATTCGTTACGCCTTTGACAATCAATGAAATCCGGTTCTTTTTGTCGCACGCGTTACACTGGATCTTGTATTATATGTATACGTGTATGCTGCGGCGATCGCGAATCTACCGCGGTATCGCGATACGACTTTTTCACTGGAAACTCTTTCTTTTGGATTTTTTTTTTCGGTAGCAGCTCGCAGGCATTTGTCGACGAAACACCGCCACACATATTTGTGTGTATGTGGGCGCGACATATACATAGCTGCTCGACGGTCGCACCTCGCCTCATCTTTCAAAACTGCAAAATCATGCCTGCGACTGGTATGAACATCAGTCCAAATAACTTGTGTGACTTTTTCTAATGGTTTTTGTTTTTTTGTGTAAACGATATCGATGGAGATAATTTGGTCGTGATATGACTTCAGACTTCAACCGATCAAATTATGGAGGATCATCATTTTCTTCTCCTTATTTCTGATTCGATGCACGTCTCGTCATTTTGATTACCCTTTGTAGAGTTTCCTCTCAATTGTTGAAGAGTATTCTTTATTTGTCGCTTGTATAACAAAAATTATAAAAAAGAATTATATTAGACCCATATAGCTCTATATATTTATTTAATAGGAATTGAACTAAAAAACTTACTTCACGATACCAGAATTTTCCCTGGTAAAAATGTCCAGTGTATAAATTGCTAGTTTTTAAAATATTTAATAACCATTTTTACTGCAATCTAATGTAATGTGCAAAAGATTTTATTGTTATTTGAAACATGTTGTGAGTTATACAATTATTTTGACTTTGCCACTTTTAGTTTTCAAGATAAAGGTACACGCCATCTAGTGTCGGAAACTTAAACTGGTATTATCGTACTTGGAGTGATAGAAAATTAGTCTTCGTTTTTTGAAACAATTAAAAACTAAGAAAAATTTTTGGTCAATAGGCCATTATTAATGTTGAATATTACTAAACCTGCTATAAAAATTTCCCTATTGAAAACAATCAATTTTTCTAGATTTTACAGATTCACTTTTTCTAAAACAAGACCACTCTCCATTTATACGTATTTCGTTGATTAAGTTGTAGATCGCCAAATAAAAAATAGTCCGCAAACGAAAACGTGTTTACAACTCTAACGCTTGAAAATAAATATATTATATTATTTCTTTGAAAGTGAATAAAAAAAAATTTGATTCTCGGTATAGAATAATTGAATGTCTCGTCCAATACATTAATAAAGCTCGAAGTTCGCGCAATAGACGCCTCGAGCGATGTTAGATCCGATGGACTACCAAGCAACGCACAGTAGCTCCCGAAGTATATTATAGAGCCAAGGAAGCGTCACTACTGCAGATCGAGTCTCTTTTTCTCTTTCTTTCTTTCTCTCTGTCTCTCTCTCTCTCTCTCTCTCTCACTCTCTTTGCAAAGGCCATTGATCACTCAAGTCAACAATGAGACCAAGATTACCAAAGTACGATATTTCATACTTATACCCGCTGCTTATATTTTCATGCAAATCAAAAGAATGCGAAGTTGGATGGATCGACGAATTTTTTTTTAATGCATTTGCAGTTCAAGCGAGTGTAGAGCTGAAGCTCATCGAGGCTCCTCTCAGTTTACATCGATATATTTTGGTGAAAATTTGCTTGTCATCGATATTGACAATACTTCATTGGGTTACGTCACATTTATACAGTTCAGTTTTTACTTCGCTGTAATAATGCCATCATTAGAAAATCTCGCATTCATAAACTATCGTTATTATGAGATTATATGCATCGTCGCAACGAATTAAAATCTTTAACTTGGAAAAATTAATGATCTCCCGAGGGAATGACGCAGGTCCTCTTCTGGAAAAAAAGGATTTTTCGTACGGAGAAGCAGGTTGTCGCTTCTACCGAATCAATTTCACAACATCAAAAATGTACATAACTTCTATATCAAACCTGTCAATCAAAAAATTTTTCATATTCACGAATCACACGCTATACGCGGCTGATATTAGCGTCGATACATTGATTGGATTCATATTCCGTACACATACTCTTCGCGTACGTCCCAAATGAGCAGTACAGAAATTTTTATTTTTCGATTTACTCGAAGTTAATTACATAAATGAGTTTAACGTGTATGGTAAAAGCCCCAAGTGTGAAATGGAAAAACAGTGAGAAACAACGACCAGGCTGTATCGACATTTTGAGAGAATAAATTCTCATATATTGGTTATATTTAATAGAAGGTGATGCTTTGATGTATAATATGCTTTCACGAGGCCGTAATAATCAATTCTGTAAACACTCCCGGTGGCTTCGCTCACCCTGTAGCACGGGGGGACTTTGATAAGTTCATTTTAAACGCGTCCGTCGAAGTTAATCAATTTTTGGTATTATAATCAGCGATGAGTGCACCTTAAAATTTGAAATTATTCATGCAATTATTCGAGCAAGTCAAATTTTATTGTTTTTTTTTCAATTCTTGTTGAATGTATATAAACTCTCTCCAATTTCTTGCACTTTTTTAAATAAAGATGAAGCACACCCAAAATATATGAAGTAAAACATGATTGTTTCTATAAATTATCAAATTGAAATTACGAATATTTTATGTTTCTATATAATTTTGAAGTCATTCCAAAAATTACCTCTAAACGTACGGGCAGTGAACGACGCGATCATAATTTTCGAAAGAGAAATTTGATTGATGATGATCGAACACTGGTGACGTGGCACATTATAAAATTCACGAGTTTCTTTTGTTCGCTAACGAGCATCGAGAAAAATAATAGAAATATCTCTTTCTTCGTCTAAACCACAGTTGTGTTTTGCTTTGAATAAGACTATACATATATTATGTTGGGTGCGTGTGGCGTATACATGCGTACGAATCGAACGGCTGTAAATCGTACTAGCACAGCACACCAGACTGCGCGACGCCGGGCCATTTGGGCCTCAAGAGCGCGTGTACATCATCGTGCATTTTCCCCTTCTCTTATCGCGTAGCGCCACGCTTCTTCTATTTTCTCTCCTTTCTTTCCAATTCGTCTTTTCCCGTAATTTATGAAAATCTCCGCTATTGAGCATCGAACTAGTAACACACGCAATGTTACGCTGTATATGGTGCAGCAAAGCGGAAGTAGTACGCTACGGGTCATTATCGATTTTGGTTGTGTGCTTTGTGTGGTCATTCCTGGAAACGACTAAGTCTATACTTGACATCACTTTGAAAATTACAAAGGTAGATGCGGAACTTACTC